ACTCTGGCTCAAAACTATTTTAGTGTTACCCCAAGTACAAAAGGCGACATCCTCAATTATCCAGTGTATCAAACGTCAATTGTATAAAAATATCAAGGACTCCCTCGCCAGTACAGCCACTTGGCTCGACTCTCATTACATCTGGTTTGGATTCAGTTATTTAGTGACAGCCATCATCTATCCGGAATATTGATGTGCGCGGCGTTAACCAAACAAACACTGTTGGATTGTTCTGTAGCTGTAAATCGCCAATCAACCTCATCTAACACGGTCGTAAGGTAGCCTAGTGGTTAAAGCGTGCGCTCGTCACGTCAAAAGTTCCAGTACCCGGAAGGGGACAATTTGCGAGGCTATTTCTGGTGTCCCCAACCGTTGTTCTGTTGCAATAGTGCTAAATAGGGTGTAAAACTAAACATACTAACTTGTGGTACTTTTTCAGCATCCCTAATGGGATTCCGTGGCAGAACAGGTTTCAATAATAACTGAAATTGAGTCGCTGTTGATCATAGCCCAGCTTTGAGAACAGTCATTAATTTAAAATATTACCCATAAAAACATAACTATTATAAGTAATTCTCACTGAGCATGTTTTTGTACTTGAAAGTAAGTTGGATTCAAATAAATACACTTTACAGATATTTAATATGATATTGACTAATTGTAGGTGTAGCATTCCATTAAAATGATGCCATAAACAAATTTGTCTAGATACGAAGCTGTGTGCGAAGGAATTTCAGATTATATATATAAGGTACAAGCACCCTACGCTTGCAAGGGGCATTTCAATGGATCGGATGGCCAGGCTCGTTAACTTTGTTAGCGTGTCTTCGTACAACACAGCCTGGGCAGTGCTCATGATATCAGCCACTGGTTTCTCTGGTCCTTCATTTACTCTCGCCGAAATGTAGCTGGGATATTATTGGGTACGAGATAAACAACATATAGTTTATAGAAATTTCATTCATAGATGTTTGTTACAAAATACTGCAAACAGAACGATCTCCTCAGAACAAGACTCTTTGTTGCTTTAAGAAAACAAATTAATCTAAACATAACACAAGACATATATTTTCACACAAAAATATTCATAAACACGTCATTAAAACAGTATAAACACTGGAATTGTTTTGGATCTATTATTAGTGATATTATAACATCAGCATCGATGACAACATGGATGCTCCCGTATTCGTCACCAGTCTCGTTAAAACAAAGACAAAACCACGGAGATGGTAAAGGTACCTTACTAAACAAATTTAAGTCCCTGACAGAAGAGGAGGGTATTAAATTGTGGACAACGGGGCAGTTGGGCAACAGAAAACCCAAAGCCATATCAAACACTAACTGGTGGCAAAACACTATCGACAAGATATTGTCCCCGCAGTTGCATTCCAAAGTAGTACACAACTTACATCTGTCAAAAACACAAGTAGAGCCATGTCGTTCGAGTTTGTTCAAACAATAATTGGCTGTCATATACAGCTGTATAAACGGAGGGGTCTTCCACGTCAGTTTAGGGATCATTCCGTTTCATTTGCCAATGCGCCAGTCTCAGAATCATCCTTATGGCACTTTTTGGAACATGAAGGAACATGAGGGAACATGATATAAATGGATAGATATGGGCTTTACACAATCATTTAAATTTACTTTCCTGAACAATGTTACCAGGAATCACTTCAAGCTAAAATCCAAAGAAACGTTAAGGCGACACAAACAAATGAAAAACTAATAATTAAATCGTACAATCGTTATGGATACATAATTTTGCTACATTAATAAAATAAATTTATTATAATTACACTGAAAGGTAAGAAGTCCAAACAAGCTTCAGTAATGAGGCTACAATCCCCATATGATTGCAGGCTGTAAATAGATTAGTCTAGATCAGATATGCTTTTAACCAAGTCATCGAGTCTGACCACACGATTCACTGCGTCATCTCACATAAAGAAAGTTTGCTAAGGACCAGTTCAAGCCCAAAATGCACATGCACATTGTTGTCAACCGTACCAGTTAGTAATGTAGATCTGTGCCAAAATGAAATGTTTTAAGCTCAGGGCAAATTTAAGAGAGTTGATTTTTCATTTTATATTTCTTACGCGATTCTCTTTGTTTGTAACGTCACCAGTAGCTGCAAGATGGCTGATGCACTCATTCACTCACTCGGCAGTTAAATCTCTGCGCTTGTTTTGTTTGTTTGCATTGATTTCTGTTTAAGGACAATTCCAGCTATATGACGGCGTTCTGTCAATAATCGAGTCTGGACCAGACAATCCAGTGATTGACATCATGAGCATTGATCCACGCAGTTAGGATACGAAAACATGCATCAATCAAGTCAGCGAGCCTGACCACCCGATCTCGTTAGTCACCTCTTACGATAAGCATAGTCGCCTCTTACGGCAAGCATGGGTTGCCGAAGACCTATTCTACCCCGGAGATTGTGGGCTCAGAGTGTGGGCTCAAGCGCCTATGGCCTTCATCAATCGCCTCATCCATCCATGTATCGATGTTGCACGGCAGTCATCAATGAACATGGCAGGCACACGAGGTACGGACTTCTGATGACAGTTTCTCAGAGACTAGAGTTGTGTTTCACTTTAAGAACATTTGACATTTTAATTTCAACCTTGATGATCAGTTTTGCCAAGTTTCATCTTTTTACTATATCTCAAAGTATGTTGACAGTGTTTGGACAAATAAGGTTTCTCATATATCTATCCATGGTGACGTTTCTTTTGCGGTTTAGTATATAATTTCATCGCCATTTTGCTTTGTACGCCCAATCGATTCATAATTCCGCAGATACTCGAGATACTCGAGATTATTTCTCGTGTTCTGATGTTTAATATTTTCAAATTTATACCACAAATCATTGTTCACTTGATGTCTTGTCTGACCGTTAACTTCTAGAGAAGCAAATTGTCATCTTGCCGAAAATATACATACATGATCCTGGTATCAACACTCGTTAGCTATTCACCATTTTACTATATACACTTAAAAGGAACAGAGAATTATTCAAAGTTACGGTCGTTGGAAAAAGATATGATAGGCCAGGCGAGGTCCTCTTTATCTCGTCAGCATCCCAAGAATCACAGCTGTTACACTACTACTAAACACAAAGAAGCATGCAAAACAGGTCTTGTTTAGTTTAGTTTCAATATCTGCCCACTCTGGCCTTGTCTTCTCGTCATCCTCCACATTGTCATTTGGAACGTCAACTTGATTTGATGCAGAGTCCTTCTTACACATTCTTAAGATCCATTTCGGTGGTGGCTTACCTTTCATTTTCAGGAGGAGGATGTTGACAACGACGATGACAACACTTGTGAAGTTGGCCAGAGACACGTAGAGGCTGAAGAGGCTGACGGTGAGAGAGTTCTCAGGCAGGGAGTCCCTGATGATGGACAGAAACAGCTGGAAGCTGAGGAGGACAGACACGGCCATGCTGGTCTTCTCTCCGCTCTCTGAGGGCAGCAGAAACACGAAGGTATTGAGGAAGTAGAGGAGGACCACGGGAAGCAGGATGGTGAAGATGTAGAAGAGAGGACGTCTTTTTAAATGGAAGGTTATACGTATTACCCGTCCATCTATTCCACCGTCGATGTTAGTAATATCTTCAGGGAAAATTTCAAACTCGCTGTTCTCTTCAAATCGTTTCATTCCAAGATCTTTTTCACTGGAGAGATGGATTTTATTATAGAAACCGAACCACCCACGTATTATAACTGAACAAGTCTGGGTATCAAAGGGAAACTTGTAAATGTTGATAGGGCACTTGGTTTCCATTTTTCCTGTGACAACCCATCTAATATTTCCTTGACTGGTAACCAGCAGAGACGCTCCATTACGTAGTAGCTCGTGTCCCTTGATACTATTTTCTGTAACCAATTCAGGTTTCCAGAATTTGTCTGAATCTGCAAGAATTCTTTTCTGGGAGCTCGACGAAGTATTCCAAACAACTCGATGGTCGTACCACGACAAGACCATCCACATAGTGCTGCTCAGAAACTGCTTTTTGTTATCTAGTTCTTGTACAGAGAGGAATCCTGCCGAAAACGTAATGTTAACTACATTACTTGGTTTGTGGTGGGCTTTGTAGCCTTTTAAGATTGTGTCAATAACTTCTCCGTCAGATTTGAAACATATTCTCCATGGTATAACTTGCAGTATGCATGTCAAGATAATAACGTTCCTGACGTTCAACATCTTCTCAGGCGTATGTATCAGTCCAGGCGTGTCTAGTGAATGATGCGTTCTTAGGGTCTTCTATATTGATGTATCATCAGTGTCTGTTGCTATGGAGGTGACATTAAACAGAAACTAACACTCTGAAATTAGCAAAGGTTTAAATGGCTTTAATGCGTGTCAATATGAACGTTTTAGAAGAATTATGTTATTGCACTTGATGCCTAACTGTTCATCTATAACATGGTTCAATTAGGTACCGTAGAAAATATTTACTCAGTGTCAAGGAAGCAAGAGAGGTATAGACATATGACATAGATCAATATAGATATTTCGCTCTCAATTGTTTTTTCTCTATTTATTGTCTATGAAATATTTGCGCCAATACATCACAAGTAAATAAAAGCTACAAAACCCTTTCCCCAATGATTACTAAATAGATCTAACGGCAGTGTCCATTGTATGATAACCAGTATATTATAGTGAGAGAGTATGGTTTTTATGCTGCTTTGAGCAATATTCCAGCAATATCACGGCGGTGAACACCAGAAATGGGCTTCACACATTGTACCCATGTCGGGAAATGAAGGGTTAATATGAGAGGATGACAAAATCTTGATCTGGATTGTATGTGGCGTCCATGTCTCCAAGATACATCCGGTCAAGCGGATCAGCAGAAACTGATTGCTGCAGAAGTCCGGTGGTCGAATATCTGGACATTCGTTAGTGCGTTATCATTAAATATGGTTGCTGCCACGTATTTGACCCCTTGTGTTGCCTGTTTTTATGGTAAACCTAAAACTGTGTGTTTGGATATCGTTTATTGCTTTTTCAGGATCTTGTGTGGCTTACTGATTTCACAATTTTGTTATGTACGGGCCAATTGCCAGGTTAACCTCTGGTTTTCAGTTTGGAAATCACAAAAGTTACAATACAGTTAGTTACATGGTGGTACGAAAACTGTGTACATACAAATCTTCAGCGAGCTCTCGGCACCAGAGGGCGGAGCCCCCGAGTCGTGGGATGGCTCGCTGATATTTTAATTACACTGTCGAGTGCAAATCATGTAACTGTTTTATCCAATGGCTGACGAGCATGCCCCTGAATGTCACATCCGCACGAAATCTTTCTGGAGCGGAATCTAAACACTAAAAACCAAGAAACAGCATCATCAGGCTGAGAGCACTATCCTCTTTATTCGCACTGTAATATGTAAATATGTAATATGTAAATGTACTCGCTGTTTGTTAATCCTCGTGACATGGCAGTCAGCATCCCTTTTGCTCTGCGCATGCCTAGTGTGGGAGGTTGCCGTGTTTCAGTGGTCCTGTTTCCATGTTTTCGGCAGCTGCTCTCAGATTTATGATGATGTTTCTTAGTTTTAGGTTACATTCTCCTTGTTTTCTGTTGCCGATTCCCTGTGTATTGTACATATGACATTTTTTGTTGCAGTCTGTCACTTTTCATTGGTAGGCCTGATTCGGATTAACTTCAAAATGTCTGACATAGTATCGAGGGGCCAAACCATTTTAATCAGATCACGAATGTCGGAAACTCGTTCAACATTGTATTGCCGCAACGAATGCAATTAATATGTCATTTCTCCTGACTTTGTTTGATGTTGTTACTTTGAGGACGAGCTGGTAATTAAAAGGCCGACTCCGGCTTTATTTGGTGAGTAGCCAATCAGCGATGCCCCAAAAGTGGTGTGACATTTTCATATACAACATATGAGATATCTTAGATATCAGGGCCTGATTTAAGTATGGCATTTATCAACATGAAAACATCATGGGAAATTGTGCCAGCTTTTGGATAATTATGGTAGCCATGAATTGTTAGTTTCAACTATAATGTTGGGTATCAGACTCTAAAACATGCTACGCTGCAGTGTAGCTCGAAGTAGTTCCTCCATGAAACAGCAAATAACTAGTTCCTTCTTCAGTACCTCCTGGTGAATGTGATGTCAACGGACCTGTTGAGTGTGGCGAAGATGCGGTATATGATGTCCACATTTTGATCCTCTGGCCGTACGGATAACTGAAACTGGGACAAAAGCTGAAACCAGAATTATCCCAAATATAATTTAACAAAATCCGGCACACGTCATTTGAAATAATGGGAAATAAGCGAAACAGACAGAAGTGAGAGTTATTAAACATATACAATATTCCGGTTGAAATAATCGAGTCTCGACTACAAAATAGGTCTTGATTGTCTATCGCCGCCATTTTCTCTGAAGCAAATGCAAGTGATATGAAAAGTGGAATCTCATTGGTCAATAGGAGGGACGTGGAAGGGACATAACTCGTAAATAGCCACTGGTGACCCCTCGATTGACAAGTAGTTATCCGAGCCACAGAGCCTGTCGACTGGACCTGTGGTGAGTCTTGGCAGATTGAAAAAATGACACGATATAATTATTATATAAATTTAACCATTACTTAGGGACTTGACATTTGTTATTTTGGAGGGGTCATTAAAACATGTTACACAAATTTTTCACAGATGTTTTTTGTAAAGGTAGGACAATAGTTACTCTGACATGGCCATTAACGGATTAACCATAGTGATATAAAAAAAATCAGGTGTTCTTTAGCATATTTTGAGTCGACTTTGTAATACCGTATTACCTTCACGATAGCCAAATATATGGCCTGTTCAGCAAATCGTCTCCCAAGGCAGATTCTAGGCCCGAACCCGAACGGCAGGAGTGCTATACTTGGTATATGATTCTCTCTCTGTCCGCTTGACCCTCGCAGCCAACGTTCGGGAAGAAACGAGTTGGGATTTTCGAAATATTTTTCATCTTTGAGGAGTCGGGGACAGCTCAGTGTGATATGGGTCTGTAACATTGATATGTTTCAAATCTTACCATGTTCTTAATCAAGGTGCTCACGTTATTTGGTTCATTTAAGACGAATCTTACGATGTACGACCGCTTTTATCACAATATAGATCCTGTTTATCGATCAGATCGTCCTGACTGGGCGCCGCCCTTTTGTTTGAAGCAAATGCACGTGATACGAGAGATGGAATCTGATTGGTTAACAGGAGAGGCTTAGAAGGGATATAACTGGTAATATCCACTGGTGGAGCTACGGTCGAGCCAAGTATTTCCAGCCAAGTTCGGCAAGGGTGGAAACTGGACTTTTAACTCAGTAAACGCTCTTGCCTCGGGAAGTTGCTGAAGGCCTTTTCTAACCCGGATCTTCACGGGTACATTCGCAACTTAGCTGCGTATTATAAATGACACAGTAACATGTGATTCGGTGTAATTAGACTGGGTAATAGTTGACTCGAATATTTTCTACTATGGGCTTCACACGTCTTAATTATTGGCAATGATTCTACGATGAGATACTTCAGAGTTGCGTCCCTTGGGAGTGCCAGAAACTTTTGATCAAAAGGTTCGCCCTGATTGTGTTTCCGGGTTGCCCGCACCATATCGTGTTAGTTGGTTTCAAAGACCCGCATCAATTGGGGCTTTCCTCCCATATCCAGCTGACTCGCCGTGATATGACTGAAGTGTTGTTAGCGGCGTTAAACTAAACTCACTCACATAAAAGACTGTTTACCCCTTTTGGTATCCTGTAACCGCCGATGATGGAGTCCTCTGGGAGTATCCTTGACGGGCCTGTTGGGATGATGAAGATCATCCTGTGAAACAACAGACAGTCGAGGTGATATGCAGTGAGGTGAGGTGAGGTGAGGTGTGGTGGAATAGGAACAAACGTCCAATTCAAGATTGTTGCACTTATCTAGCGAAGTGCGTATGTATGTATGAGATGCTAATTGTACCAGTCCGACTGATGCCAGATTCATAGTGCAGTCCCTGAGATCCCATGCAGTTTACCATGGATAGCCCAATCAGACACAATATACTGACTCCTAGCCGACTGGTCCTTGTTTTATCCCCTTAAGGCCTAGCGCCAGGCAGGGTAACAACAAATGCCATCTTTCAACGTCTTTTGGTATGACGCAACCGTGGATCAAACCACTGACCTTCCGCCCTCCGGGCACTCTATCCACTAGACCACGGAGGCGGTCAGGGACTCCAGGAATAGGTTTCATACGCTGTACCCATTTAGGGAGTCGAAGCCGGGCTTTAACCACTAGCGACCCCACCGCCCCGTTACAAGAACATGGAATAGATGTGTACCTCATGGATTCCTTGAAGCTGGCCCTGAGATAAGGCATGGCGTTGATGTGTTGCTCTGTGAGCTCGTCGCTTGACCCGACTACAGACTTGATCTCCTGGTACAGCACCTGCTGCTTGTCTGGATACCGTGCAAGGTTGTACAGGAACAACATCAACGTCCTCGATGTCTGCAAACAAGGTGGACGTGTCAGGTTCTGGGAATATATTACCATGCCATGCTTTATATGGAAAGGATAAAGCCTCCGTTATCTAGTGGATAGAGCGTCTGCCCGAAGAACGGAATGTCGGGGGTTAAAAGATGGTATTTGTTGTTTCCCTGCTTGCGCTCGGCATTAAGGGAATTAACCAAGGACTGGTCGGCCTGGAGTTAGTATGGCGTGGGGTGTTCGGGGTATCCATGTTATACTACGGCACGGTATCTCAGGGGCTAGCACTATGAAACCGGCACAAGGTCAATCAGTCACACACACACACACATATACACACACACACGCAAACATGGTTTAAAATAGGCTTGGACAGAGACTCCGCCAAACGACTTGCCCCTGTTGTACAAAATAATGATGATATGCATATTTTAGATATTTAAGGGCAACTGCTCTAAGCCTGTCGTTTTAAAATATGAAATCAAGTATCGTTGATAAAGTATCAATTGTTATCATATTAAAGTATGAACGCGACGTTAAACCCCATTTCTCCTTACCACTTCTATAGAATATTATTCTCGGTGCTGGCAAACCAGCATAAGGATATAGTTTTTTATCATGCTCAGTGAGTGATTGGTTTTAAAACCGATATCGAGTTATCATAAATCCAGCCTTATTACGGCGGTCGTACAGCATAGGAACCAGAGACGCCAAGGACTGAAGTCAAAAGCAGTGTCTTACGCCATCGGGGCGCCTTGACACTCATTCTTCACAGGGAGTGAGTGAGTGAGTATGGTTTTACGCCGCTTTTCGCAATATTCCAGCAATATCACGGCGGGGGACACCAGAAATGGGCTTCACACATTGTACCCATGTCGGGAATCGAATCCGGGTCTTCGGCGTGAAGGGCGAACGCTTTAACCACTAGGCTACCCGACCGCCCCTCTTCACAGGGCCTCACCACACGATCTCCATGGTTGTCGGCTCTTGCAATTAAAATGAGACACTGGGATTTTTGTCTTACCAGACATACACAGGTGTTGCCATGCTAAGAGTTCAGTCCCACTACCTTGGGCCAGGGCTGAATACAGCGCCGTTATTGTGTTGACTATTAAAATAGTACGACCAGTAGGGAATGTGCTGTCTCATCACGCCTTATATCAACGATCGATTCTCAACATGGTTACAAATTGCGTTCACATTCCTGTAGTCCCACGCTGCTGAAACCCAACTCACTAACAGTCGTCCACCAGTACCAAGGAATTCGAGAGGCAGTGGGGGTAGTTCAGTTGTTAAAGCGTTCGTTCGTCGGGGCGATGGCCCGGGTTCCAATCCCCACATGTGTAAAAAGTGTGAAGCACATTTCTTGTGTCCGCCGCCGTGATATTGAGCGGCGTAAAACCTAACTTACTCACTATTGGAATGTTATAGACAAATTCGCAATTAGGACACACAATTGGGACACAAATGTTTGTTTGTTTGTTGTTTAACGCCGAACTCAGCAATATTCCAGCTATATGTGGGCGGTCTGTAAATAATCGAGTCTGGACCAGACAATCCAGTGATCGACATCATGAGCATCGATCCATGCAATTGGGATACGATGACATGCATCAACCAAGTCAGCGAGCCTGACCACCCGATCCCGTTAGTCGCCCCTTACGACAAGCATAGTCGACTTTTACGACAAGCATGGGTTGCTGAAGACCTATTCTACCCAGGATCTTCACGGGTCGTCGTATAGTGAATGTATGACACAGCATTTTAGGTCGGGAATGCACAATCTCAAGAACAGCTTTCACTCACTGCATCCGTCCCGGCATATATATTCTCTGTCATGACATTGTAGATTTCTTCCATGGTCAGTTTTCTGGACGCCAACATGGCCATCAGCAGGTTGGGGTCATTCGGGTCTAGTGTACCCTCCTTCTCCCTCCTCGCTATCTCTTCGTTAGCTTCCGTCACGTACCGTCTGGACTCCCTGGGGAACATAATGGACGGAAACATCAGTCATGCTGGATCTGGGACTACCCAGTGTCCTTAGATGGCACAGACAAATATCCAATTCAAACCCGAAATGTGTGAAATAAAATATTTCAATACCTACAGTTTCATATCAAGTAGGTAGCGAAATATGCCGAGTGGACGATTGCCTGCAGAGTAAGCTCGCTTTAATGCATCTTCCTGAGGCATAGGAGTTAACTGACTCGAAATGTCCAGTTTCCACCCTTGCCTCGGGAAGATGGCTTTAATGGCGTCGGAACATGTCTCTCGGCACTTACCCAGTCAAGAAGTTGAGTGCAGTCTCCAGCGTTTTGTAATCCTTGGTTGGAAAGAGTCGGTGGAGGTTAAGGGCATACAGTTTGCTCATGATTATAAATAGGTTATTGGCCTCCCTAATAAACCGCTTTTGGTTGTCGTGGTAATCAGCACATTGAGCTAGGAAGCCCAGTCGTTTGTTGAAGAATATTGCGCAGATACCTGGTAGATAGACAAAGAAAGCATAAAAGCGATTAAAGCCATCGAGCGATACCCGAAGGCTGGAAGACCTAAAGTAACACGTGACCTATTACGTCACAGTGGAATTTCCTTCTTTTGTGCACGGGATCTAAAACTACCCCTGACCCTAAAATAGCATGATAATTTTAGCTAAGTTTTATGATTATGCAGCGCTTGGAATGAGCGGTCGATGACAACCTTTAAGATAAAGTTGGTATGCTGAGAAATCTGACGAGATGTTGTAATAATTACCACAAAAACACAACTTCTGATAAGCTGTGAGCTTAACACATGTATTTTGATCTTCAGAGATCAATTCAATAGTTTCCACGGCTATTTTACCTTTTGAGCTCAATCGAATCTGTTTCGGCCTAAAATCGAGACCTTCTTTGGTTATTCTCTAGCGTTGATGTTTTATATATTTGCTGCTGCGCAGTTTGCTGTGGCTCAGACTGGCCATACAAGTTCAGTAAAGTACCTTCTGTGACATATCTTGAGATGACATCATTGACCTCTTCGGGAGACCGCTTTTTCCCTGTGAAGTGTTTCACCATGTCGTCGGCCACCATGTTCTGTGAGGGGAGGTAGTAGAGCGCGGCACGAGGGCGAGTGTATAGCTGTTGTACCTTGGAACGTAGAGCATGCCACTCGGGTCCGCTCCTGGCACCAACCAGAATGTCATATAGGGTGAGGTGAGATGAAATGGGGTTTAATGTTGCGTCCAATATGCCCAGCGCCAGGGTAACATAAAAGTACATCTTTGAACAACATAACGCGACCGGGGATCGAAACTTCCGCTCTCCGGGTGGATGCTCTACCACTAGACCACGGAGGCGATCGAGGTCAGGTGAGATGAAAAGGGGTTTCAAGATTATTACACACATAGCGATGTGCATGCACGTTTGTGTGGCTGTCGCGCAAAGGAAAGTATACACCCATTTTTGATTGTGGCTAAAAATGAAATCAATAAGAAATGTTGTTCTATGGAGATGTATTTGATACGGGTATCATGGTTATGTTTTGGACCTTGCAGTGTTTCGGCGACTCTTTTCAGCCTAGTAACGTTTTGATAACATTTGTATATTTTGGTCGAATCCAATTTTATAGAGTATACTTTCTCTTGCCCGACAGTTTAGTCCGGACTGTCTCAGTGCTAGCCCACTGAGATACCCATCCGCAGTTTAACATGAATATCCTACTCAGATACAGTATACTGACTCCGAGCCGACCAGTCCTTGTTTTATCCCCCGAGTGCCAAGCGCCAGGCAGGGTAATAACAATTATAAGAACCATCATTTGACGTTTTGGGTATATTGCGACTGGAGATCGAACCACCGACATTCCGCTCTCCGTGCAGACGCTCTATCTACTAAACCACAGAGGCGGTCCAATGTCATATACACTCACATCGGGATAAAACGTGTTTGTTGTGTAACGCCGCACTCAGCAGTATTTCAGCTATGTGACGGCGGTCTGTGTAAACAATCGAATCTAGATCCGACAATCCTGCGATTAACATCATGAGCATCGATCGACGCAATTGTGACGCGATGACATGCATCAACCAAGTCAGTGAGCCTGACCACTCGATCTAGTTAGTCGCCTCTTACGACAAGCATGGGTTGCTGAAGACCAACTCTATTCCTGATCTTCACGGGTCGAAACAGGTTGGGTGAAATCTATCAACTCATAAAACCGAACTCAATTTCAACTTACGACAGGGAAAGTGGTTTTACTTTCTTGTTTTTCTGGTAATAGTACATCATGATGTCTATCTGGAAGTGGTCGGGATACTTTCCCTCGCAACGGAGAGCTGCCTCCATATCCTCCGGCTTGTCCAAGAGCAAGAACCACGGTCCTAACTTGACCCGCACGATACTCCCGTACTGTTCGTGCAGCCGCGTGAACAGCAGGTCAGGCCTCTCGGAGGACAGTTTGCCTGGAGGGTGGAAACGAGTTTGATTTAACGCCGATTTGAACAGTATTTCAGTTATATCACGCCATGTCAACTTGATGTTGGAGAAAAGCTCAAAGTGTGCAGATCTTGGCCGTTTACCACTTTGGTGAAGCCCATGAGCTGGTGTCAAACCTAGTAACATAATCAATGCGAAATCAGGATATTCAACCAATTTGACCCTTGTGTCCACTGGAACCTGATTGCATCGCTTTTAAGACAATCATATGCTAATAAAAGGGAATTTTCTACAAAAGAAATCCTCGTGGGTCTTTCATAAACATCTTCCTGAGCCAAGGGAGCCAGCTGACTGTAAAAGTCCACTTTCCACCTTGGATGGAATTCCGGGGTCACATTTTGACCGGACTAACGACTCTATGCATAGTCCAATCAAAATCGCGAAACGATTTAGACAACCGGTTCTTAAACAACATGTATTTCAACGTGCAGATTTCCATCGACTGGAGCATTTGCAAACCGTGTGTACTGTCAACTGGGCGTCGACAGATACTTTACAAATCTGTTCCCTTTTTTAATCAAGGTGCTCAAAATATTTAATGCACTTCTTGAGGTAAGACCCGTTTTATTACAATATAGTTCTTGATTATCTATCAGATCGTCTTGGCTGGGCACCACCATTTTGTTTGAAGCAAATGCAAGAGATATGGGCGGTGGATTCTGATTGGTCAGTAAAAGGGACATAACTCGTAGTAGCCACTGGTGGCGGTACGATCAAACCTCGTAATTCCGGCGTAGTTCGGCAAGGGTGCAAACTGGACTTTTGTAGTCAGTTAACTCCCTTGCCTCGGGAAGATATTCATAAGGGGTATGAGGCGGTCGGGTAGCGTTGTGGATAAAGCGTTACCAGTCAAACCAAGAGAGAGATTGTGTTTCCCATTCTTGGCCCATTCCTGTGTCATTCTTGATATATGACTGGAATAATGCTGGAAGGCACTGCATACATGATGTGAACTTACCCAGAGGCTTGAAGTGGAAGGCAGGTCCTATAACTGGCCACAGGTATTTTCCCGAGGGCCCTGGAATCTGGTCGAAGGGCTTTACCTCTTCTGCGTTGACAGGTCCACCGGAAGTGACGTTACTCGTCAATCGTACGCACGCCTTCCTTGGAGCCGAGACGCTTGGTAAGCGCACCAGTGCTTTCTGGGGAATCATTTCAGTATCAAACCCTTAAATGTTCTCACTGAAGACAAAAGCCTTAATTGAAGGGTGTTTGTGTGTGTGTGTGTGTGTGTGTGTGTGTGTGTGTGTGTGTGTATGTGTTTGTCGGAGATCGACCTTTTGGCTCTCCCTGCAGACGTTCTATCTAATTGAGGATCGGCTTGTATTTATAAGCTACGTGTACACACCCTGTTGAACTTTGCTTCTCACTCGCTAGTAAATGCAACTCCTATATTTACTCGATTAACAACAGCGCCTCGTTTCACAAAGCGATCCTAGCGCTAACTCCCATACTTTAAAGGACAAGTAAAGTGAAAGAAATAACTGAGAAAATCATTTGTCAAGATATATAAAGTCAATTCCCGAGAGAAAAAATATAATATTCGTAGAGATTATTTAAATGGCAAAGTGAATGTGCTGAAATTACACGCTCCGTAATTGGATTCCAAATCAAAACTATTTGGGGTGTGGCCTGAAGCTACCGGCGCAACGGTGCCGCGATGTGTGACAATTGTTGTGATGCTTGGCAGGTGCTTGGCAGATGTACAGACACGTCAGGAAGCGGTCAATCTTATAGTGTTGCTATTTCTGTTAATCCTACAAAAATTAGATTACATTCATTGCTGAGTGTGTAAAACGGACCTTTGATCTTGACATTATGAATAATTAAAAGAACAAAATATCTGTTACGAGCTTTTGACGATTAACATCCTGTTGGGGTACCATAAACGGCGGCATCCTACTTGACCAGCAGCTGACCAAGGGATAATCCCCAACGTGGTTGTTTAAGCAATACATCCGTACAACCAGCACTCGTTTACTTTATAATATAAAAATAAACAAGTGAAATAAAATATTGTCTTTTTTCAACTTTAACATTTCCATTTACACAATTCACACTCCAACTAGATTGGAGACAGCATTGCGATAATCGTTCACTGCTTTCTGGTTGGCAAACAGTTATCTGTCATCCCTTTCAAGGGCATAGTCTAGGCTTCGAAACTTCTTCATGGGTAGCATCGAACTACCTGAATTGTACATATGATCGCAGTTTTATCCTGCTTATATCAGGAAAAGTCCGGTCGGCAGAGCCGGGAATGCACGGGGTTATCGGCTATTATTTACAACAAAGCTTCAGAGGTCGACGTCGAGTCCCTTTAAATTTGGGAAAGACGTACGACAACTTCTTTGAGAGGCATTTAGAAGTTGAAGTACAAAGTAAGGATAAGATATATGGATGAACAACTTCTTTATTACAATTAGGAGCGACGTTTCAGTGTAGGTTCTAACACCGTTATCAAGCAAGTGATGTGCACTACACTTGATAACTGTGCTAGAACCTTCACCGAAACGTCGCTCCTAATTGTAATTAAGTTGTTCATCCATATATTTTATCCTTACTTAGACTTACGACAGTCGCTTTGCTACGTTCGCATTGAAACGCGAGCTGGGCCGAATTAACTCCCATCGTACCGCTTATACTTTAACCTTATCCCTATCTGAGAAGGGTCGGATAATTTAATAATTATAGTTTAAAAAAAGTTATGCTTTTCAAATGTAATGTCCCTTATGGGAAAAGTCATTAGTCGGCCTTTACAGACGCCGACTGTTAGAAGAAATACGGTATCATCCAGACCTCCCTGCAGGCACGTTGTACCTCAGGCGTTGAACTAACAGCCTCGTCTGCGAGTTTGTTAGTTATTATTATTCGTTGCATGGTCCTGTCGTCTATGGATATCTATAAAATGCGGAAGTACACCCTGTCCTACACTGCAATAGTAAGCATACTCACCAAAAACGCCATGACGTATAATTACAAGGTGTATTCAGACCAAGCCTCGGGTTGCGAAATCTCTACGATACCTAGGTCAAATAAACAGAGCTGTTGTGACCCAATTTGTGTTTTGCCTTGTATTGTCCACGATGTAAGGGAGGTAACTCGGTTTATCACATAGAAGACCTTTCCAGATAAACAAGTGCCATTGTGAGCGAGCGGTTGTGGCTTGCAGTGCTTAATGCATGAATAGGTTCAGGCAGGTTGTACAAAATTGCAGCCAATGCCCTCGTGCATGAGTCAGTGTGTTTGGTCCATGTGGGAGAGAGTAATCACTTTATAGGATTCTGGCATGTCAAAGGGCACAGGGAATTTGCAGCACTTTAGCTGACTGGGTAATGAGGTGAGGTGAGGTGAAATGGGGTTTAACGTCGCGTCCAAGATTGTTGCACTTATATAGCGACGTGCATGCACGTGTGTGTGTGTGTGGCTGCTTGTACTAGTCCGGACTGATGCCGATTTATATTGCTAGCACACTGAGATCCATGTCGCAGTTTAACATGAATACCCCACTCAGACACAGTATACTGACTCCGAGGCGACCAGTCCTTGTTTTAGCCCCTTAATGCCGAGCGCCAGACAGGTTACAACAAGTACCATCTTTTAACGTCTTTTGGTATGACGCGGCCGGGGATCGAACCCCGGACCTTCCGCTCTCTGGGCGGACGCTCCACCTCTAGGCCACGGCGGCGGTCAACAGTGAGTTGGGTTTATTCAGGGTGTTAATTTGTATCTAAAAGTTAAATTATGAATTGACTTCAATAACTTTATATGAATGATGGCGGATTTATGCAAAGCGTGCACACTGTTTTGTTCATGATTGTGACTCCATAAAGATAAACATCAAAGTGAAATCAATTCTTATAAATAAATACGTCAACAACAAAAACACAACAAGTTCACAGCTGCTTATATAATTATTAACACAAACAAACTGTTTACAAACAACATTAGGAAATCAGTAAAAATCGTTCAGCAACAATTATGCAACAAAAGCCCTTCCATACTATTTTCAGCCAATCAGGAAATAGTAGCCGTTTGTGGGCGTGGCCCAATTTGTTTTGGTTAATGGAAATAAACACAGACAAAACTGTTTAGTTAACCAATCAAATGCTGTTGAAACAATTTATTTACCAAGCTTAGAACACTAGTTCTGCTATTGCAAGGTATCTGCAAGCTAACATGGGATGAAAGCCCTTATGCATGATGCTGACAAACCAATGGCCATAATAAGGCAAAATGGGGTATTTGTACCACTGTCACAGGATCCAGGCACACGTAAGGGACATAACTCTGCATACATCTAACTGCAGTGCCTTAGAGCAATATAAACATAAAAAAACATCAAAATAACATGAACATATGTTCCTTATTTGCAAACTTTCTCAACAATAAAACCAGATAATTATTGACCTTTTCCAATTCATTGTTTTATTGTTTAATTCCAAACATTCACATGAAGGAAAGTGAATAATGTCAAACATACATGCATTAAGGTGCCTCTTGATATATATATATATATACATGCATTCATGACATCTATCATACAAGAGCTGGATGCAGTCATAACATGACATTTTTCTAAATTATTTACATGATCACATTCACAGGATAGTGGGAAATTAACAATACAAATGAACACTAAACAAATTTCTTTCAGTTTAATTTAATAAAGGAGAATTCAATCTCATTAAAATTACATATTTGTGCATGCTACCACAATGAAGTGTAGTGGTAGCGAGCATTATGATCTGATTTAAATGAGATTGAAAATTCTGCATATTTCACTTCCTAATTAAAATCTTTACTGAAACAAACAGACCTAAGTTCAGATTAATTTGAATAATATTACCAGTTATGGTTCAAAATTTTAAGACCATAGCCACAGAAGGGATTCTTTCCACTATGTCAATTTAATTAACCATACTATTTCATATTTGAAATAAAATAAACTTTCAGTTGAATAAATGGTTTACAATTGTCATAATTCAAATATTGGAAACGTGATTTAATGGAACAATTTCAAGGTTTAAAGTATGTGTTGAGTTGCTACATTTCACAGACACTGGTCACACGCAGATCAGGTTTGTGGCCTTATCTCGGCAGAAAGGGCAGATAACTCTGAATGTATGTCAATGATTTATCACTATGTTTTTCAATGAATAAGAAGCTTCCATTAATTTGCATTGTTTGTGTGACTATTTGACAAAAAGATCAAAACAAACTGTTAGGTGGCCTCAAAAAACAATGAATTAATATCCAAAACAAGCACAGGATGCATGGGACCAGTTCGAACTCAGAATTTCCACATACACTGACACCTGTGTTTAATGTTATAGATGAAATGTATCAGTCAGGTTACTCAACACGTACACAAGTAGCACTACATTACTGCACAATCAACATCTTAACCTAAAGCTGAGATGAAATAGTGTTTAACGTCGCATTCAAGATTATTGAACTGATATAGCGACATGCGTGGTGGCTGCTTGTACTAGTCCAGACTAATGCTGGATTTACTGTGCTGGCCCAGTGAGATACCATGCCACAGTTTAACATGGATACCCTACACAGACACAGTATACTGACTCCAAGTCAACAAGTCCTTGTTTTATCCAATCAATGCCGAGCACAAGGCAGGGTAACAACAATTACCATCTTTTAACATCTTTTGCGATATGACGCGTCCGGGGCAAACGCTCTATCGACTAGACCAAGGATGCGGTCTATTGAGATCGAAGTGGAAGTCAATGTTCTTCCCGCCATACAGTAAACAACATTAATGACGAACACGCTTACAACGAACTGATGGATATAATGCACTATTTCTTGGTCGTATATTTTTTCAAAAAAACAAATGGATATAAAGAATAAGCTTTTAATGAAATAATTGATATAGGGAAACTCACTTTGTGATCACACATGTCCTATGTCACCATCAATGCTTATGTTTATAACAAACTGTTCATCTCTGAGCTACTCATGTGTCACCATGCACAGCTCTTCAAAATGGCAATAAACAATTGAAGGCTAGATATTAACTGGATTAAGTACTGACACCCTGACCTCAATTTACACCCTCTATTAACAATAGTGAATCAAGGATTGCAAAGGCCTTTGAAGTGGATAAATTCTGTCTTTAAATGCGACGACTAGAAAGGAAATTCAGTCGAAATGTATATAACAAACTGCGGTTATAACAAACTATCACATCACAGGAACGATCTTTTTCACCGTAAAAACTTAAACACATAAACATGTCAGCTACAAAAATATTTACATGCCGAAACCATACTGAATCATTCCCAATCACATATGGGGGAGATCATGTGTTTGAGGATGAGTAACAATGAGATGAGTCTGTAAAATGATTGACAAGATGCACGATGTATTGTAGCATCTCTGAAAATACATCAACCAATGAAATCACTTTGTTTGACGCTACAAAAATATTTACATGCCGAAACCATACTGAATCATTCCCAATCACATATGGGGGAGATCATGTGTTTGAGGATGAGTAACAATGAGATGAGTCTGTAAAATGATTGACAAGATGCACGATGTATGGTAGCATCTCTGAAAATACATCAACCAATGAAATCACTTTGTTTGTCGGACAATGACAGCATGCCAACATGCAAACTATAAATCTATTTTGAAATCTGAAAAAACATGGCAGCAACTTCACTGTTCTGCAATTGCTTTGCATGCAGGAATGTTATGTAACATTTCCAACACTCATTTCCAACATACTGGTAGTTCATTCATGAATCTTGCTGCAAGGGAATACTCTTTAGTTTGGCAACTAGTAAAGAAATCCACTGCAAGAGTTTCATAGTAAATAATGTGCTTTTAAAAATGACTAAAAATATCTGTGAAGGACACAAAAACCTCTCTTAAATAAAATCAATTTTGTTTGTTGTTTAGTGCCACACTCAGCAATATTCCAGCTATATGACAGCAGTCTGTAAAAAATCGAGTCTGGACCAGACAATCCAGTGACTGACATCACGAGCATCGATCCTTGCAATTGGGATACAAATGCATCAACCAAGTCAGCGAGTTTGAACACATGATCCCGCCAGTCGCATTTTACGGCAAGCATGGGTTGCTGAAAACCTATTCTACTCCGGATTTTCACGGGTCCGTTAAAATCAATGATTGATATCACAAGTATAGTCACAGATGCATTATATAAAAGACACCACATAAATGCTTACTCTGTGATTACTTAGTATCACATTTACACGCCATACTTATCTCCCCTTACCACAAAATACTTGTCTCCCTTGTTAAAACACACAATACCTCCCTGTACACACCCTATGTATCTAACTGCACACACCCTGCTTATCTCCCTTTATATACAATACTTGTCTCCCTTTATATATAAGGATTACTAAGTCAAACATACCAAGGAAACTAAGGCAGATAGTTTGGATCCCAAGTCTTTGGATTGGTGGAGAGAATCATGTACGTCTTTGGAAAAGAATAACAGTACTCTTTAAGTACTTATAGACTTAAATACTTCAAGATTCAAGGACAATGTTCCATTGTTCAAGGATTAGTATTTCTGAGTTACTTAACCTAATAGTGTTATGCTAAAAAACACACTTCTTCCATGCAAAGAACAAACCAATTGGCAGAGAGTCTCTTCATTTGCCTAATACACTACAGTGAAGTCTTCAAAGCCATGCATTTTATCTGTGGCAGGCTAATCAAGAAAAAAATATCACTTCATAAAAAAATCGGAAATTCTTAAAGCCCTTATTTTCATATGGTCAGATGTTTCCTTTTTATTGGTCCTTTTCATCAGTGAAACACAAGTCAAAACAACAACAACATCATTACTTGCAGTATGAAACTTTCAATTTCAATATTGGGTCATGAGACCAAATCTTGGCCTGGCACGATAAATCTTTGGCAAAGATAAATCTGCAAATATTCAACTACTTCTGAAGTCTGTACATTCCTAGTTTGAACACCCAGAGTCTACACAGATTGTTTGTCGCTCTCCTTGTGTAAACCGAAACTTCCACTTCCTCAAGTAACCACAGGCAGGGGCCCCATTTGACGAATCCATCTGGATGCAACAACTACCATAGGCCTATGTTACTGTATGGAGTATGATCATCTTTGGGCCAAAATCGCTGTGGACAGTTTGAGTCTGTTTCCACTGCAAGCTGTCACACCAGGAACTGCTGACATGCTTCCGAGTATTCCCGAATTGTATCTACAGATACGGCTGCCACCCCGGGAAGAGCCTGCACAGATTGTTTGGGTCCCGTGCTTCCTGAATGAGGTTGTTCACCTGGCCCGACACACTCAGCTGGATGCCGTCTTCAATACCCTGCAGCTTCTGCTGTAACCGTAGCAACACTCGCTCAGCCATCTTGTTCACCTGCTCCTGACTTTCAACTACAACAGACAAAACCAACACATACAACATGTTCCCGAGGTAAGGGAGTTAACCCACTGTAAAAGTCCAGTTTCCACCCTTGCCCGTCAAGGCTGGAATTTCTTGGCTCGATTGTAGCGCCACCAGTGGCTATTATGAGTAATGTCCACCTCTCATATCACTTGCATTTGCTTTAACCAAAATGGTGGCGCCCAGTCAAAATGATCTGATTGATAATCCAAATCTATATTGTGATAAAACTGGTCTTACTTTTCGTGAAGTGCATCAAATCACGAGCACCTTAATCAAAAACATGAAAAGATTTGGAAAATATCAGTTGATGCAGTGTCAAATCCTGCAAATGACCAAAATCTGCACTGCAGTTTATGAACAGGATGTTGACTTCGTTACGTGATTTTGATTTGATTTTGAATTGACTCGTTTGTCCAGCCAATATTTAACTCCATAACTACAGCCTAGTTCGGTAAGGGTAGAAACTGGACTTTCATAGTCAGTTAACTCCCTTGTCTCGGGAAGATGCACATACAGGCACAAAGATATCACTAAGTGAGGGAGTTTCATGCCACTATGAGCAGTATCTCAGTTATATCCCGTCTTCTCAGCTTGATGGAGGAAAGCCCAAAGTAATGCAGGATTGAAACGTTTACCACAAAAGCAGTTTTCAGTAATTTTACTTATTTGGTAATGCCCCTTCCACCCAGCAAAGTTAATTCGTCTGTTTTTCATTTCAAATTACTACTGCCATCGACCATTGCAAGCGACATCATTGCCAGTTTTCGTAGAACTGAGTTCACATGTCATTTACATTTACAATTTACTCATCACATGTTTTCAAATCAAAAATGTAATATTAGTTCCAAGCTCCCTGTAGCGCACTTCAAGACAAGCAACACACATGCAATTTGATGCGTAAACTTGTAAAGGTATACTGTTTTAAAACAGATTGAATTTTTTTAGAATAGTTGACATTATCATCATTATGCCGTCATTTTAAAATCAAAATCAGAATTATTACGGCAAAATCATAATGGTTGGCACCTCTGGACAGTACTTAATCAGGATATAGAGAAACAGTTACGAGAACAACGGCTCTGCTTCAGATCTACCTTTTGTCTCGCAACTGTCGCTTTATATCCAAGCACACGCAGGAGTCCTCCATCAATTACATGTCACGGCATGTCAGTTAACTGTAGTCCCATGAAGATTCTGGGTCAATATTGGTCTTCAGCAACCCATGCTTGTCTTAAGAGGTGACTGACGGCATCAGGTGGTCAGACTCGCTGACTTGGTTGATGCATGTCATCGTATACCAATTGTGTAGATCGATGCTCACGTCGTCAATCACTGGAATGCCTCGATTATTTACAGACTGCCGTTATAACTGGAACATTGCTGAATGTGGCATTAAACAACAAACAAACAAACAGTTTACTGTAGGAGGAAAGCCAAAGTGAATCAGGTCAAAACCAAAAACTTTGGAGAAACCCACAAGCATGATCTCGGTACTCAGAAACCAAGGCAATAATCTGGCAAATATGGGATTCAAACACAATATCAACCCATATCAACTGCTATTCCTATCACCTGATCTCTCGGACTGATGTCCCATGTCAGTGGCGGCCATGTTGGCTGCGGTGGAGTTGAGGTCAGTGCTGTCCATGTCTCCAGCACCCCTCCGGTTCTGTATGTTGAGGGCCTGCTGGGGAGACAAGGACCAGGCGTACAGGGGGTCGTACAACAGCACCTGCAGGATCATCAACAGCGACTCCTGGTTGGTGTGCATCACCTCCATCATCTTCTCGCAACATCTGCAACAAAACAGTCAAGAAGAGAGTCAAGAAGGAAGGAAATGTCCATATTTCCTCTATGATCAGCCAATTTAGATCGGGTCTACTGGCAAGACTTTGAAGCATAAGCCACACCTCTAATACAGTCATGTAAGCTACAGCTAATGACTTCTCCCCATAACATATGAATACCATGAAGATTACTAAAGTAAGTTCCCTCCTCAACCCTTGCTTTATCTCTGTACGAAAAGAATAAGGGTCACGCCTTAATTGAGGGATGGACCCTAAAATGAGCATGGACTAACGGTAACAGTAAACTCAGGTTAAAGCACTGGCCCTAAGAGAGAAAATATATGAAGGTTTTTTATTCTTTTCAGAATATCTGACATGACTCTCCCTTCCAAACATCTTGAACAAATATGTTTGGGATCATGAAATATATTTATATACCGTACACATTAAAGGAAACTCTTCACTACAAAAATATGCCCCCCAAAATATTCATGATCAATACTTATTCAGTATAGCTTAGGTTCTTACATATGTAACAGGACAGGCTTTGGGCACTTTAGGACACCATGACTTTGCGTTGTGTTTCTTTTATTCAGAAGATATTAATGCCGAAAATACTAAAAAAGGTGTCTATGGTCCCTCTGTCTGTCCTTTACGACCTCAGTTCGTTGGATGTAGGGAGGTGATTCACAACAAAATATAATCAAGTTTCAACAGTTTATTACAGAAAAATAAACAAAACATAAAAAAACAACTGTAACAAAATATAAATACGAACTCAACAACAATTACAAATCAATCAATCCTATTCCTAACTAAAATTTACATTATTAACCCAAAAATCCTACTTACTTATACCCTCAAAATAAACTCAAAAGCAGCCTAAAGCAAACGAACAAACCCCTCACTAACCCACTTTAATCCCTACAGCATCCTTAACACAGTCTATGAAAACAAACCACCCTTCCAAACCTCCGAACACAATCGGTCAATGTAGCTACATCACATAGCTTACATTATTTCCTGATTAAATCCACCCGTCCAACACAGCTCTATAACAATTTACCCAGTAATTCTAAAGTTGCCACATAATTTAGATCTTTATTGCCTAAAATCACTAGGGATTGGGGAATTGTTTGTCCTCCGAACACGGTAATTGGTGTGGTCTCCCTCACCTGTAATGATCTTCCCGATTATGCAAGACAATGAGAGCATTCGCGCCAATCTCTTATATACTCGCAAGGACACGTAACCTCTGGGTCAACACGTCTAAACGGTGCAGCCACTGGCTAATCCAGTCTGTCACCAACCAATCGGAGCGCTCTTACCATGCAACCCACGACTGTAAACACTAAATCGGCATGCAGTCGACAACGCACGTGCCCGCACGTGGGGCAAGATCTGAAACGTGCTGTCCCATGCGAACTACATATCGGCAAGGAGCTATTAACCACGTAAATGCTACCATCTATCCTACATAATCAGAGGAAATTTCAATATTTCTACACATACCTAGCCATGCCTTCATGGCTTTGCATGCTGTAGTCAACATGCCTACCTCACTTTGATACGGAACAAAATATTGAATCTGGAAGAAAATATGTATATTCCCAAGAGAGCTGGTAACAATTGTTAAGTGCCATGATCATTTTCTACGAGGACATGGGACTGCCTCGGTGGTCTTGTGGTAGAGCCTTCACCTGGAGAGCGGAAGGTCCAGGGTTTGATCCCCGTTCGCATCATACCAAAATATGTAAAAAGATGGAACTTGTTGTTACCCTGTCTGACGCTCGGCATTAAGGAGCTAAAACAAGGACCGGTCGGCTCGGAGTCAGTATACTGTGTCTGAGTGGGGTATTCATGTTAAACTGCATGTTAAACTGTATCTTGGCGTGCTAGCACTATAAAATCGGCATCAGTCCGGACTAGTACAAGCAGCCACACACACGTGCATGCACGTCGTTATATAAATGCAATAATCTTGGACGCGACGTTAAACCCCATTTCACCTCACCTCACTAGGACATGGACAAAACACAATAGGAACAATGCCTTCATTGTTATCTCCCATTTTCTCCAGTGCCAATACTGTGTTTGTTTGTTTTTTGTTTAATGCTGCACTCAGCAAAATTCTAACTATATGATGGCAAACTGTAAAAAAACTATCAACCACGTCACCGAGCCTGACTACCTGAGCGATGTAGTCGCCTCTTACGACAAGCACAGATTGCTAGGGACCATCTACCCCATGTTCCCCATGGGGTCAACACAGTGACCTGATTGGCTGACTGACCTTCTGAAGATGCCCTCCACGCCAGTGATGCCCATGCCGTCCACGATGTCCCTGGTCAGGCGGAATGGGACTGTCTCAGGGGTGGGCAGTATCTTACCCTGCTCAAATGCAATCCCTGTAAAATGTGACAAATAAGAATACAAACAATCTAAAACCCAGCGATAGAAACTGACATTTCTAGTTCATTAGTCCTAAAACTGGCAACATATAGCCAAACCTTTAATAGTGGCAAATTTCTACTAGTTCTTGTGATACCTTAAGTATTGGGCAGTTTGTCAAGGACTATAGGACTAGTTCAAATTTCTAATGCTGGTAAACTTCTTTCAACATTAATGATTTAACACATTTTCATCATGACACCTCGGGGGGGGGGAGGGGATTTTTATCCCAAAAGACAAATTGTTGCCAAAATTGTTTCAAAAAAATATTTATGCATCAGGCTGTTGCCAAAATGAAATTGTCAGCCACAAAAAAAAAGATTTTTGCTTAATGTTTTTTGTCCAAAAAATATTCAGGCTCATAGTTTTATTTAATTAACATATCTTGTTTGGCAGCTGTAACTGAAAATATATTGAGTTTCAAGACAAAATCCCAGACGCCCGCTTCCAGAGATATCCAATGGTAGGTCCCTCAAGATGACGAGACATATACATGACAACCTTCCAAAGTGGATACCTTAACCACTAAGCAGTTTCAATTGGAGCATAAGACCAGCGTCAGTATGAAGTGCACTCGCAATGTCAATACTCACCAAGGTCAATATGGATGAGTTCTGCGGAGTTACAGTCAATGAGGATGTTCATGACGTGACGGTCGCCCAAACCGAGAATGTAGCCCACTGCAAGATCAAAGGTAGAGTTGAATGTTTGGGGCTATGTACCGTGTGGTCTGCATGACATTATGCCTTGAAATCTCAGGCAGAATAGGATTCTTTTATTATGTTTGAAAAGTAGCAAAGTAGTACTCCCTATGAATCTGAGAAAGTTAACACGCTGAATGGGCAGACAGACCTATGGAGTTGGTGGCCACGCTCCTGGTATAAGCCAGCCTCTTCTCAAACCATGTGGCAGGGTCTGAGAAGTTCTCCATGAAGAAGTGGCGGAACACTGGCTTGAACTTCTGACACACCTCCCTGTAGGCCTTCAGCTTGTTCCGGACATCTGCTGGGTCACGCACTCCCTGCACACAAGCAAAAACATTCAGCAAATACTGGACACAAACACATTTCATATTACATGTATGTAGAAAAAAACCATGGGTAACGCTTACATATCACAAGCCCAAATTGTTCATTGGGGCATTTATATGCATCCGGTAATCTGATGTGATGTGGTATCATTGTGCCCTCATTTATATTGATAAATATGCTTCTTGCATCCCAGTGTTGATGTTCAGACTGTACTTTCAAAGTGTACCCTGACTGGAATGGTTTCCACAGCAACTGCCTGCCTACAGTCAGAGACTGCAATATCATGGTACTCTTGACAAGATGGTTACGCGAGTGAATGTTGTTTGATGGCAAAATCAGCAATATAGCGTAGATGTTTACAATAAGAAGAGAGTTACAGAGCCTCATCCTGAGTTTCGCTGGCTCAGATCAATTACTGGGGACCTATCTAACCCAGGATAAGTTGTGACTATCTTACGGAAAGAAGCTTCCAGCAGTCACAGGCTGTCATTGAGACCTACATCCTAACAGAATGGTTGTTTGTTTGTTGTTTAATGCCGCACTCAGCAATTTACCAGCTATATGACGGCGGTCTGTCAATAATCGAGTCTGGACCAGACAATCCAGTGATTGACATCATGAGCATCAATCAAGGCAATTGGGACACAATGACATGCATCAACCAAGTCAGTGAGTCTGACCATCTGATCCCGTTAGTCACCTCTTACGACAAGCATAGTCACCTTTTACGGCAAGCATGGGTTGCTGAAGACCTATTCTACCTCTGATCTTCACAGGTCTACAGAATTGTTTTAGGGGCCGACCATTTAATATTCTGGGGGCTGGGATTTACAGGATCTTTGAACAGTAAGAAAATTATCTTCTATGAAAGGGGCAGCTAAACAACTGTTGGGGACCCACAATAGTATGGTACACAATATTATAGTGGTAGTTCATTTTAATGGATTGTAATGGCACACGCTTACTAACCAAGTAAATATAACATGCGCAATATGTTCCTTGTTCTTTGTTAAACTTTTATGACACATTAATGATGATCGATCGATGCAGATTGTCTTTACGGAGTTCCTTAAACAAAGTATCTTTCATTAGAGTCTCATGGGCAGGCAACTCTATATTATTGCGGTATCACTATTTTGTGGAATATGTGGATTACATCACTTCCTGTTTTGATTATGCATAATCAGTATGCATACGAACTAGGTTGGATCAAGTGACATCATCCAAATAAATGGGTTCTTTTCTAACATAGGGAGGGGAAGTCCCACTTCAAAAACATTCTAGAAACGATCATGAAAAAGTTACTTACAAGTAACCGTGTCATACCGCAACGAGACCTGTATTCAATCAAGCAACGAAATATGCTTAGATTTGCAAAAGTAAACAGCTGACTGGGGATGTGGATTACGAGATTTACCGATACCGCAATAATATAGAGTCATACTATACATTACTTTTAGAACATCTAGCATGTCCACTGAATGATTTATATGTTGCAAAACAGGATACAAATTATTTGATTCCAGCATTTTCGGCAAGAGATTATATATTTTTATAATAATCCCTGGCCCCAGGACACTGAAGGGTCTGCCCCTACATATAAAAGGACCTGGTAACTATCTTACAGAGAGTAGCTTCCGGCAATCGAGGGCTGTGATGTCGTGGGGTCGGTACTTGGGATGGGCCCCTTTGGAACCGATGAGATACTCCCCCAGTGGCTGGGTCCCCTCACACCACTCCAGAACGCCACTCCGCTGGGACAGGGGCACAACCTGCACACACAAACATGAAATGTCTCAACTCTCTGTGATGTGAAGCTGAGATATTAACAGACAAACATGAAACGTCTCAACTCTCTGAAATGTGAAGCTGAGATATTAACAGACAAACATGAAACGTCTCAACTCTCTGAAATGTGAAGCTGAGATATTAACACAGAAACATGAAACGTCTCAACTCTCTGAAATGTGAAGCTGAGATATTAACAGACAAACATGAAACGTCTCAACTCTCTGTGATGTGAAGCTGAGATATTAACAGACAAACATGAAACGTCTCAACTCTCTGAAATGTGAAGCTGAGATATTAACACAGAAACATGAAACGTCTCAACTCTCTGAAATGTGTAGCTAAGATACTAACATTTACTAAACATTTATTTCATATCACCCTACAACCTAACATCTGCTCATTTATACAGGAAAGTCATATGTATAGGAATCGAGGGGAAGCAGTTTACCTTGTACATCCTGATTCTGAGGCAACGCTTCTTGGTCTCAGGGTTCTTCTTGAGGAGGCTGTTGACCATCCCGAACACCTGCTGCATTACTGCATCCTGACGCAGGTCGTCGCGGCCCTGGCAGACACCCAGTGTAACAGTCATATATTCATATTAGACACAGACCATATAACAGTCACATCCTGGCGCAGACTGTACAACAATCACATCATTCACATCAGACACAGACCATACAACAATCACATCACTCAAATCAGTCACAGACCATACAACAATCACATCATTCAAATCAGACACAGACCATATAACAATCACATCACTCAAATCAGACACAGACCATACAACAATCACATCATTCAAATCAGACACAGACCATATAACAATCACATCACTCAAATCAGACACAGACCATACAACAATCACATCATTCAAATCAGACACAGACCATACAACAATCACATCATTCAAATCAGACACAGACCGTACAACAATCACATCATTCAAATCAGACACAGACCATACAACAATCACATAATTCAAATCAGACACAGACCATACAACAATCACATCATTCAAATCAGATACAGACCATACAACAATCACATCATTCAAATCAGACACAGACCATACAACAATCACATCATTCAAATCAGACACAGACCATATAACAATCAAATCACTCAAATCAGACACAGACCATACAACAATCACATCATTCAAATCAGACACAGACCATACAACAATCACATCATTCAAATCAGACACAGACCATACAACAATCACATCATTCAAATCAGACACAGACCATACAACAATCACATAATTCAAATCAGACACAGACCATACAACAATCACATCATTCAAATCAGATACAGACCATACAACAATCACATCATTCAAATCAGACACAGACCGTACAACAATCACATCATTCAAATCAGACACAGACCATACAATAATCACATAACTCAAATCAGACACAGACCGTACAACAATCACATCATTCAAATCAGACACAGACCATACAACAATCACATCATTCAAATCAGACACAGACCATACAACAATCACATCATTCAAATCAGACACAGACCGTACAACAATCACATCATTCAAATCAGACACAGACCGTACAACAATCACATCATTCAAATCAGACACAGACCATACAACAATCACATCATTCAAATCAGACACAGACCATACAACAATCACATCATTCAAATCACACACAGACCATATAACAATCACATCATTCAAATCAGACACAGACCATATAACAATCACATCATTCAAATCAGACACAGACCATATAACAATCACATCACTCCAATCAGACACAGACCATATAACAATCACATCATTCAAATCAGACACAGACCATACAACAATCACATCACTCAAATCAGACACAGACCATACAACAATCACATCATTCAAATCAGACACAGACCATACAACAATCACATCATTCAAATCAGACACAGACCATATAACAATCACATCATTCAAATCAGATACAGACCATACAACAATCACATCACTCCAATCAGACACAGACCATATAACAATCACATCATTCAAATCAGACACAGACCATACAACAATCACATCACTCCAATCAGATACAGACCATATAACAATCACATCATTCAAATCAGACACAGACCATATAACAATCACATCATTCAAATCAGACACAGACCATACAACAATCACATCACTCCAATCAGACACAGACCATATAACAATCACATCATTCAAATCAGACACAGACCATACAACAATCACATCATTCAAATCAGACACAGACCATACAACAATCACATCACTCCAATCAGACACAGACCGTATAACAATCACATCACTCAAATCAACTGTAGTGGGTATGGCACATAGGGAATAGCCATGGCATCTGTCCTGCCCAGGTAAACATGGGGATTATTGGTTTGTTAGTTTGTTTGTTGTTTAACACCGCACTTAGCAATATTCCAGCTATATGATGGCGGTCTGAAAATAATCGAGTATGGACCAGACATTCCAGTGATTGACATCATGAGCATTGATCTACGCAATTGGGATACAATGACATACATGTACCAAGTCAGCAAGCCTGACCACCCAACCCCGTTAGACAAGCATAGTCGCCTTTTACAGCAAGCATGGGTTGCTGAAGACATATTCTAACCCAGATCTTCCTGGGTCACTACACCTACCTTGACGAGCTGCCGTCGCTCTATGCCGTCCGAGCCAATGATGGTAATGATCTTGGGCAGGTTAATCCCTCCAGCCAGTCGGAAGGTGTTGCCGAACCCTCCCACACTCACGATGTCTCTGTATTCCCCAGCTGGGTCAACCTGCCACAGGCACATCAGTTCAGAAGATAACATGTTTACAAACTTGTGATTGTCACTTGAATAATGCGTTTGAGTGTGTGAATGCGGTTTAATGTTGCATTCCGCAATATCCCAGCTATATGACAGCAGTTATTAATCGAAGTAAAACAGACAAATCAGTGGTTGATGTCATGAGCAATGTCCCATCCTGTCTGGATATGATGACATCCAATGAAAAGGTGACACAGCTTTATATTTTAAAAATAGTATAATTTTGGATATTATTTAGGGACTGGTCATTCATAATAAGGTAGGAAAGATGAGGGGTCATGAAAAACTGTTACATGTATTTGGTGGGGGGTCATGTAAAAATGAAAAAAACGTTACATGTATTGGGATGGGTGGGGAGTGGGTTGTCATGAAACAATGAAAAAATGATCCGTGTATTTGCGGGGGGCGTGAATAAATGTAACATAAAATGGGAGGAGGCTGCAAAGTTGGTTACAGTCCGAATACCAATCTCATCTCAAGTGAATCCACACGACCCTGACCTTGGCCTCCAGTGTAGGTAGAGCAACATCATAGAGGCTCTTCATCTTCGCCAACATCAGGGAGGAGGGGAGAGGTATGGGCTCTGAAAGGGTGAGTTAGTTGGGATAAGAGTATTTAACAGTATTGCAGTTACATGTCATGTCAGCCTGATGTGGGAGGAAATCCCAAACTGACTTCATGTAGTTGACTATGTTCTGGTACTGGGTGAGCGAGTGAAGGCGTGCATGCATGAGTGAGTATGGTTTAATGCCACTTTTAGCAATATTCCAGCAATATCACGGAATGGGCTTCACAAATTGTACCCATGTGAGGAATCAAACCCGAGTCTTCAGCTTGACAAGCAAACGCTTTAACCACTAGGCTACCGCACCGCCCCTTATGGTTTCGGAATGTGTCAATGTGCATTGTATACTTATAAAACTTTTTTTCCCCAAAATAAACTAAGCTATCTGCTAATAAACATAAGTCATTACTATCCACAAACCAAATACATGCGAGGCAAATTTCACTTTAAATTACAAAAATATTGAGAATATCAAGATTCACATTTACAAAAAGATTTAATTTATCCTTCCAATAAGCAATGATATTTTCAAATGAGTAAAATAGTCCAGATTTACTTCCATAAAACAAGGCATAACTAATCTCTTCAGCAGAACCACACGCCAGAATCAGTCAGCAATATTCCAGCCACATCACAATCGCCTGTTAATAATCAGCAATAGTCAAGCCACATCACAATAGCCTGTTAACAATCAGCAATGTTCCAGCCACATCACAATAGCCTGTTAACAATCAGCAATATTCCAGCCACATCACAATAGCCTGTTAATAATCAGCAATAGTCAAGCCACATCACAATAGCCTGTTAACAATCAGCAATGTTCCAGCCACATCACAATAGCCTGTTAACAATCAGCAATATTCAAGCCACATCACAATAGCCTGTTAACAATCAGCAATATTCCAGCCACATCACAATAGCCTGTTAACAATCAGCAATATTCCAGCCACATCACAATAGCCTGTTAACAATCAGCAATAGTCAAGCCACATCACAATAGCCTGTTAACAATCAGCAATATTCCAGCCACATCACAATAGCCTGTTAACAATCAGCAATATTCCAGCCACATCACAATAGCCTGTTAACAATCAGCAATATTCCAGCCACATCACAGTAGCCTGTTAACAATCAGCAATATTCCAGCCACATCACAATAGCCTGTTAACAATCAGCAATATTCAAGCCACATCACAATAGCCTGTTAACAATCAGCAATATTCAAGCCACATCACAATAGCCTGTTAACAATCAGCAATATTCCAGCCACATCACAATAGCCTGTTAACAATCAGCAATATTCCAGCCACATCACAATAGCCTGTTAACAATCAGCAATATTCCAGCCACATCACAGTAGCCTGTTAACAATCAGCAATATTCCAGCCACATCACAATAGCCTGTTAACAATCAGCAATATTCCAGCCACATCACAATAGCCTGTTAACAATCAGCAATATTCCAGCCACATCACAATAGCCTGTTAACAATCAGCAATATTCCAGCCACATCACAATAGCCTGTTAACAATCAGCAATATCCCAGCCACATCACAATAGCCTGTTAACAATCAGCAATATTCCAGCCACATCACAGTAGCCTGTTAACAATCAGCAATATTCCAGCCACATCACAATAGCCTGTTAACAATCAGCAATATTCCAGCCACATCACAATAGCCTGTTAACCATCAACAATATTCCAGCCACATCACAATAGCCTGTTAACAATCCAGCCAGTGGTTGACAGCATGAAGAGCATTAGAAATTGGCACTAGTCCTATAGTCCTTGCCAAACTGCCCAATGGTTAAGGTATGATAAGGACCAGTAGACATTTGCCATTTTTAAGGGTTTTGCTCTATGTTATCATGATAAGGATTAGAGGGCTAAAAGTGCCAGTTTCTACTGCTGAACGAACTACAATCCATGTTGTCAGCGTACAATGACACACAATCAGCCAGGTCACACATTGTAACAACCCTGGCTCATTAGCTGGACCTCATAATAAGTTTGGGATACTTGGTACCAATCCTGCCACTGAATGCACATGACACACCTACTGTTTGTTTGTTTATTTGTTTATTTGTTTGCTGTTTAAAACTGCACTCAGCAATATTTCAGCTATATGACGGTGGTCTGTAAAAAATAGGACCAGGCAATCCAGAGATTGACATCATGAGCATCGATCCACGCAATTGGGATACAATGACATGCACCAACCAAGTCACTGAGCCTGATCACCTGATCTCGTTATTTCGACAACAAGGTCACCTATTCTAACCTGAATCTTCACAGGCAGACACACCTACTGAAGCAATATATTCAGAACTTGCTGACTCACTTTTCTCTGTCTTATACTTTTCCACGTTGGTGTTGGCCAGCTCGATGTAGGCTACCGACAACACCTCCATGTGGCGCACTATCTGTGACACTTTCCCGTTCTCCTTCAGGGTGTCGATCATGTTCTTGGCAGCCTGTACACGGTCCTGCAACACACATGGAACACAGGGTAGGAACTAGCAATACTAGAACTAAAAAACCTCAAGTGATGTCATCCGATTGTTGTCCAGTTGGGTTATATCCCATAGAAACACTTCCCCTTGGGTTTTTATGATATTTAAACCCCTTATCCTTGGGGCTGATGCCCCTCGGTTTTATCCTGTGTATGCGGGTTTAAAATGTCTCCACCTCCTCCAAACATTCCTGTACACAGCCCACATCACTCCCACCACCTCCTGGCAATCCTGCACACAGGCCACATCACTCCCACCACCTCCTGGCAATCCTGTACACAGCCCACATCACTCCCACCACCTCCTGGCAATCCTGTACACAGCCCACATCACTCCCACCACCTCCTGGCAATCCTGTACACAGCCCACATCACTCCCACCTCCTCCTGGCAATCCTGTACACAGCCCACATCACTCCCAACTCCTCCTGGCAATCCTGTACACAGCCCGCATCACTCACACCTCCTCCAGGCAATCCTGTACACATGTCCACATCACTCCCACCTCCTCCAATCATTCCTGTACACAGCCCACATCACTGCCACCTCCTCCTGGCATTCCTGTACACAGCCCACATTACTCCCACCTCCTCCTGGCAATCCTGTACACAGCCCACATCACTGCCACCTCCTCCTGACAATCCTGTACACAGCCCACATCACTCACCTCCTCCTGACAATCCTGTACACATGTCCACATCACTCCCATCTCCCCCTGGCAATCCTGTACACATGCCCACATCACTCCCACCTCCTCCTGGCAATCCTGTACACAGCCCACATCACTCCCATCTCCCCCTGGCAATCCTGTACACAGCCAACATCACTCACCTCCTCCTGACAATCCTGTACACAGCCCACATATCTCCCACCTCCTCCTGGCAATCCTGTACACAGCCCACATATCTCCCATCTCCCCCTGGCAATCCTGTACACAGCCCACATCACTTCCAACTCCTCCTGGCAATCCTGTACACAGCCCACATCACTCCCATCTCCCCCTGGCAATCCTGTACACAGCCCACATCACTCCCATCTCCCCTGGCAATCCTGTACACAGCCCACATCACTCACCTCCTCCTGACAATCCTGTACACAGCCCACATATCTCCCATCTCCCCCTGGCAATCCTGTACACATGCCCACATCACTCACCTCCTCCTGACAATCCTGTACACAGCCCACATCACTCCCACCTCCTCCTGACAATCCTGTACACAGCCCACATCACTGCCACCTCCTCCTGGCAATCCTGTACACATGTCCACATCACTCCCATCTCCTCTAAACATTCCTGTACACAGACCACATCACTGCCACCTCCTCTAAACATTCCTGTTCACAGGACACATCACTCCCATCTCCTCTAAACATTCCTGTACACATGTCCACATCACTCCCACCTCCTCTAAACATTCCTGTTCAAAGGACACATCACTCCCATCTCCTCTAAACATTCCTGTACACAGACCTCATCACTCCCACCTCCTCCTGGCAATCCTGTACACATGTCCACATCACACCTACCTCCTCCAGCTGCTGTGCGTCAGACACGGTCCTGCCGAGTTGTCCCGCCCTGCTTCGTCCTGCCCGGGCCTGTGTGAGCAGCTCCATGTCCTTGTTGGCGTGGGCCAGGGCCATGATCACGGACACCGCATGGTGTGGGTGGTCCACAGCGGCAGTCTCCAGGATCTACACAACACCACTTGATACATATGTTATGTTTACAGCAGAAACAACGGTCACACAGATGTTGTTTTACGCCAGTTGGCAACGTTTCAGCTATATCACAGAGGCTAGCAGATAACTGACTTAGGTCAGGCAAACCAATGACTGAGACCATATCATCCTCACTATGTTTTTATGAACAAAACCAAATTTACAGATTGGGATCAAACCCAGACCATTTGCATGAGCAATGAAAGCACTACCCAGTTGGCGACACAACCAGATCATGTGAAGTGAAGCGGAGGCAGAATAAATAACAGTGTTATCTTTCAAAACATTTCTAAAAACAACAAATTCTGCTTTCTCATTAGAGCAAATATTTTGGTATGAAATTTTGACATATAACAAAATATATGTTGACATGAGATAAATCTGTTACCTTGGCGAGCGTGGGCTGGAAGAGGGAACAGTGAGTCTCCTTTACACTCATCCTGGCGGCCAGTTGGTACATCAGGGGCAGAAACTTGTACGACTTGATGGCGTCGATGTTGCTCTGAAACACGAGAGTCATGAGATAGTGATGGTGTCATGGATCACGGACTACAGAAGGGACAAAGGCAGTGGCATGTTAGAACAACTAGTACAGATTGATAGCATGGATGTGGCTCTGGACACACAAGATTCAGATGAAAGTTGAAAGGGCTGAGAAGTGAGCTCTGGAAAAAGAATCACAAAATAGTGACAGGATCATTGTTCATGAGTGAGTGGGGTTACAAGCAATGTTAGAAATAAGCAAATGCCAGGCTACAGAAGCTGCAGGCCCTGACTAAACTCTTCAGGCACTCATTTAGACAACTGCAGCTTATTGTGACCAACAAATTGATACATAAGAAGAACTACCTACCATAGGCCCACTGGAGGCATTTATTTCAAACACTGGTTACAAAAGTTTAATACAATATAGTCTGGGATCAGAAATTTTGCAGCAGTATTCAATTGTCTGATCAGATGTGGCAGGCAAATCAGCATTGTAAAGTAGCCCTGTTTCAACGGATTCCTCACAATGGTGCAAATTAAAATAGAGAAAGAAGGAATGTTGTTGCCAGTAAAATCTGGGCCAAGCAAACCAGTGTGACAGCCATCAGCCCAGTCACTCACCATAACCCCCTGGCCTTCTGGCACAGCTCCAGATAACTTTTTGAGCAACTGGGTTTTTACTCTAGGGTTTCTATTTTAATTGGGTTATTACATTTTTCATTGGGTAACAATATTTTTTCACTCATCTATTCATCACTCTATGGGTATTTCCCCAAAGAGTGAACATTTTAACATTTAACAAGTATTTGTCACAGAGTGACGAAATATCCCCCGCCTGTACACCATAGTACCAAATATGAAGACAATCCAGCGATTAGTTCTTGAGATATTGTGGCAACACCGTTTTCCAACTCCAAAAACAGATTTGCCTGCTGTGACCTTGAAAATGGGGTCAAGGTCACCAAATCTGACAGGTGTATGCGGTGTCTGTATATACACTATAGTTCAAAATATGAAGACAATCCAGCAATTAGTTCTTGAGATATCGCGGCAACACCGTTTTCCAACTCCAAAAGCAGATTTGCCTGCTGTGACCTTGAAAATGGGATCAAGGTCACCAAAACCGACTGGTGTCTGCGGAGTCTGTATATACACCATAGTTCCAAATATGAAGACAATCCAGTGTTTAGTTCTTGAGATATCGCGGCAACAAACAGGTGGGACGTACGGACGGGGGATAATAAAAAATGAAATAATGTTTTAGATGTATATAACAATGACAACTCTTCTAAATATATAGGCTTGAGTCGGAAAGTAGATTAGCTCGTAATTGTGTTTCGGAAATTAGCTCCTTTGTACGCATGCTGAAAAAACTTCATTGGGTATTTACGTGTGCTGTTTTGTTGAATTTTCCTATTCGGAATATTCTATAAGTAATACGGTACCACTGTTATACCGAGGCTGTTGTCTCTCACAACTGCTGCTATAGCGAAATCTACCACAGAGATCTCAATTACCTCATGCAGCATGTGCGTAGCCACCTAGCTGCCATGTGACACCCTTCACTCTTGTCTCCTGCGAGAGCAAGTGCTCGGGGGACGGACGGGCGGGCAGCAGCCCAGTGGTAATGTATTACTTATAGAATATTCCGAATAGGAAAATTCTACAAATTACATTAAGTAATACGTTACCACTGTTATACCGAGGCTGACTACCACAGTAGGCGGTGGGGAGCACCTACAACCCGAATCCTGACTGCTAGCGTTCCTTCCGACCAGCGGAAGTAAACACCAAGGCGGAAGCACTTGATGCGCATGCACCTAGCTAGGCTTTACCCTATAGGAATACCAAAGCACTGTCAAGCGCATACCGTAAGGCTCAATCGTCATTGCCAAAACGATTGGTGACTCCAAACGGCTGAGCGGATGAGAACACTGTATCGGCGTGAGCTAAATCTTAGATCAGGTTAAACAGTCGAAAAGAGGGAAATTAATTTCATTCAGACCGTATATCCCAGAGCAAGCCTACTTAAAGTATGCATTAGGCGCGTGACCTAATTCCAGTATTTGTAAGCATGTATCACAAGGTTGGAATACACGACAGACAATTAAATGCATAATTGTCAAGATACAAATAAGGACAAAACACACAAAAAGCCGCCTCACCTGTGGTGTGAGTGCGCTGGTTTGCAGGACCCACACTCCTGTACCCACGGCGTGGGAACATTGGAGACGACCCAGATTGACCACCGTGCAAGGACTGACGACTGCGGAGTTTGGAATTGCGCTGGACAAACCCCCTAGATGACCGCTTGTGCCGCGATCAGCGGCCCAAGACGGTGCACCCCCTCCACGTGTTCATCAGAAACCTTTCTGAGGTAATGATTGGCAAAAACCGAGTCAGAACGCCAGTAACAACCTCGTAATATTCTGTGAACAGTGATATTCGAGTGTAGGGCAAATGTTGCCGCTAGCGCCCTGATCTCGTGCGGGTTTGACCCCGCCACCAGTAACCCCCGAGACCGGTACACCAGATTGATGACAGAACGAAGCCACAACGCAATCGAGTTGCGAGTTATGTCAACCGTACGATTAGGGTTACACGAAATGAACAGACGGTCACGCCCTTGTCTACGTTCATTCGAAGCCTTAAGATAATACTTAAGGGCCCTAACCGGACACAGCGCTCTGTCCTCAGTATCAGCAGGATGTAAGATTTCTTTGAGTGATCTTACAGTGAATTCTCTCTCCGTTTGCCCGACTCTCTGATTCTTGGCGACGAAGCCCATGAGCAGGCCCAGGCGGACCGCTCCTTCGTCACCCCTATCGAATCGTACCTCGGCGACATCGAGTGCATGAATTTCGGATACACGTGCCGCCGTGGCAAAGGAGAGGAGAAATGCTGTTTTCCAAGTCACATGCCGGAACGAAGCACTATGCAAGGGTTCATACGGAGCTTCCGTAAGTGATTGCAACACTAGGGAAAGATCCCAGGCCGGTGCCCGAAGGCGGCCCTTCTTAAGATCGTGCTGTTTGAAACCCTTGATAATACCCCGTATCACCGGCTCTTTGGAGAGACCCATAGCAACGTCCCGTACCGTAGCAACGGACGAGACATAGTTGGCAATGGAACCCCCGGAGAGTTTCCGGGTCTCTCGCCATCGAGACATGAAACGAGCAATATCCTGCACAGATACCTTATCTGGCGAATGAATGTGATGTTTACAACACCACTTCGTGAAAATAACCCAATGTGCATTATACACCTCCTGGGTAGAATCACGATGCATACTAACGTATGCCTGAGACGCCCGGCGAGAAAAACCTTTACTCCTCAGACGCTCGGTGACAACATCCACGCGTGCAGATTGAACTGCCCTGCGTTTGGATGAAGCTGACGGGTGTGAGGGTGGATCAAGAGATCCGGTCTCACAGGCAGTGGAAGTGGCGACTGCGTGACCTGGGTCAGCAAGTCGGGGTACCACGATCTGTTCGGCCACATGGGCGCGATCAGTAACATTCGACAGCGAACTCCTCGGAGCCGGCTTAGAATGTGTGGTATCAACGCTGTCGGCGGGTAAGTATAAGCGTCCAAGCCCGTCCAGTCTAACGCGAGAGCATCGTGATCGATGGCCCTCGGGTCCGGGACTGATGATACAACCATCGACCATCGGACGACCCAAAAGTTCGCACAGCCACTGAAACACTACTGGGTTCAGCATCCACTCTGTGGGGCTCGGATCCTGAGGCCTCAAAAGAGTATCGGCCAGTACGTTCCGCACACCATGGATGTGACGGGCGCGTATCTGGCACGGGACACTGTCCACCAGAGCTTAAAACTCGAACGTGAGATCGAGTAGCGAATGACTGTGGGTTCCCCCCAGTTTGTTCACATAGGACACTACTGTCGTGTTGTCGGTCGCCAGCATGAGCCGGGCGTCGACGAGACGATGCTTCCAGTGATTGACTGCGTTGATCACTGCCTTGAACTCGAGACAAGTGATGTGAAGACCTAGTTCGTCTACGCACCACAGCCCCGAGCTCACCTCCCCCTCTAGATGGGCGCCCCAGCCCACTAGAGAGGCGTCTGTATACAGGTTCAACGTTGCCCGGTAGGGCCGCATAGAGACTCCTGATAAGACATTGTAAGGGACCGTCCACCACTCCAGATGCGGTCGGAGCCGATCAGGGAGGGCGACGGTCGCACTGTTCACCTCCGTTGCTAACAACTGGATTAAAAACCATTGCAGCGGGCAGAGTTGGAGACGACCCCGTTCGGTGCAGTCCTGGGCTGATACAAGTAGCCCTAACAGCTGTTCACAAAAGTGAACAGTCTGTTGCACCACTAAGACTTTTGCAATCATCGCCTGAATCTTGTGCCACCGGTCTGGGGGGACAAAGAGGCGTTGGGACACCGTGTTGAACCGACCTCCGATGAACTGCAAGTTCTGAGAAGGGGTTAACTCGCTCTTGGGGAGATTGACAATCCACCCCAATTGCTCCAAGAGCCGACGTGGGAAACAAGATGGCGTGACAGGGTGTCCGTCATTCGATTTGCTACTAGCGAGTTGTCCAGGTACGCGAAGTACCGGACACCCCTCCGGTGGAGGAACCCCACTATGGGGGTGGTTAACCGGGTGAACAGCCAGGGAGCGGATGAAAGACCGAATGGGAGTACAACCCACTCGTAGTGCCTGCCTTGAAAGACAAACCTGAGATACTTGTGATGATCTGGGTGAATCGGAACATGCATCCTTCAGGTCGATCGAAGTGAGCCAGTCGGCCGGCATGATCAGTGCTTTTAGGTCCGTCAAGCTCAACATTCTGAACTTGGGCGGCTGGCGCAGGTAGAACTCGTTGAACGATTTCAAGTTGTGAATCATTGTGAGTTCAGCACTGTCCTTCTTGGGAACGAGAAATATCCTGGAGTAAAACCCCGGTGTTATTTCTGGTAGAGCTAACTCCCGAACTGCCCTCTTCTCCACCAACCTGCCGATGGCATCGGCGAGGAAGGGAAGGTCGGTTTCCGAATAGAAACCTGCCGACGGGGCAACAGTGAGCGGCGGATTCGCTTTGAGATCCAGCCGATAGCCGTACCGAATCGTGTTGACCACCCATGGGGCGTCGAACACTTGTTCCCAATTCTCCCAGTAAGTCTGGAGTCTGGCTCCCACTGGGGAAGGAGAGGGGGGCCTGATGGGCTGCGGCAGGCGCAACTGTCCAGGGCCAAGTGACTCGAGTTCGCCTAAGGGCCAACCGAAGTTGGCGCTGTCGGCATATGAACCCCTCCAATGAGAGTCACCTGGAGGGGCCCTTGCTGTCCTTAGACGACTTGGGCTTCCCCCAGTTCCCCTTCTTCCCGCGAAAGGGCTGCTGAGAACCCTTACCGGAGCCCTCAGAGCGGGGCTTCTTCCCGGAGGAAGAAGAACCCGACCCCTTAGGCCTGCCGGACGCAGCATCCTGGGGCGCGCTCCGCTTCGGAGCGGCACCCAGGCGCCTATGCAAGGACCCAACAAGATCCAGTGTGTGCCGAGAGGCCTCGGCAGACACAGCGGCCTGTTGTTCCTTCAGAACCCCAGGGATCTTGTTATTAAACAGGGTCCGAGCAAGGCTGCGAAAGGAGCACCTCCTGATTGGCAGCGTCCAACCCTGAAGCAACTAGATACGACTGGCGCCGAAGAAAATGGCACGTGCCGGAAACAAAGGCCGAAGCCCCGGCAACGTACTCCAGGAAAGCATTTAAACCGAGCAAGCAGTGTGTAAATGTGCTGGTCTCGGTCCGTAGGAGAACCTTCGACCAGACTGGCCGCTGCAGCCAGGTATGTGTCTCCGTGAGACATTGCCAGCATGGAGTGTCGAGCGAGGGTGTCCAGCTGTTGCAAGGTACCTTGTGGTACCGTGGCAACCGGTGGGGCACGGACCCCAAAACGCTCCACATGGGCTTCCGCGGAAGGACCAGCCTCGGGAAAGGCAAGGTCATGTACCGGGAAAGACCCTTTTCTCCACGACGGTGGAGGTAATGGGAGGCCCCGACCGGAGGCAGCCGTGAAGGCCTTCTCCAAAGAAGGCTTAATCCCGGGCAGCAAGGTTGATGCCGGGAAAGCCTTGTCGGACGTCACGTCGTACACCTCGGAGGAACCCACAGAACCGTGGATTCCCCGTGGTATCGGCAGGGGCTTTGGCATGTCCTCGAAGAGATCATAAACCATGGCCACGCGGTCCTTAACCGATAGCGGAAGCAACGGTTCGGGGGAAGGACCGGTAACCACGGCAGCCGAAGAGGCTGGGGACGGAACAGCCAGCGGCCTATCTTGCGATAAGGCCGCCAGCTTGGAGTCCACAAGTTTCGACAACAATGCGGCGACGGAAGCCCCAGACAGCCCGAGGGCCGCAAGGGGATCCGCCGCAGCCGAGGAGGTGGTACCCGCACGGGGACCCCGACCGGACGAACCGGCCACCACAGGGATGGAGATGGACTGTACGTACAGCCGGTAACGCTCAAACTCCGCAGGCCCCAGACCTTCGCACAGGGTGCACCGGGTGTCCCCGCAAGGAACCCTGCACCGCAGGCAACGATCGTGGGGATCCCGGGACGACAAAAATTTTCGGCACACCCCGCAACTCCGAGGAGCAGGGGTAGAGGGGGTGGAGACTGGGGACATATCCATGTCAGACATTGTTTGTTTACTATAAACAAAGAACAAAACATGGTTACAATGCACGCACCACAATGATTCACAAACGAGCATTTTCACAAGAAAATAAACGAGCAATGTGAACATATAACATACACATATAACTTTTATTAAAGAAATAAGTTATGTTAACCCCCAAAACATACAAGAACAGGGGAAACGTAAAACACAACGCGCATACGCGAACCCCGCAAGTATATAGAAAAAAGGGCGGGAAAAATTTTCCGTTTGGCGGGAAAATTATAACCAAGCGTAGCTACCGCAACGCCCCATAAAAGCACAGTTTATTAGAGAATAAACTTTAATAAATATCACCAAATATTCAAGGAACGCTTCAGCAGGAGGAATACACGTCTTGCTACGCAGACGAAGGAGACAAGAGTGAAGGGTGTCACATGGCAGCTAGGTGGCTACGCACGTGCTGCATGAGGTAATTGAGATCTCTGTGGTAGATTTTGCTATAGCAGCAGTTGTGGGAGACAACAGCCTCGGTATAACAGTGGTAACGTATTACTTAATGTAATTTTATATATTTGAGTTTTCATTTAATGCATGCGTTTCTGTACACAAGTTAAGTGAAAGTAATTAGGTTTTGATGCTTATCTGCAGCTCTGAACTGGATAATAAAACAGATACTGAAAGACATATACAGTAAACTACGTTTACTAAACATGTTTACAACGAACTGATGTATATTACAAACTTATTTTTGGTCCTGGACATTTGCTGTATATAATGCTTATAACAAACTAACATTCGTGGTCCCTTTGAGTTTGTTATAACCGTAGCTTACTGTAATCAGATCACCCCCATAACAATACACACAAAAGATGTGTAGAAAACACAGAACTTCCATGATGGACAGCTACTCACATTTAGAAGCTGGTTAACCTCCTCTGAAGCAGCGTTGTCGAACCAGAGGGAAGTGAGGCGATACGTCCGCAGGTCATGCTTGTCCCCTGCCTTGAGACACTTGATGTAGTTCTCCACCGCTTTCAGGAGGAACTTGTGTCTGTCATCCTCCAGGGCCACCACCTCCCGCTCGTCAATCTCCCCCTGCTTGTCCAGGGCACGCAGGTAACGACTGAAACAAAACACAGGTAAACATTAATATTTCCCTCATAAAATCATTTACGTTCGCTTTGTCATATGAGCTGCAGTAACAAGTCGCTTACCTAAAAAAACAAAAACATAATTAACCTCCCTTTAAAAACTTGTTTTGCACTTTCAATTGCAAAGTATGCCGTCTATGATATAAAGCAACATGTATTTCGTACAAGGTAAGATAACATATTTTAGATTCTAAACTATCCTGCATATTTTGATTAAAACAATTAGTGATGAATTAATATGATTGAAATATGTACTAGCCCTGTAGAACAAGCGTTTGTTTACCTCTTTCTCACCCTGCACATTTTTTTAGCCCTGACAGGAGTCATGAAAACTGCTTGAAACATTGTGACATGGAAGACTGATAACTAGAGCTACATAGGCTACTAGGGGTATTTGAAATGCACTGGTCTTGTGTAATGCCACTAGTGAGTGAGTGAGTGAGTGAGTGAGTGAGTTTGATTTTACGCCGCTTTTAGCAATATTACAGCAATATCCCAGCAGGGGACACCAAAATGGGCTTCGCATATTGTACCCATGTCGGGAATCGAACCCGGGTCTTCTGCGTGACGAGCAAACGCTTTAACCACTAGGCTACCCGACCGCCCTGTCATGCCACTAAACATTGCATACTTCTTTGGCCAGTGACAGACATTATTCTAAATGTATCACACTGACCCACAACAGAGCCTGAACACAGTGGTTGGCGTACTGAAAATCAAGAGGGGAGACTACTTCATGAGGGATGGCACCTCAGATCTCACTTCCACCATGATAGACTCAGACAAAACCATGCAATTCACTCAAACCAATTACAAGGACACCCAATAATTAGTCCAGAGCTGTTTAGACTGAAACCCCAGCCCACTGAACATTTGCAGGAACTTCTTGAATAGACATAACTCAATACCCTTTCATTAATCCCAAAATATGTTTATCCAGACATAGGTTTCTGGCGTGCCCAAGGGACGCAACTCTGCACAGCGAATTGCAGCCCCTTAGACAAGTGGGCCACCCGTGCCCCTAATGAAGGAAGAAGTAGCCTTGAAATGCTACAAACAGTGAAAAAATTGTTATCCACACAGTTTCATGTCCTCTAGCTGCAGCACTCACTCCTTGTCAGACAGGTGGTACTTGTAAGCCTCGTAGTCCATCTTGGCCTTCTTCATGAGCGCCTGCTTGGCCTCGAACGTGGAGGACTTCATGTAGTTGACGATGTTCTGGTACTGGGTGTCCACAAACTGTGCAAGGGACAGGTACGCCTCCATCATGTCCCCGTCCGACGAGCTCTCCAGTAGCTCCACCGTCTGCAGCAGCAGTCAGTACAGTAGGGTGGGTGGGTGATAGAGCGAGTGAGTGAGTGAGTGAGTGAGTGAGGGGGTGGGTAAGTGGACAGGTGAGTGAGTGGTTGAGTTAGTGAGTGGTTGAATGAGTGAGAGCGGTTGAGTTGTTGGGTGAGTGAGTGAGTGAGTGAGTGGGTGAGTGATAGAGTGAGTGAGTGAGTGAGTGAGTGAGTGAGTGAGGGGGTGGGTAAGTGGACAGGTGAGTGAGTGGTTGAGTGAGTGGTTGAATGAGTGAGAACGGTTGAGTTGTTGGGTGAGTGAGTGAGTAAGGGGATCAGGGCTCTTAATTTAGTAATAATGATATGACAATTTCATAAAACAATGATGATTAGAGTCTTATTTTGTAGGTTTACAGTCTTTAGCTGAAAAATTCAGGGTGGTAAGTCACAAGGAAATGTAAAAAATAAATAAATTATTTTTATATATTTCCTCAAAATTTTCATTAGTTTTTACATAAATTTTAAACAGATTTTAATCATAGCATTTTAAATAATTCACTTATATTGATAGAAACAGTAAATGAGTCCGCAGAACAAAACAAAACTCATTCATAAACCATGTTATAAAAAAGTCTGGCCTATAGATAAAATGGCCTTCCACTGTTGGATGTGGTCTGTCCCACCTTCTCCAGGTAGTTCTCTAGGATGACACTCGGGTTCTCGGTACGGGTCTCCGCCAGCCAGTTGCCATACGTGCCCAGGGCTTGAGGAAGCAATCTCACTGCTTCAAAGCACTCATCTTGGATCTGAAAACAAGGAAAACTTGTTCAGCTGAAATCAGTAAAACATCTGTAGTGTAATAGTTCACTCTAATTCCACTATTTAAAAATGGGAAACAACTTGACACAACAATTTGGTTTCATTAGAATATTCCCATCAACATCGCCAACTGAAAGCCTCTCATGAATGAACAAGAAAGCAGTCAGTGAATAAGGTTGAAAACATACTGTTATGAAAGTACTGGTCTGCTTTCAAATATCATAATGAAGATCTTATTTAAACCTTCTCCAGTTTTCCAATGAGACTTTTCATGAGGTGTTTGGCAGTGTTCTGCTCGTCGCGGGCCCAGTAGAGTCTGGCCTCCTCGATCTCCAGCTGCAACTTGAATCCCCTGTCCTCATTCTCCTGTTGTCGCAACTCGGCAATGATTCGTTCTGCAACCTGAAGACAAACGTTTCTCTTTAAATAATGACTCAAGATGTTTCGAAATATAAACAAGTATTTGTCACAGAGTGACGAAATATCCCCCGCCTGTACACCATAGTACCAAATATGAAGACAATCCAGCGATTAGTTCTTGAGATAATGTGGCAACACCGTTTTCCAACTCCAAAAACAGATTTGCCTGCTGTGACCTTGAAAATGGGGTCAAGGTCACCAAATCTGACAGGTGTATGCGGTGTCTGTATATACACTATAGTTCCAAATATGAAGACAATCCAGCGATTAGTTCTTGAGATATCGCGGCAACACCGTTTTCTAACTCCAAAAGCAGATTTGCCTGCTGTGACCTTGACAATGGGGTCAAGGTCACCAAAACCGACTGGTGTCTGCGGAGTCTATATATACACCATAGTTCCAAATATGAAGACAATCCAGTGTTTAGTTCTTGAGATATCGCGGCAACACCGTTTTCCAACTCTAAAAGCAGATTTGTCTGCTGTGACCTTGAAAATGGGATCAAGGTCACCAAAACCGACTGGTGTCTGCGGAGTCTGTATATACACCATAGTTCCAAATATGAAGACAATCCAGTGTTTAGTTCTTGAGATATCGCGGCAACACCGCTTTCCAACTCCAAAAGCAGATATGCCTGCTGGGACCTTGAAAATGGGGTCAAGGTCACCAAAACCGACTGGTGTCTGCGGAGTCTGTATATACACCATAGTTCTAAATATGAAGACAATCCAGTGTTTAGTTCTTGAGATATCGCGGCAACAAACAGGTGGGACGTACGGACGTACGGACGGACGGTCGTGAATACTATATCCCCTGCTTCGCGCTTTCGCGCGGCGGGGGATAAAAACAGCAGCATGGCAAAGAAGAAAATAATTAAAGCTTCAGACTGAAGCTGTGTTAAACGGCTGGGGATACTCTACAATGCAAATTGCCCAAATACAAATCAAACCCAGACACAGACACTACCTCCCCGATACAGCATCCATCACAGACATCCCATCTACATCAACTTTAGCTCACCTGGTACATGCCCTCCCTCTGGATACAGCATTCATCACAGACATCCCATCTACATCTACTTTAGCTCACCTAGTACCTGCCCACCCTCTGGATACAGCATCCATCACAGACATCCCATCTACATCAACTTTAGCTCACCTGGTACCTGCCCTCCCTCTGGATACAGCATCCATCACAGACATCATATCTACATCAACTTTAGCTCACCTGGTACCTGCCCACCCTCTGGATACAGCATCCATCACAGACATCACATCTACATCTACTTTAGCTCACCTAGTACCTGCCCACCATCCCGTTACAGTATCCATTACAGACATCACATCTACATCTTCTTTAGCTCACCTAGTACCTGCCCAACATCCCGATACAGCATCCATCACAGACATCCCATCTACATCAACTTTAGCTCACCTGGTACCTGCCCTCCCTCCGGATACAGCATCCCTCACAGACGTCATATCTACATCTACTATAGCTCACCTAGTACCTGCCCACCCTCTGGATACAGCATCCATCACAGACATCCTATCTACATCTACTTAAGCTCACCTGGTACCTGCCCACCCTCCTGATACAGCATCCATCACAGACATCCCATCTACATTAGCTCACCTAGTACCTGCCCACCATCCTGATAGAGCACCCATCACAGACATCCCATCTACATCTACTTTAGCTCACCTAGTACCTACCCACCATCCTGATACAGCATCCATCAGACATCCCTTCTACATCTACTTTAGCTCACCTGGTACCTGCCCTCTATCCTGATACAGCATCCATCTGAGACATGCCATCCACATCTGCTTTAGCTCACCTGGTACATGCCCACCATCCTGATAGAGCATCCATCACAGACATCCTATCTACATCTGCTGTAGCTCACCTGGTACATGCCCTCCATCCGGATACAGCATCCATCACAGACATCCCATCTACATTAGCTCACCTAGTACCTGCCCACCATCCTGATAGAGCACCCATCACAGACATCCCATCTACATCTACTTTAGCTCACCTAGTACCTACCCACCATCCTGATACAGCATCCATCAGACATCCCTTCTACATCTACTTTAGCTCACCTGGTACCTGCCCTCTATCCTGATACAGCATCCATCTGAGACATGCCATCCACATCTGCTTTAGCTCACCTGGTACATGCCCTCCCTCTGGATACAGCATCCATCACAGACATCATATCTACATCAACTTTAGCTCACCTGGTACCTGCCCACCCTCTGGATACAGCATCCATCACAGACATCACATCTACATCTACTTTAGCTCACCTAGTACCTGCCCACCATCCCGTTACAGCATCCATCACAGACATCACATCTACATCTTCTTTAGCTCACCTAGTACCTGCCCAACATCCCGATACAGCATCCATCACAGATATCCCATCTACATCAACTTTAGCTCACCTGGTGCCTGCCCTCCCTCCGGATACAGCATCCCTCACAGACGTCATATCTACATCTACTATAGCTCACCTAGTACCTGCCCACCCTCTGGATACAGCATCCATCACAGACATCCTATCTACATCTACTTAAGCTCACCTGGTACCTGCCCACCCTCCTGATACAGCATCCATCACAGACATCCCATCTACATTAGCTCACCTAGTACCTGCCCACCATCCTGATAGAGCACCCATCACAGACATCCCATCTACATCTACTTTAGCTCACCTAGTACCTACCCACCATCCTGATACAGCATCCATCAGACATCCCTTCTACATCTACTTTAGCTCACCTGGTACCTGCCCTCTATCCTGATACAGCATCCATCTGAGACATGCCATCCACATCTGCTTTAGCTCACCTGGTACATGCCCACCATCCTGATAGAGCATCCATCACAGACATCCTATCTACATCTGCTGTAGCTCACCTGGTACATGCCCTCCCTCCGGATACAGCATCTATCACAGACATCCCATCTACATCTACTTTAGCTCACCTGGTACCTGCCCTCCCTCCGGATACAGCATCTATCACAGACATCCCGTCTACATCTGCTTTAGCTCACCTGGTACCTGCCCTCCCTCCTTGCAAACTTGGCCATGTTCTGCAGCTGCTGACACAGGACACTTGACACAGACACTCCATTATCTCTCTGCTGGTATTTCCTGGCCAGGATCTTAAGAGCAGCACACTTCACGTCCCACACTGGCTGCAGAAACTCGAACTCATTCACCGGTTCTTGTTCCTCTGTCAGTTTCTCCAGTAGTGTCGTCAGTACATCAGGGTCGGGGCTGCAAGGGAAATGGAAGCAATAATTTTTAAAAAGTGAAGAGGATGTCTTGGGCTTTTCAAGTTCCAGGCTACTAGCAGCAATTTTCGGTTGTACATGAAAGTGACCTATTTAGTCTAGTTCCATCTGGAATGGTGAATGAGAAAGTGAGTGAATGATGTTTTGTGCCACAGCTGTGTTACAGCCAGCCCACCTGATCCATAAAGTCGCATCTAACAACTTGCAGGGGCCACGGGTGGCCCAGTCATCTAAAGACCCTTAATTTACTGTGCAGAGTTGCGTCCCCTGGGCATGCGATAAATCTATGATTGTTGGTTTGAATCCCGGTTTCGAATATATTTCTAGGTTTGTCAGAACCATACTTGTGGGTTTCACCAAAGTGGAAAACATCTGAGCCCTGCATCACTTTGGGTTTTCCTCCCACATTAAGATGACACGCCGTGATATAACTGCAATACTGTTCAAAACTGCATTAAATGTACAAACTCACTACAACCTGCATATAAAGATTGATGGGTCCTATTCTAACCAAGAATCCCCACGACTTGTGACAAAATGACAAACAATTTTAGGTTGTAAACATTTACCACTTTGTGGAGCCGACAAGCATGGGATAGTGATGGCAGACCAAGTATCCTGATTGAGGGAAATTGGGCATTTAAACCCATGACAGGCATAATAAAGACGCGAACAAACACAGTTCCACCAATCAGCTTGCCACCAGCGCCCCACAGAAACAAGGAATCTATTTTGTAGAATTTTCCTATTCGGAATATTCTATAAGTAATACGTTACCACTGTTATACTGAGGCTGTTGTCTCCCACAACTGCTGCTATAGCGAAATCTACCACAGAGATCTCAATTACCTCATGCAGCACGTGCGTAGCCACCTAGCTGCCATGTGACACCCTTCACTCTTGTCTCCTGCGAGAGCAAGTGCTCGGGGGACGGACGGGCGGGCAGCAGCCCAGTGGTAACGTATTACTTATAGAATATTCCGAATAGGAAAATTCTACAAATTACATTAAGTAATACGTTACCACTGTTATACCGAGGCTGACTACCACAGTAGGCGGTGGGGAGCACCTACAACCCGAATCCTGACTGCTAGCGTTCCTTCCGACCAGCGGAAGTAAACACCAAGGCGGAAGCACTCGATGCGCATGCACCTAGCTAGGCGTTACCCTATAGGAATACCAAAGCACTGTCAAGCGCATACCGTAAGGCTCAATCGTCATTGCCAAAACGATTGGTGACTCCAAACGGCCCCACTGGATAGGTATTTCATCGCCGCAGCGGATGAGAACACTGTATCCGCGTGAGCTTAATCTTAGATCAGGTTAAACAGTCGAAAAGAGGGTAATTAATTTCATTCAGACCGTATATCCCAGAGCAAGCCTACTTAAAGTATGCATTAGGCGCGTGACCTAATTCCAGTATTTGTAAGCATGCATCACAAGGTTGGGATACACGACAGACAATTAAAGACATAATTGTCAAAATACAAATAAGGACAAAGCACACAAAAAGCAGCCCTCACCTGTGGTGTGAGTGCGCTGGTTTGCGGGACCCCAACTCCTGTACCCACGGCAGTGGGAACAATGGAGTCGACCCAGATTGACCACCGTGCAAGGTCAGACGCCTGAGAGTTCGGAATTGCGCTGGGCACACCCCTTAGGTGCCCGCTTGCGCCGCGATCCGCGGGCCAAGGCGGTGCACACTCTCCACGACGGCATCAGCGACCTGTTTGAGGTAATGATTGGCAAAAACCGAGTCAGAACGCCAGTAACAACCTCGTAATATTCTGCGAACAGAGATATTCGAGTGTAGGGCAAATGTTGCCGCTAGCGCCCTGATCTCGTGCGGGTTTGACCCCGCTACCGGTAACCCCCGAGACCGGTACGCCAGATTGATGACAGAACGAAGCCACAACGCAATCGAGTTGCGAGTTATGTCAACCGTGCGATTAGGGTTACACGATATGAACAGACGGTCACGCCCTTGTCTACGTTCATTCGAAGCCTTAAGATAATACTTAAGGGCCCTAACCGGACACAGCGCTCTGTCCTCAGTATCAGCAGGATGTAAGATTTCTTTGAGTGATCTTACAGTGAATTCTCTCTCCGTTTGCTCGACTCTCTGATTCTTGGCGACGAAGCCCATGAGCAGGCCCAGGCGGACCGCTCCTTCGTCACCCCTATCGAATCGTACCTTGGCGACATCGAGTGCATGAATTTTGGATACACGTGCCTCCGTGGCAAAGGAGAGGAGAAATGCTGTTTTCCAAGTCACATGCCGGAACGAAGCACTATGCAAGGGTTCATACGGAGCTTCCGTAAGTGATTGCAACACTAGGGAAAGATCCCAGGCCGGTGCCCGAAGGCGGCCCTTCTTAAGATCGTGCTGTTTGAAACCCTTGATAATACCCCGTATCACCGGCTCTTTGGAGAGACTGGTACCCATAGCAACGTCCCGTACCGTAGCAACGGACGAGACATAGTTGGCAATGGAACCCCCGGAGAGTTTCCGGGTCTCTCGCAAGTGAGACATGAAACGAGCAATATCCTGCACAGATACCTTATCTGGCGAATGAATGTGATGTTTACAACACCACTTCGTGAAAATAACCCAACGTGCATTATACACCTTCTGGGTAGAATCACGATGCATACTAACGTATGCCCGAGACGCCCGGCGAGAAAAACCTTTACTCCTCAGACGCTCGGTGACAACATCCACGCGTGCAGATTGAACTGCCCTGCGTTTGGATGAAGCTGACGGGTGTGAGGGTGGATCAAGAGATCCGGTCTCACAGGCAGTGGAAGTGGCGACTGCGTGACCTGGGTCAGCAAGTCGGGGTACCACGATCTGTTCGGCCACATGGGCGCGATCAGTAACATTCGACAGCGAACTCCTCGGAGCCGGCTTAGAATGTGTGGTATCAACGCTGTCGGCGGGTAAGCATAAGCGACCAAGCCCGTCCAGTCTAACGCGAGAGCATCGTGATCGATGGCCCTCGGGTCCGGGACTGGTGATACAAACAACGGGAGTTGATTGTTGAACCGCGTTGCGAACAGGTCGACCATCGGACGACCCAAACGTTCGCACAGCCACTGAAACACTACTGGGTTCAGCATCCACTCTGTGGGGCTCGGATCCTGAGGCCTTGATAGAGCATCGGCCAGAACGTTCCGCACACCTGGGATGTGACGGGCGCGTATCTGGCACGGGACACTGTCCACCAGAGCGTAAAACTCGAACGTGAGATCGAGTAGCAAGGGGCTGTGGGTTCCCCCCAGTTTGTTCACATAGGACACTACTGTCGTGTTGTCGGTCGCCAGCATGAGCCGGGCGTCGACGAGACGATGCTTCCAGTGATTGACTGCGTTGATCACTGCCTTGAACTCGAGACAAGTGATGTGAAGACCTAGTTCGTCTACGCACCACAGCCCCGAGCTCACCTCCCCCTTTAGATGGGCGCCCCAGCCCACTAGAGAGGCGTCTGTATACAGGGTCAACGTGGCCCGGTAGGGCCGCATAGAGACTCCTGATAAGACAATGTAAGGGACCGTCCACCACTCCAGATGCGGTCAGAGCCGATCAGGGAGGGCGACGGTCGCACTGTTCACCTCCGTTGCTAACAACTGGATTAAAAACCGTTGCAGCGGGCGGAGTTGGAGACGACCCCGTGCGGTGCAGTCCTGGGCTGATACAAGTAGCCCTAACAGCTGTTCACAAAAGTGAACAGTCTGTTGCACCGCTAAGACTTTGGCAATCATCGTCTGAATTTTGTGCCACCGGTCTGGGGGGACAAAGAGGCGATGGGACACCGTGTTGAACGGACCTCCGATGAACAGCAAGTTCTGAGAAGGGGTTAACTCGCTCTTGGGGAGATTGATAATCCACCCAAATTGCTCCAAGAGCCGACGTGCGAAATCGAGATGGCGTGACAGGGTGTCCGTCATTCGATTTGCTACTAGCGAGTCGTCCAGGTACGCGAAGTACCGGACACCCCTCCTGTGGAGGAACCCCACTATGGGGGTGGTTAACCGGGTGAACAGCCAGGGAGCGGACGTGTGAATCATTCTGAGTTCGGCACTGTCCTACTTGGGAACGAGAAATATCCTGGAGTAAAACCCCGGTGTTATTTCTGGTAGAGCTAACTCCCGTACTGCCCCTTCTCCACCAACCTGCCGATGGCATCGGCGAGGATGGGAAGATCGGTTTCCGAATCGAAACCTGCCAACGGGGCAACGGTGAGCGGCGGATTCGCTTTGAGATCAAGCCGATAGCCGTACCGAATCGTGTTGACCACCCACGGGTCGTGGAACACTTGTTCCCAATTCTCCCAGTAAGTCTGGAGTCTGGCTCCCACTGTGGAAGGAGAGGGGGCCCTGACAGGTTGCGGCAGGCGCAACTGTCCAGGGCCAAGTGACTCGGGTTCGCCTAAGGGCCAACCGAAGTTGGCGCTGTCGGCATACGAACCCCTCCAATGAGAGTCACCTGGAAGGGCCCTTGCCGTCCGTCGACGACTTGGGCTTCCACCAGTTCCCCGTCTTCCCGCGAAAAGGCAGCTGATTGCCCATACCGGAGCCCTCAGGGCGGGGCTACTTCCCAGAGGAAGAAGAACCCGACCCCTTAGACCTACAGGCCGCAGCAGCCTGGGGCGCGCTCCGGTTAGGAGCGGCACCCAGGCGCCTATGCAGGGACCCAACAAGAGCAAGTGTGTGCCGAGAGTCCTCGGCAACGTACTCCAGGGAAGCATTTAAACTGAGCAGGCAGTTGTAAATGCGCTGGTCACGGTCCGTGGGAGAACCTTCGACCAGACGGGCCGCTGCAGCAAGTAAGTGTCTCCGTGAGACATGGAGTGCCGAGCGAGGGCGTCCAGCTGGTGCAAGGTAGCTTGCGTTACCGTAGCAGCCGGTGGGGCACGGACACCTAACCGCTCAACATGGGCCTCCGTGGTAGGACCAGCCTCGGGAAGGGCAAGGTCATGTACCGGGAATAAACCCTTTCTCCACGACGTCGGAGGCAACGGGAGACCCCGACCGGAGGCCGCCGCGAAGGCGTTCTCCAAGGAAGGCATGAAACCGCGCAGCAAGGTCGATGCGGGGAAAGCCGTGTCGGAAGACTCATCGTATACCTCGGAGGAACCCACAGTCGTGGATTCCCCGCGTACCGGCCGGGGCATGTCCTCAAAGAGGTCATAAACCATGGCCACGCAGTCCTAAACCGATAGCGGGAGCAACGGTTCGGGGGAAGGACCGGTGACCACGGGAGCCGCCGTCGTACCGGTGGACCCCGCGGCCACTGAAGTGGCCGGGGACGGAACAGCCAGCGGCCTATCCTGAGATAAGGCCACCAGCTTGGAGTCCACAAGTTATGCAAGTAATGCAGCGACGGAATCCCCGGACAGCACACGGGCCGCCAAGAGATCCGCCGCTTTACCGGTGGACCCCGCGGCCACCGAAGAGGCCGGGGACGGAACAGCCAGCGGCCTATCTTGCGATAAGGCCGCCAGCTTGGAGTCCACAAGTTTCGACAACAATGCGGCGACGGAATCCCCAGACAGCCCGAGGGCCGCAAGGGGATCCGCCGCAGCCGAGGAGGTGGTACCCGCACAGGGACCCCGACCGGACGAACCGGCCACCACAGGGGTGGAGACGGACTGTACGTACAGCCGGTACCGCTCAAACTCCGCAGGCCCCAGACCTTCGCACAGGATGCACCGGGTGTCCCCGCAAGGAACCCTGCACCGCGGGCAACGATCGTGGGGATCCCGGGACGACAAAAACTTTCTGCACACCCCACAACTCCGAGGAGCAGGGGTAGAGGGGGTGGATACTGGGGACATATCCATGTCAGACATTGATTGTTTGCTATAAACAAAGAACAAAACATGGTTACAACGCACGCACCACAATGATTCACAAACGAACATTTTCACAAGAAAATAAACGAGCAATGTGAACATATAACATACACATATAACTTTTATTAAAGAAATAAGTTATGTTAACCCCCAAAACATACAAGAACAGGGGAAACGTAAAACACAACGTGCATACGCGAACCCCGCAAGTATATAGAAAAAAGGGCGGGAAAAATTTTCCGTTTGGCGGGAAAATTATAACCAAGCGTAGCTACCGCAACGACCCATAAAAGCACAGTTTATTAGAGAATAAACTATAATAAATATCACCAAATCTTCAAGGAACGCTTCAGCAGGAGAAAACACGTCTTGCTAAGCAGACGAAGGAGACAAGAGTGAAGGGTGTCACATGGCAGCTAGGTGGCTACGCACGTGCTGCATGAGGTAATTGAGATCTCTGTGGTAGATTTCGCTATAGCAGCAGTTGTGGGAGACAACAGCCTTGGTATAACAGTGGTAACGTATTACTTAATGTAATTTAACCCCACAAACATCACCGCCACCTGGGATGATGGACTTACCTGACAACAGCGTCCACCATCTGCTGAAGATGGAAGAGGCTGTGAAGCCTGCTGAGCACTGGATACACGCTACGGCAACTCTCCAGGTGAGTGTCGATAACCTGCAGGGTGCTCTGTCTGTCACAGAAACATGTCACATAAATATCACATATCAACAAGACACTGATTCACGCTACGGCAACTCTCCAGGTGAGTGTCGATAACCTGCAGGGTGCTCTGTCTGTCACAGAAACATGTCACATACCGTATTTTCTTGAGTATAGTGCGCACTTTTTTTCGAAAAAACACAGCATTGTAGAAGGGGGTGCGCATTATACACGAATTATGAGTTTGGATGTTTTTTTCCCCCATGGAAAGACATTACTGTGAGCACAAAACACCGGGAATACCATGTCAACAAATCCATACTGAAGTACGCAAAATAATTATGTAATTACACTGTCTGGCTATAAAAAGTGTTCTTTGTATATCTGAACTTATGTTTGTAACTTATGTCATTGATTTTATTCAAAATTCCTTATAATATTGTTTTTATTAATTTCGGCGAAATCGTGTGTGAAGCGATTGGAAGATCGCACAACTCACCGTTATTAACAGCAACCACGGTCAGAATACCGCTATTGACGCCTTGAAACAAACTTTAGTTGACAGAGAATGGATACATATATCATAAATGAAATACTTTGACTCATTAAAAGTCATATTTGTTTTTGTTTGACGATTCTATGTCAACATGAAATTCTCGCGATCACGTGATCATGTGCGCGTGAGCCTTGACGGTGACTGGTCAGACATGTTCCATGTAAAAAATAATACCCGGGAATAGCGATCAGCTGCTTCGCTTAGGGTTATTATTATTTTAAATATGTTTATTAAAGGTTGCATATAATTAAGAAAATAATGGAATATATTATTCCTGATAAATAAAATAGTTTCAGATACAATTGTTGCCGATCCTTGCATTAAAAATCTTATAAAGTTATATCATTGGGTGTGTCTTGACCGAATCACCGGTCGATTCCAAGAAAACGTGTGTACAGCTGATTGCTGTTTCCAGCTTAGTTTACGAGAAAATACGCAAGGTAATCTTAATCCCTAAATATAAAACAATGCCTAGCAGAACAATAAATACTATTTAAACGGTAAATAAACATGTCTGGTGATTTTTTATCTCAAATTTCGAATTTGTACTGACGAAGTTCTCAGCACCCGTTCGTTTGCCGGACTTATAATATAATATAATATTCAAATTTCTTTTTTTCCAAAATATTGAACCCGCTAGAGGGGGGTGCGCATTATACATGGGTGCGCACTATACTCAAGAAAATACGGTAAATATCACATATCAACAAGACACTGATACACGCTACGGCAACTCTCCAGGTGAGTGTCGATAGCCTGAAGGGTGCTCTGTCTGTCACAGAAACATGTCACATAAATATCACATATCAACAAGACACTGATACACGCTACGGCAACTCTCCAGGTGAGTGTCGATAACCTGAAGGGTGCTCTGCCTGTCACAGAAACACGTCACATAAATATCACATATCAATAAGACACTGATACACGCTACGGCAACTCTCCAGGTGAGTGTCGATAGCCTGAAGGGTGCTCTGCCTGTCACAGAAACATGTCACATAAATATCACATATCAATAAGACACTGATACACGCTACGGCAACTCTCCAGGTGAGTGTCGATAGCCTGAAGGGTGCTCTGCCTGTCACAGAAACACGTCACATAAATATCACATATCAACAAGACACTGATACACGCTACGGCAACTCTCCAGGTGAGTGTCGATAACCTGAAGGGTGCTCTGCCTGTCACAGAAACATGTCACATAAATATCACATATCAACAAGACACTAGAAACATGGTCTCAATCAATGGCAGAAAACCTTGAAAAAATAAGACACATTTCAATACCTGACTACAAATACAATCTTATTTAGATATTTGATTATGACAGACAAATGGATAAGTCTATTCCATATTTTCTACCATTACGTACAATTTATAAAGCTATATATAAGCAAAAACTATAATCACACTTAGAAAAAGATAATTCCCGTTACCCACCTTGCACTGTGTATCGAGGCCTGAGCCAGTTTCAGCTGATCGTCCTTGAGAGCATCCATGGCACAGTAGAGTTTCTGATGGAACCCTGTCTCAGCACCAACCCTGGGAACCGACACACTGAGTGAGTGAGTGAGAGAGTATGGTTTTACGCCGCTTTTAGCAATATTCCAACAATATCACGGCGGGGGGACACCAGAAATGGGCTTCACACATTGTACCCAAGTCGGGAATCAAACGTCGGGTCTTCGGCGTGATGAACGAACGCTTTAACCACTAGGCTACCCGACCGCCCCACCAACACACTGACAAACTTAAGGCATCACTAATTTAACATGGTAAGTGTAACGTTCTGATACTGTAAACCTCACTGAAATTACTGCAGATAAAATACACTACAAAGACAAAGTTAATGACCACACGATTCTTTCATATGACTAATGCTAAGACTGCTCCGTGGTCTAGTGATAGAGCATCTGCCCAGCAAGAATTTCGAGCCCAGACAGTGTCATACCCCAAGACGTTAAAAGATGGTACTTGTTGTTACCCTGTCTGGTGATTGGCATTAAGGGGCTAAAACAAGGACTGGTCAGGTTGGAGCCAGTATACTGTGTCTGAGTGGGGTATTCATGTTAAACAGCGGCATGGCATCTCAGTGGGCTAGCACTATAAAATCGGCATTAGTCCGGACTAGTACAATCAGCCACATGGATATATGCATATGGTGCAATAACGCGACGTCAAACCACATTTCACCTTACACTATAGTTAATCTGTCATGCATGGGCCCAGGTACACAAAGAAAGCAGGTTAATTCTCAGTTAAATATCCCCATCATTTTTAAAAGTCATTTTTCCTGAAATATACAAAAGTTGAAAAAAAAATAACAAAGAGATTTTAGGAATCCTGATATTTTTAAAGACTTGCTTGACCAACAGACTTTGACAATTCATTTGATCCACCCTTATTGACAGACACCTACATGTACATACCCGACAGGCACATCGAGACTCCACTGCCATTAGATTCCCACACCAAACATTGCATGAACATGAACAGCAAGGCTCAACATGAACGTACCTGGCTGGCACATCAAGGTTCCACTGCCCCGCCCTCCATGCCGCCTCATACTGCACCTCCTGCAGGGCGGGGGAGAGCCCCGTCTCACCCACCTTCCCCGTCAGACACAGCTCCAGCAGGTAGTCAGCTCCGAAACTCTGCAAGGTCTGGAAACGAAGGGGAGGATGTTTCATATCGATGTGGCTTTTGAAGAAAATGAGTCTGAGCCAGGAAAAAAATAGTAGATTGCATCTGCAACATTCAATACTAATGGGGAATGATGACTCACATTTATTACACAGATGGGAAGGGAGATGCAGGGTAGTATTTTTGCTGTAACATCCACAGGAGGTTACAGCAGTCACTTAAATCCGGTTGGCTGTTTTAGAAATCCTGAACCACTTTTCCCATTCATCATGTTCATTCATCATTTTCCACAACAAGTCTCATGACAAGTTTCACAATTTCACTCAGGACAGATAATCCGCCATTCCTTGTCACTCGTAAATTATTGTCTATATAACCCAGGTGACACATGGTAACCAGCTGATCCATATTACCCAGCTCAAGATGACCTACTGGGGACCTATTCCGCAAAGTAACCTTAGCACCAAGATGACCAGGGCTCCCATACTTTAACATTAACTTAGGACAGTTGTAGTGCTGAGACCACTTGTAGAATGTGGTCCTTATCTGCCCCTATATCCCCACTTGGTAGGTGAGGAAGTTTCAATTGATCTGGATCCCATTTCACAAAGTGATTTTAGTGCTAAGGTGATCAGTGCGGTCGGGTAGCCTAGTGGTTAAAGCGTTCGCTCGTCATGCCGAAGACCCGGGTTCGATTCCCGACATGGGTACAATGTGTGAAGCCCATTTCTGGTGTCCCCCGTCGTGATATTGCTGGAATATTGCTAAAAGCGGCGTAAAACCAAACTCACTCACTCACTAAGGTGATCATAACTCCCATACTTTAACACAGTCTTACGATCATCACTGCGCTAAGATCCATTTGTGGAACAGGGCCCTGATGTTATCACTTGTTCCATTACTTGACTAAGGTAATTCCAAACTGAAGTAAGTATGGTTTTATGCAGCTTCCCGGGGCAAGAGTGTCCTCTAGCCTTTTTATCAAAGTCTTGTTTCCTTCCTTGCCACATCCAGCCCACTTTCCTGTGCTAAACATGATTGGACTATCGCACATATTGATATTCCAATCAGAGAACGTTCCACAAAATCAACATCCATGACTAGAAACAATCGTATGAAAGTGATTTACCACTGCCTGTCATTGTTGACATGAATATGTCTTTTTCATCTTTTAAACCCCCCAATGATTGTCTATGTTTTTGTGTCAGGGATGAAATCGTGAATGTTTTAATTATCAGATCGACTAAGTCGTTGCCTTTTGTAGTCGCCAACTTTGTGAAGTTTTTCGACATAAGAAAAGCGATTGGACATCGCGTTTTCATTACAAGGGGCACAACTCGTGATCAACGCAAGGTGGCACCAGGGTTGAGCCAAGAAAAGTGGTCTTGATGTGGCAAGGGTAGAAACTAGGCTTTGATATAGGCTAGTGGACAGGCTTGCTTTGGGAAGATGGGTTTTATGCAGGTTTAGTAAATGTATACTACTCAAAAGAAGTAAAAGAACATTGATTTTTTTCATTTTTCCATGACAGATTAACTATAGTAATATGAAAGAATTGGGTGTTCTTTAACATTTTTGAAGTAAAATATACTTCACATCTTGGCAGGGGGCATCAGGAATTGGTTTCGCCTTTTGTCTCCAATTTGGGAATAAAACCTGGCTTTTCTGTTTGATACGAAAATGCTTTAGCTACTCAGCTACATAAAAGCCTCAATTAAGGTGAGAATGTTTCTTGAGTGAGTCTGCTCCCCAAAAGCACCATGACAACCTGTTTCTAAAGGATACAGACATATTACCTCTTTTACAACTGGCGCAGGAATCTCTCACCTTTAAGAGGCCCATGTCCTCTGTTGGCTGTCCCATCTTCATTCCGATGTCAAAGGTAACCACCGCCTTCTCAAGTCTGTTCTCATGAAGGTAAGTTTTAATCCTAGGAACAGAAAGCCATCGTGTCAGCCAGACTCCACAAGCCCTCTGAACATCCAACCCTCACCACTATTATAGACTGACCATCCTAAACTAGAGTCTATTCATATATGTTCCAATGTTAGACCCCAACACCAGGACCCTCCACACCTGTGCCAATCAGTGTCACCCAGACACCTCATCTCCTCATCACTTCTCACTAAGATGTGGAGTCTGCCAACCTCCCAGCCCCACACCCGTACACCCCATCAGTGTCCTCCATCCCATACACCCCGTCAGTGTCCCCCTATCCATACACCCATAGGTGTCCCCCACACCTGTACACCCCGTCAGTGTCCCCGACACTGCTCACCTAGACGCTGAGTCCACCAGCCTCCCGGCTCCACACCCGTACACCCTGTCAGGGTCCCCGACAATCTGGAGGCCCCGTCAGTGTCCCCCACTCTGCTCACCTAGACGTGGAGTCTGCCAGCCTCCCGGCTCCACACCCGTACACCCTGTCAGGGTCCCCGACAATCGGGTACCCCCAGCCAGTGTCCCCGACACTGCTCACCTAGAAGTACAGTCCACCAGCCTCCCGGCTCCACACCCGTACACCCTGTCAGGGTCCCCGACAATCTGGAGGCCCCCGTCAGTGTCCCCCACTCTGCTCACCTAGACGTGGAGTCTGCCAGCCTCCCAGCCCCACACCCGTACACCCCGTCAGGGTCCCCGACAATCTGGTACGCCTCCAGCAAGAGCTCCTGGACATTCAGCTGGGTACTGGAGGAGGATGTGATGCTACTCAGTGTGTCGAGACGCTGGTCCTGGCTCACTGGCTGCGACAATCGCTGAGACCGACTCCCCGACGATGAATCCTTGTCATCCTCACTGAAAGAAAAGAATAAGATGATATTGAAAAACAAAACCTGTGCTTATAGTGCTTCAGGTTGATATGATAGAACATAGAACATGGGACATCAGATGCTGCTCAGAAAGAGGCGGTCATTTATTCCCCACTCAAGTTGCAAGTATGTGCAATATCCCGAAATAATTAATTGTGATAACTGAACATTTTCTGAAGAAGTTTCTGTTTGTTTGTTTGTTTGTTTTAAGCAGCAGTCAGCAACATTCCTGACATTACAACCTGTAAATAATTTAGTCTGTGCCAGACAAACCAGTGGTTGATGTGATTATCCCATGTTGTTGTGAGAGGCTGATTACGACAGGGGGACATATACTATTCTGGAAGAAGTTTCTGACCTGCATGAGTCGGACCATATCTCTGCGTACAGAATGGCGGTGAACGGAGCGGAGCAGTAGAGGGCCGCCCTCGCCACCTCCAAGTAGTTCAACTGCAGCCAGAAGTTGTCATCCCAGGGGGTCAGGACCTTCCGCCTGTCACACAAATGATCTATAGAGTGGCGCTAAGTTGTCAACCACACAAACATAGATCTGAATAGTGGCACTAAGTTGACAACCACACAAACACAGATATACATAGTGGCACTAAGTTGTCACAACACACAAACACAGATCAACATAGTGGCACCAAGTTGTCAACCCACACAAACACAGATCAACATAGTGGCACCAAGTTGTCAACCCACACAAACACAGATCAACATAGTGGCACTAAGTTGTCAACCACACAAACACAGATATACATAGTGGCACTAAGTTGTCAACCACATAAACATAGATCTACATAGTGGCACCAAGTTGTCAACCACATAAACATAGATCTACATAGTGGCACCAAGTTGTCACTCCACACAAACACAGATCAACATAGAGTCACTAGGTTGTCACTCCACACAAACACAGATCAACATAGAGTCACTAGGTTGTCACCCCACACAAACACAGATCAACATAGAGTCACTAGGTTGTCACTCCACACAAACACAGATCAACATAGAGTCACTAGGTTGTCACTCCACACAAACACAGATCAACATAGTGTCACTAGGTTGTCACTCCACACAAACACAGATCAACATAGTGGCACTAAGTTGTCACTCCACACAAACACAGATCAACATAGTGTCACCAGGTTGTCACCCCACACAAACACAGATCAACATAGAGTCACTAGGTTGTCACTCCACACAAACACAGATCAACATAGTGTCACCAAGTTGTCACCCCACACAAACACAGATCAACATAGAGTCACTAGGTTGTCACTCCACACAAACACAGATCAACATAGAGTCACTAGGTTGTTACCCCACACAAACACAGATCAACATAGTGGCACTAAGTTGTCACTCCACACAAACACAGATCAACATAGTGTCACTAGGTTGTCACAACACACAAACACAGATCAACATAGTGGCACTAGGTTGTCACAACACACAAACATCTGTCTACACAGTAGCATATTTGTTCTATAGATGAACAGCATAAACAATCAAATAAAATCATGGTATTTAATCTCACTCCACTTGAACTCATTTCATACATCCTATCAACAATATTTTTTGTCTTAGGATGACGATTTCCGAGGGAGACGATTTTGCAATCATTTGAGACACAAAGCAAAGATAGTGTGATGGCAGTCAGTATAAGTTTGTGAATATCTTGTCTCACCCTCGCCTTGGTCTTTTCTGTTGGCGCAGGTACTGCACCACGTGAAGCATGGTCTGTACTGACTCCTTGTTGCAACACACGCCAGCTGCAGAATAAATCACCAAGGCAAGGCCTAAGTCACTCTCGTCTATAGGACTGTTCCTACTACCACCCTACCCTCACTAACACGTTAAAGATCTATATTTAAACCAGTCTAACACCTGAATACTTTAGATCGTCTGAAAAAGCTGAGACATGTGTATATTAAAATAAACATACAAAAAATAAGTATTTAAGAAATGACTTCAATATTTTTTTGCATTTTATGGAGGTATATATAAATGTAAACAAATGTTTGCACAATATGACAATCCATATGCACACCTGTTTTTACATTTATACCTCCATGAACCCAAAAACATATTGATCTGAATTTTACAAATAAGGCTAAAAAAATAATAGTCTTGATACTCAGGCACCGCCCGCATCATCATAAAGTCTGTGCCGCACATTACATTTATATTTTCATTTTATTTTTTTAAGAAAAAAACCCAAAACAATGCGCTCCAAAGCTTCCAGTTACTTACCTTGACACGTACAATGTATTATTGCGCATCTTTTGTAATGGTCATGGCAGCAATAGGAGTTTGTATACTTGGTTATGTAGGGAGGTTGATGATACACAACTGTTTATTTGATTACATACTAGTTTGAACAAGCAAAAAAATAGAAAAAAACACTGCCTGCCCACACAATATTTTCAAAACTCATTGCCTGAGAACCAATTCTTATATTTTTTAAACACTTCAATATTATTTCAGGCTGCTTATTTAATCATTAACACATGTACTACATGTAGATGACATTACACAATCAGTCACATCATTAGCGCAATAATGTACCACAAGCCTGCAGATTCTATAATCAGCCAATCAGCAAAGAGCAGTCCGTTAGTGGGCGTAGTTCAACTTTATGGGGTTATGGAAACTAGGGAAATGAAATTTGTGTGATTTGCCTAATGCCAGGGAAACACTTGCATTTCATTAATTTACTGTTAATGTACACATGACAAGAATGGCATGCTGTTGTAACCACTACGCTGCTCCACCACAACTTACACTCACTCATAGCCTTGCTGTCCCCGCAGGAGGCCCCTCTCCCTGCTCCACCACAACTTACACTCACTCCTAGACTTGCTGTCCCCGGAGGAGGCCCCTCTCCCTGCTCCACCACAACTTACACTCACTCATAGACTTGCTGTCCCCGGAAGAGGCCCCCCTCCCTGCTCCTCCACACACGGTCTCACAGTGAGTCTGGAAGAAGCCCGAGATCCTGTTTGACACCACCTCCCAATGATCGTCGATGCCTGCTACCAGGATGTTGTGGACAAGGAACGGCAGCACCATCTCACAGAACTCGGGCTGTGCCAACAAGTTATGCAGATATCAGTTATCACAACTGCCTAAATCAGGGATTAATCCAGGATGCCAAACTAACTGTCCAGAGTAGGCAATTTGGGAAAAATTGTTATCTTGCTCAAACATGTCACCTCTGCAAAGCTCTAACATTAGATATTACTATATAACATGAATTGGGACATTTGTAATTTCTCTTTGCAATTTTTATAGACATTTGGTGCAGACTTGAGGCCGAACTGGTGCCAAAGAGCAGTCTGGAAAAAGACTATAAATCATTGTAGAAGAAGCATCACAAAGTTATGAATAATGGAAAATTTGTAGAAAAGAAAACAGACCAGAATGAAATCTTAATGTAGAGCCTGAGAGTGATGCAACCCTGACTCATGAAAATCACTGTTAGTGTGGATTGAAGCTATCCTCTGGAGAACAGCCTCCTTCTTGTTCCTATCTTACCCTGAGTTCACATATGGGCGAGAGCAGACGCAGCAGGTCGTCGGTGACAGAGCCGCTGTTGAGGAGTGCACATGTCAGGTCCGTCACCCAGCGTCTGTGGTCTCCATGTTCTGGCACCCACAGACTATCCGAGTTGACTGTCTGGAAGAACCTCTCCAGATTCCCTGTAGACGCTTCACTAGCCACAGGCTGAAACACAGCATCAATCACATTCTCAACCATGTCCTGGCATCAAGGACAACCAATAAGTGAGACGAGTTGTCTCCCATAGCCATGCCAGGATCTGCTGATCATGGTTCTATAACTAATTTGACCTGTTGTTATAATCCCTGGTTTCACATCAACATTATTGTGGACTTCAAATTCATAAACAGCAATGATCTGTTTTACAATGGGCTGTTCTCCCATGCGAGGACATAACTAAATTCTGATCAAAGCGGCATAAATCCTAACTCATTCATGAAACCATGGATCTTGTAGAGCTCAAAACGGCTGCTGGCCCCCATTCTACCTCATGTAGATGTTTATCACTCTGGTCAAACCAACCAGCATGGGTTAGACACAATAAACCAAGGATCATAAAGTGTGAGTGAGTGAGTGAGTGAGTAAGTTTTTACGCTGCTTTTACTAATATTCCAGCAATATCACGATTGGGGACACCAGAAATGGGCTTCACACATTGTACCCATGTAGAGTATCAAATTTTGTCGTGACGAGTGAACACTTTACCCACTAGACTACCCCACCGCCCAGGATCATAAAGAGGGAAAATTTAGATTCCAACCTCCCAGACACCAATACCCCAAATACAATGGGTTTAGTAACTATAACCATGTTTGCATCACATTCACATAACCAGAATCAGCTTTCATGCTTCATTTAAAAAAGACTTCAGAACGATTCTTCCATATTCATTTTGGCCTATCACCATGAATACCTGATGCACTCAAGGAAGAAAGTTAAGGAGGTTAGTTAGAAGCACCACGCCCTCACACATCTTACAACATCACTAGCTTAACACATAACAATGAAAAATGACATCAAAGTATATTTCCCCAACTCCTTATTGTAATGTGCAAACTAAAAGTTGTATTTTATACCTAATTTACCCAAGGAATATCACATTGAAGCATGATTAATAATTCTACCATGACATTGAAGATAGTTTGATTCTGAATAGTTCAAATGAGGTATCAATTTTCTAATTGATACCCCCGATTTAAGCCTTTTCAGACAAAAAAACATATGTATGAATACATCAAATCAGGTGGTAAGATACAATATCTACAAGACACTAAATGTATTGTCTTGTTGTTATGTGATGTTCAATTCCATTCCGACTGACCTTTAAACGTAACCAATTAAACTATCTACATTTTCCCACGACATGAAGCACCTGACTTCCTACAGTAGCATCAGCACCATACCTTCTTCTTGCACTTGAAAGGATGCAGATAGTTGAAGAGATAGTCTTTGTCAGCTAGTTTGGCCTTGTAGTCGTTGCTGAATTCTACGCCAAGCCTTGTGGCCAGCATGGACTTGAGGACCTCGCCAGACCTCTGCACTACCGTGATGCTGCAACATATAGGCAGGCTCTCAAGTCAAACTGAAGAATCCTCGAACACATGACACTTTTATATGGACAGCAACTTCTATTACTCTTTGTATGAAGGAGCAAGAAGTATCTCTGAAACGTCATACAAAGAATAAAAGAAGTTGCTATCCATAAAAAAAAGAAGTGGCATGTATTCATCTTCCTCCCACTTCTAAATGAAGACTTGAAGAATCCTTGCGAAGGCAATTCATAATAAAGCACTGCTTGTACTGCATACTATCCTTTCAGCTTAATCTACTGAAAGAGTTAGTAAGTTTGGATTAACACCGTTTTTAGCAATATTCCAGCACCAGAGATGTACACATATTGTGTCCATGTAGGGAATCGAACTCCGCGCCTTCGCGTGATGAGGTTAGGCTTCCCCATTGCCATCTGCAAGGAGACACCCGAGAATATCCGGATTAGAGAAATAGGCGAATTTGCTTGTTGCAAGAGGCAACTAATGGGATCGAGTGGTCAGGCTTGCTGACTTGATCGCTGCAAGTCATCGTATCCCAATTACGAGGATCGATGGTCATGATGTTAATCACTGGATTGTCTAGTCCAGAGTTGATTATTTATAGACCACCATCATGCAGCTGGAATATTGCTGAGTGCAGCGTTAAACAACAATTAAACAAACAAAACAAATCTGCAGGGAGAACTCTACCAAGGGAGAGAGAGAGAGAGTGAGTATGATTTTACGCCGCTTTTAGCAATATTCCTGCAATATCAAGGCGGGGGACACCAGAAATGGGCTTCACACATTGTACCCATGTCGGGAATCGAACCCAGGTCTTCGGCGTGATGAACGAACGCTTTAACCACTAGGCTACCCGACTGCCCGAACTCACCAAGGATCAACAAGATACTGGTTGAGACAGTGGAAGATCCGGCAGTACTTCTGGCCATCCGAGTTGTCCTGGTATGCTTCCAAGGAGTCCTGTAGTCCGGGCTGGGGACACTTCTTCGGGAGGGACAGTGTGTAGAGGTCAATTGGTCCAATGATTCCAAGACAGGATGCAGCTTCCAGTGCCACCTGGTGGCAAGGTGACTGTGTCAAGTGGAGTAACTCACAGACCAGCTGACACAGAACAGGACCATCAGTTGAGTCTGAAATGAAGCCATTCAGGATGATCAGTGATGAGTTTGATTTAACACTGCACTGAACAATAATTATGGAACCTGGAAGTGTGTCAGCTTGATGTGAGGAATGTAATCAGCTGGAACAAAATTTTCAACACAATGGAGAGATTGACCAACGAGCTAATTACAAGGAAATATCTGTCTTGAGTGAATGAAAGGTGTTAATCCACTGACATTTACTCATTGACATATTATTAAGGAAAATGAATATAAACTGTTTGAAATGTCAACCCCACAGAGAAACTTCACTGAAGGAAGCCTGTTATTCAGATGATGTATTGTTATCAATTAAACATCATGAAAAGTGGATGTCATATGTCATTTATTTTTTAAAATGAAGCACTGTGTCGTCATATGACTTCAACTGACCAATCAGCATAGAGTATCACTAAAATGCATGTTTGTTTGTTGTTTAACGCCGCACTCTGCAATATTCCAGCTATATGAAGGCGAGCTGAACATATTTGATTCTGGACAAGACCATCCCATGATTGATGTCTTGAGCATCGATCCACGCAATTGGGACACGAAGACATGCATCAACATGCAACATATTTGATGCAACTTACCATTTTGAGGCTTCACTGAAAACCCATGTTTTCTTTACAAGTTTCAATGAACAGAATATTTGGTTGTGAACATCCGGGTAGAATGTGCGCTGTACTCAACATAGCAGCAACATCACATTCCTACTGGTTGCTTAAGCAATGCAACAATATATACTACTCAAAAGAAGTCAAAGACCACCCGATTCTTTCATATTACAATAGTAATATGATGCTACGTTGCAACAATAGTTAATCTGTCATTGCATGACAATTAAGAATAGTAAAATTCAAAGAATTGAGGGGTGCTTAACATCTTTTGAGTAGTATATGTGGCAGATACAACATTGTACATATTTATTTTATTCACCTTTAGTGTCTGCTTTTAAGTGGTCAACTTTTTTGTTTAATTATTGGTTAAGATAGATTAAATGTACCAAATGTGTCCTTCATGTTGTTAGCCTTAACAAACCCAAGCCATGACATGCTCAACTGATTGGCCAAGCTAACCTCAAAGTTGACCCTTTGTCTCACTGCATGTTCTCAGTCTGCACACATTTGTTGGCAAGTAAAATCATCTAAAATCAGATATCTGGAATGATAAGTTGCGGCACTAGTCGGGAAGACACCAATGTCTCACCCACAGGGGTGTGATACATACATGAAACATCCATTGGCAAAATATAACGTCTCTCATCCGTAGCGTGTGTTTGCCTATCACTCATTCATTGCCCTGCTACATATACATAATGATTTGAAACCAGTGACAGTTTGAAAGTTTTGCATGACTTACTCTGTGAATCTGTTGTTAAAGTGCGAAGCTCCGATCGACTCTGGCAGAAGAGGGAGTTGAGAGAGAGGAGAGTTTGTGTGCAGCCCTCAGTGACTGTCTGCTTCTCTTGGAGGACCTTCACAGTATGTTGCATCTCCTGACGAATATCAACAACAACTGCTGACTGGTTGAAGACTTGAGACAATATAAATGGAATCGGGTGTACAAATCCAGGTTTGGTAGTAATAGAGAGGAGAAATATGGTTTAGCACCATTTGTACTAACAAATCCACATACGGTCTTTGACGTCAAGGGACACGAGGCTACATCCGGAGGAAGCAGACACAGTCATGAATAAACTGGTAGTAGTTCCTGTAGTTTTCATGTGCTGTATGACATGTCATTAAACATTTATCAAAGATTCTCGATGTGTTTTCTGATTTGCGAGTGTTATTGAATATTTGATGGCAGGAAACTTCTTTTGGAATATGTGGCGTTTTCAACATTGTAAACTACGAAAGTTATCAGTAGTTTTCTATAGCCCTCTGTCTCTATATGAACTCCCAGTTGTTAGACTGACATGATGACACTCTGGAATGCTATGACGTCATGATAAGATATTTCCAGGATCCAATCCCAATTAACAATGTTTTTAAACCAATCAGATTTCCGAACACATTTGCATTTATTTTACAGGTCAACAAACCTGTATCAAAGAGCCTCTCCCTGCGTGTTTCTGGAGCTTTCTGTGAACCTTCCTGTAATTACTGAACTCATACTCCTCAGGGAATGTGTCCAGCTGGCCAATGGCGCCGCGGAGGGCACCGGCGTTCTCCATGATCAGCAAATTGAGCAGCGTCTGGCTGCTGTCCTGGAGGGGTCCACGCCGCCTCATCAACGGGAGGGTCGTACTTACAATACAGTCCAGGTACTTGCCCAGCTCCTGGGGAGGAAAGGCAGTGAGATTAACACGGCGGTGATGGTGGAGGTGAAATGGGTTTTAACATTGCATTCCCTCCTATCTGCTTGTACTACAGTGCTAAGCCCACTGAGATAACATGCCTGAGTTTAGCATACATGTACACTCCACTCAGACACAGTATTCTGAATCCGTGGCAACCAGACCTTGCTTTATCCCGTCTTACCCTGGGGAAGAACTGGTCTTGGCTAAACAACAGGAAGAACAGGCCAGTGGAAGGTTTAGCCTGGTACACCGGGTCTTCCCAGGGTTCTGATTAATCTGAACAAGAGAGAAAGTGAAGCCGTTTCAATTTACTAAAGGCCAAAGTCTGCCCCGACTCAAAGGGAGATAACCTACCTCTGGACAACTCTCTAGGGCCACTGTACTGATGCTATGCAGCAGACCAATACATGTCTCCATCATGGACAGCCTCGAAGCATGGTCACTCACAAAGATGTCTCTGGAAAAAACAAAATTGTCATGTTAGCTTCAGTTCTTAAGGTGGACGCTAAACATTCCCTCCCGCCTTCATTGGGCTCTGGCACCTGTCCATCCTTTGATGACCCACAGACAGAGGATGGAGGTCATCCCCCTACTCAAAGACTTTGACATCTACTCCAGTATATGTGCTGGATAATACCTAAATATTCATATAAATAATCACAGCTGTCAAATCTATTATTAATAGACAGTGGGGATTTTTTTAAAAATGGAAATAAATACGAAATGTGCAGCAGACTTTATGATGCAGGCGGTGCCTGAGAACCAAGACTATTATTTAATTGCGAAACAGTAAACTGTATACATGGAATTTCTTTAGCAATTAGCTAAGCAGGCAATCGATAATCATTTTAATGTCCATACTGATTGTTTAACCAATTATTCGATCAATCTCTCAGGCACTATCTGCCAAAAATATTTTCTACATCTGTCTCAGTTCCTGAAGGTACATATCTGACGGTACCTGTGTTGCGTGTTGATGTCCTTGATCACATGCACAAGCCTATGGATGACATCCCTCAAAATGAAGCCCCAGCTGCCGCAAAGGGTGCTGGCAAATTCCGGGAGAAGCATCTCAACAAACAGTTGGTACATTGTCAGAATTCGGCGCTTTTCCTGGATACGATGCTCTGTCGAAAGACTAGTAGCCAGCTTCAGGAGCACTCTTTGGATAGAGTCCTGAAAAACCAAGGACATCACCATCATCAGCATCACCCCAGATATCATCATCACCATCATCATTGACATCATCATTATGATCACCGTCATCATCATCATCATCATCGTCTTACCCATCACCACCTCCAACACCAACATCACCACCATGATCATCATCACGGTCACATCATCATCAGATTCTAAGTGTGGCTTGATTTCACTGATCATATCCATTTCTCTTACCCTCAACCATGTTTCTGATTCAAAGCTTAAGACCGAAGGCAACAATCAAGTAACACATCAGACGTATCAAGTGACCTGCACCAACAAACAACATGATAACACACACCGATTTCCTCCCTGTCTGCAGTTATTACTATGATCGTATCTTTTTAATCCAATTGGAAGCTTGACTCAGTCAAAACAGAAGAGACCAACAAACTGTGACCACTCATTATGTCAAATATCGTAAGTCAAGTTCCACTGCAATGAAAAGTACCTGTGTTTTAGCCAGTACAGACACCAGAGACCTGACAGACGTACCTGTGTTTTAGCCAGTACAGACACCAGAGACCTGACAGACGTACCTGTGTTTTAGCCAGTACAGACACCAGGGACCTGACAGACGTACCTGTGTTTTAGCCAGTACAGACACAAGTGATCAGACAGACGTACCTGTGTTTTAGCCAGTACAGACACCAGGGACCTGACAGACGTACCTGTGTTTTAGCCAGTACAGACACAAGTGATCAGACAGACCTACCTGTGTTTTAGCCAGTACAGACACAAGTGATTAGACAGACCTACCTGTGTTTTAGCCAGTACAGACACCAGAGACCTGACAGACGTACCTGTGTGTTCGCCAGTACAGACACAAGGGACCTGACAGACGTACCTGTGTTTTAGCCAGTACAGACACAATTGATCAGACAGACGAACCTGTGTTTTAGCCAGTACAGACACAAGGGACCTGACAGACGTACCTGTGTTTTAGCCAGTACAGACACAAGTGATCAGACAGACGTACCTGTGTTTGAGCCAGTACAGACACCAGAGACCTGACAGACGTACCTGTGTTTTAGCCAGTACAGACACAAGTGATCAGACAGACGTACCTGTGTTTTAGCCAGTACAGACACCAGAGACCTGACAGACGTACCTGTGTGTTCGCCAGTACAGACACAAGGGACCTGACAGACGTACCTGTGTTTTAGCCAGTACAGACACAAGTGATCTGACAGACGTACCTGTGTTTTAGCCAGTACAGACACAAGTGATCAGACAGACGTACCTGTGTTTTAGCCAGTACAGACACCAGAGACCTGACAGACGTACCTGTGTGTTCGCCAGTACAGACACAAGTGATCTGACAGACGCACCTGTGTTTTAGCCAGTACAGACACAATTGATCTGACAGACGCACCTGTGTTTTAGCCAGTACAGACACCAGGGACCTTGCTGCGCTGCCGGAGAAGCTGTTGGTGAGATAGTCCAGCGTGGACTTGATGATGTAGCTGTTGTAGCTTGGGGGGTTGGGGTCCGGGCAGCAGCTGAAACAAGACAGTGAGTAACTGTCCTTTCATAATCAGTTCGCACTTTTCCAGCCTGTAAATAAATGTCTTTACTATGATGAACTGAGTGAGTGAGTGAGTTTAATGGCTAAATAATTGAGCCTGGGCCAGGCACCCCAAGGCTGAAACCATTAGCTTGTGCAAGCATAGCTAGGACCCACACTGTAAGCACTCGGTCCACACTTTCTAGATATTTATTACAGCTGGTACTGTACCTGCCGTCTGCCTCGTCACTTCCAGTTCCGTGTAGACACATGAGGATGTTAACGATGATGACGTCCAGGTTAGCATGAATCTCTCGGTCTATCACCTGAAACCAAACAGCCACTAGCATCAAGTTATTGGCTGACAAAATCTAAAAATATTTCAACATATCCCATGACATGATATTGATGTTTTGTCTCGATAAAATACATTTAAAATTATATGTGTCAAGCTCTGAAAAACAACTTAATGAGGGAGGAAACCCACGAGCACAGGTATGGCGCCAACAAACCAAAATTCATAATCAGAGTATCCTAGCACACCAACAGGAACTCAACACAGCACATTACACCACCTTAGACAATTGGGACACCATGCCCCCACAGGTAAAATACCAACACAATTTTGGAAGCGCATATACGCAGGTATTTCCCACAGGTGAGAGTCACTCTATTCCAAGAATGACCCCCCAAATTGTTAAATGACCCCCACACTTGTTAAATCCCCCCCACACTTGTGGAAATGACTGTATTCAGATAGATCCCCAAATATTTGTTACAGGTTTGGGTTGGGGGGCGTGGTCATCCGGATGTTTGATGTCCCATCCCAACCATCAGTTTCAAAGAGAACAGCATCCCCATTTCACTCATACTTTACTATCAACTTCAAACAAGTTCTTGTTTAGATAGAGAGAGAGAGAGAGAGAGAGAGAGAGAGTGTGTGTGTGTGTGTCTGTCTGTCTGTCTGTGTCTGTGTGTGTAGCATATCCCACCTCACTCGTCACCTCCTTCTCCAACATGTCATAACGCCTCGAAGCTAGATTGGTTCTCTTCTTCACTTCTCGGTCACTGGCGACCTCCTCTGACGTGGAGGCTGCAAAGAGCGGCAGGATGTGGATGACGATGTTGGGGATGCTGTCGATGATGACCTGCTTCCAGCCCTGCTCAGTGTCTGAGGCCAACGCCTGGATGTCCTCTAGCAGGCCGTGCATGAACAGCCCAGGCACCAATACATTGCCATACGACCTGCATAGAGTTCACACACAGGTATTTACTACAAGACGTCAGGTGAAATGGGGTTTTAAGATTATTGCACTGATATAGTCTGGACTTATAATTACATCGGTATAATAGTTGACCATTTATATCTACTACACTGTTAAAGTAGCATCAGCAATATGATGCCATTTCCATATCTCATTTATAATCACTACATCACACCATCAATTGATGCAACCATTCACCCAACCATCCATCGTCCAACCAACCAACCATCCACCCACTGATACTGGAAAAGCTTTCAAATAAATTTCAAAACCGCAAATAACAGAATCGTACATAAACAGAATTGTAACAAATCATGGTCTAATTCCCAGAAGTATATGTCATATTTCAAAAAAAGAATTTTCTGAATGATGCTGTGCTTGTTTTTACCAAACACTGCATCATGAGCAACATCCCGCTCTATCAGTGTACGATGTCACATAATGAACCAAGTCCCCAAGCATGACCACCCAATCCACTCACTCGCCTCTCATGACAAGCGTAGGTTGCTGCGGACCTATATTAATCTGGAATTTCAATAGTGTTGTATGATGTATATTTTATGTGCTTACAAAGTTTCATTAAAAAAATATTGAATGGTATATGATTTATGCTGAACTTCATTTGAACTTTAGTCTATTTTGTTGACTTTTAAACACAAAATATCAACAAAAATATCTGAAGAGCAAAAGGCACCAGTTTGATGCATGTTTCATGTGTAAACAAGGTTTTCTGAAGAAATAGGGGCTGTGGGGTAGTCTAGTGGTTACAGCGTTTGCTGGTCATAACAAAGACCAGGGTTCGATTCCCCACATGGGTGCAATTTGTGAAATGAACAACAATCCCAAAGCCAAAGATCTTTCTACAAGAACAAATGCTTTCAAAGGGTTAAATGCAAGATGTCCACATACCTGAAGAACGTTACTAAGCTGTCTACACCCAGTAAACTGTAGGGAAACTCCGAGAGAGGGTACTCCAGTTCCAGCCACTGGTTGAGGAGATACGGCAGGTGGCTACAGATGTACTGCGTCACATCCGTGTAGCCTAGCAACACACTCACCTTCCGCAGCACCTGCCACAAGCAGCAATATGCATATGCATTAGGAAGGAATGCTACTCCTTCATAACTTGGTACCACTTAAAACTAATTTCTGCAGGAAATCATTTAAAACTTACAATACAGAGTCAATTCATTTACAATCTTCTAGTGAAAGCACTTGTAGATTTATTTCAGTTTTTGAACTCCAATCAATTTCCATCTAACGGCACAACCTTACGTAACTTATTCTTAGGCCAGTGAAGAAAAGGTGACTATGCTTGTTGTAACACACCACTAACGGGATCCAGACTCGATTATTTACACACTGCTGTCATGTAGCTGGAATATTGCTGTGCTGTGTTAAACAACAATCAAATGAAATGAACACTTATTCTTATGGTACTGCATTAAATATGACCGACCTTGAGCACCTTGTCCACGGCGATGCCCTTCTCCTTGATGAGCTGGCACAGGGCAAACATGGACTTCTTCTCGCTGACCGGGCTGCTGCAGGCCACCGTGGCCAGCACGGTCAGTAGAGTCGAGGTGCGGCACTGCACCTCATCCTGTTGGCGCTCAACCGACTTCCTCTCCTACACACCAGGAAACAAGGGACAAAGGAATAGATGGATGGATGGACAATGAATGAATGGATGGATGGATGGGAAATGGATGGATGGATGGATGGATTGATAATCAGATTCAAGAATTGATGAATAAATGGATGGGTGGATGAATGGTTGCATCAATGTATTGAGGGATGGATGGTTGTTTGGTTGGTAGGATGATGGATAGTTGAAAGAATGGTTGGATTGACGGATGGATGGACGTATCGTTGGGTGAATGGTTGCATCAATGTATTGAGGGAGAGAGGGAGGGAGGGTGGGTTGGTTGGTTGGTAGGTTGGTTGATGGATAGTTGGAAGAATGGTTAGATTGATGAATGGATGGATGGATCGTTGGTTGGTTGGATGATGGATGGTTGGGTGAATGGTTGCATCAATGGATGGTGTGATACAGTGATAATTCTGGTGTTATAAATGAGAGGCATGCTCTAGAAGGAACACTGCAAATGTCTGTAAGGAGTGAGTAAGGCTTTATGGTGGGGGATACCAGAATAAGCTTCACACATTGTACCCATCTGGGGAATTGAACCCGGGCCGTAGGCGTGACAAGCGCCGGCTTTAACCACTAGGCTACCCCATCGACCCCATATGTTAGGAAACAAATGCAGATATTAATTCCACTGACAGCCAGCACACAGACATCCTGTACCTTGAATATCATCAGCTCGTTACAGTCCTGGTAGAGGAGGTCGAAGGCTGCATGCTGCTGCTGAGCAGGTTTGGGCTGCAGGCCATCCTTGGAGGGAATCACAAACAGGCTGCAGTCAAAGGTAAGAGTTGGAGATGACCACTAGTGACCACAAATATATAAGTAGTGGACACGATAGACATAACTCCCGGCGTCCACCGTGTACATCCCCGTGGGGATTCTGGGTAGAACAGATCTCAAGTAGGCTATGATGGTTTGTTGTTTTATGCCTCACTCAGCAATATTAGAGCTATATGACGGCAAGCTGTAAATATATCAAGTCTGGACCAGACAATCCAAAGATGGGCATCATGTTTCCCTGGTCCAGACTTGATCACAGGTCACATTGACATAGACGAAACATGCTTACTGTAGAGTTAAACAACATTCATTCTCTCAAACCCTAATACAACTGACTACATGACTACTTCAAGCTTCAATACATATCAATATACTTAAGTAACGATACAATGCTATTGTGGTACTTTATCTGAACATTTTGGGTGTGATATTCTCCATGTTCAATGTGGCTAACAGGGGGTTGTTGCCACCAACAGGGGTTGCCTTACAGGTGGCGATATATGGTAATTTAGGCATGTACTACAAAGTATTTTCAGGGATGGAAATGAACCAAGGACATGTACAAGAACAGTGATAACATAAAGGCAATACCCCACAAAATGTTCTACTAGCCCTAAGGATACGTTTAACATTAACAAAACTGGTCAAGACTAGCGGCCTAGTGCTAATTTCCATCCTGTATTTGCAATCAGATTTACCATTTTGTATTGTGATAGGAGGCAAAGCAACACTAGGCAAAGTAGCCAAATTTTGTATCGAAACATGGGCAGATGCATCACGTATTGTATCTTCTATGAATAATGATGCACAGTACATTGGTGAAACATGGCACCCCTGCTATAAATTACGGCTTACATAGCAGCAGGCTATAGGGCATGAGCAGCAATGGGTAGTATAAAGCTGGAGATGTTTGTTTGTTTGCTGTTTAACGCATCACTCAGCAATATTCAAGCCATATGTAAATAATCAAGTCGGGACCAGACAATCGAGTGATTGATATCATGAGCATCTATCTATAAAATTAGGATACGATCACATGCATCAACCAAGTCAGCGAGCCCGACCACCCAATCCCGTTAGTCGCCTCTTACGACAGGCATCATCACCCTTTACAGCCAGCATTTATTGCTGAAGACCTATTCTAACCCGGATCTTCAAGGTACTGGAGGTGGAGAACTCACTTCTGCAGAGCCTCTGCCACATACAAACAGGTCACATGGCATGTGTCCAGCAGACAGTTGTGAAACTCTGTCGAGATGCTCTCATCAGCCTCGTCTTCATCCTTCTTCATCGTCAAGACGCTCCACTCATCGGTGGGATCACACTGCAACAAATAATGCACCCAATGTATTACACTGACAATCATAAATGCAAAATAGTTTCATCTAACTGTCACCTGACAATACATCAAATCTTCTTAGTTTCTGCCTGGAGAGAAGAAGGTCAGTGGTTAGATCCCAGGCCATGTCATACCAAAAGACGTTAAAAGACGGTACTACTTTTGACCCTGCCTGCCATACAGCTTAAAGGGGATAACACAAGGATAGGTCGGCTCGGAGTGAGTATGTTGTCACTTATTGCTAGAGGAGGGCAATAATCTTGAACGCAACATTCAAACGTATTTCATCTCCAAGGAGTGAGTGAGTACAGATTTATGCCGTTTTTAGCAATATTCCAGCAATATCATGGCGGGGGACACCACAAATGGGATTCATACATTGTACCCATGTGGGGAATCGAACCTGGGTCTTCGGCGTAACGAGCGAACGCTGTAACCACTAGGTTACCCCACCAACCTCATCTCAAGAAGATACGAAGCAAAATACAGTCTGTGACTTCAGCCACTATTAACATTTTGTTTGGTCTAGAAAGATGAGCAAATAAAATACCATATGATATGTTTGGGCAAATAGAGACAATTTTTTTGGACACAGACTGAAATGAGATTTGACGTTACCTGCATGAACCCCCGCATACACTTGGCCATGGACAGTCTGACTGCTGCTGCATACTCACTGCGCAGTTTGCTAAAACAGAGCATCACAGCTGCCATAAAACACCACAGCAGAAATTTACTTGATGCACAAACGTGCGACCAGTACATGCAGATGTTGACAATTGAAGCAGAATAAAAATATACTGCGTCCCAAAGGATGCACAATGATATTCATTGTAGCTACAGAGCATCAAGAGCAGTTGAGAAGGGTGTCTGTTATTTCATCTATCAATCATGACCACTGTCCACATGATCATTGATTCATTCTAGTATCTAAAGTAATTATGAAAATGTACAATACACTACACCACTACCACCATTTCAATACTTAATTTACAAGACCCTCATATTGCATGCGGGACTTGGGTGGCCCAGTCGTCTAAGGCGCCGCAATTCGCTGTGCAGAGTTGCGCCCCTTGGGCACGCCAGAAACCTTTGAATGATTGTGGGTTCGAATCCCAGTTTCTAGGTTTGTCAGCACCATACCCGTGCTCGTGGGTTTCACCGAAGTGGTAAACATCTGAGACCTGCATCACTTGGGGCTTTCCTCCCACATTAAGCTTTACGGTTGTTTAACAGAATTTTGTATCGTTCTTACAATGTCGGTGGGCGAAAAAATACAATATTTAAATAGAGTTGGTTGTATTAAAGAAATATCAGAAAAGTCATTTGGGGAACTATTCTGCCCCAGAATCCCAAAAAGATTAGTTGCTGATGATATGTGTGAGAGAAAGCGCTTAAAACTTGATGTTTACTGACCAGAAGGCACTGAGGAGTTTCAGAGTTATCTCCCTGCAATCCTTCTTCACCCTGGAGGGCAGGTTGTCAGGGTCAGTGAGATGGGGTGCCAGCTGGGTGATGAGGTCAAGACAGAGACAACACACTTCCTGGTCATGCCGCTGTGAGACGATCACGCGTCTAAAATGAGAATCAACATAGGCCACTAACATTCAGTGAGAGGCTGCAGTTAGAAGATCAATATTGTTTGGGAAAAACATATGTGGAAAAAAATAATTTGCCTGAGGAACCCCCCAAAAACAGTTCATTAGATATGAAAGATGAACTAAAAAAATGGTTTGTCTCCTTTCCTTAATTAAATAATTAAGAATTGACTTTTTGCATTTATGGAAAATAGCTGTAGAAACTGGTATGGATCCCGTGTAAATTACAGTAAACTACGATTATAACGAACTCAAAGGGACTACTAATTTTAGTTTTTTATAACCGTAGTTCGTTATAAGCATATATACAGCATAACTACAGCAAATAGTCAGGACCAAAAGGTAAGTTCGTCATATCCGTCAGTTCGTTATAAGCGTGTTCGTTATAACTGTAGTTTACTGTAGTCAAATCTGGAAATTCTGATCTAATCAGCATTACAATTTACACATAAGGCACATGTTACACTTGTTACATTATCTACACCTAAGCCGTACCAAATCTGTTGAGTACCCCATATAAGGTGAGTTAAATGTTAACATGATACTCTTCTGTCTGTTTTCTCTCAGGTCACATGGATTTGTGGTTTTGAAATTACAACTCCCACACATGTATTTACCATTTGACATCCATCCCATTTCAAGAAACAAAATGTACCTTTTTCAAATAAAATTCACAGCATTTTAAAGAAACATCATACATATAGCTAAAAACTGAAGTAACAAATGTGACATCTACCTGACAGCATCGACCATATTTTCCAAATCTCTATCAGAGACGTTATGGTACTGTGTTGTCAAGGCTCTCACCATGGCATCCATCTAAAACAGAAAACAAGAGCATTTCAATAGGAATCTCTTACCCACTGCAGTTTTGATAACAAAACCATAAACACCATAACCAAACAGTAAGCTATTAGAACATGATTCAAACCCTCATTTTTCAAAATCAAGAATCAAACATGATCCCCAAACTCATACTTCTCTATCTCCGCCTGTAAGACTCAGGTTAAAATTGGTCTCCAGCAACCCATGCTTGTCATAAAAGGCGACTTGCAGGATCAGGTCAGGCTCGCTGACTTGGTCGATGCATGTTATTGTATCCCAATTTCGTAGATCGATGCTTATGATGTCAATCACTGGACTGTATGGTCCAGAATGGCGTGATATAGCTGCAATATTGCTGAGTGCGGTGTTTAAACAACAAATAACAAACTGATTCCCTTGAGAAAGTGAGTGCATATTGTTTTATGCAGCTGCTAAAGATATCACGTCAACCTGTAAACAAAGTCTGGTTCCGGGAATCAGTGGTTGATAGCATGGACAACATTCCATAGGCTGAAGGGGGCAGTGGGTAGCCTTGTGGTTAAAGTGTTCGATGGTCACACAAAAGACTCAGGTTTGATTCCACACATGGGTACCATGTGTGAAGCCCATTTCTGGTGTCCCCCACCGTGATATTGCTGGAATATTGCTAAGACCCACATAAAATCCTACACACAAAGAGGCTGATAGCATGGCCAACAATCCATATTGTCATGGCATGATGACATACTACTAGTCTATATCCCCCAAAACTAGCTCTCATGATAAGCATGGTGAATTGGTGACCTGGTGTGCTGCCTGGGAATCTCAATTAAATTTTTTAAAATATATTTAATACTAATAAAAGATGAAAAGGATGAAAGTTGGAGTCTGCTAGATACTCACACTCAACAGATCCACAGCCCTCCCTGTATCAAACATGTCACCATCTAGAAGCTCGGCCAGCTTGTTCTTGATGAAGGAGGTCTCGATCTCCGCTTTGTATGGTACACCAGAGGGCGCCACGCTGCTTTCATAGTTACAGCACAGGCACAAGAGTCTCACCACCTCAAGGCGCTGCTTGCAAGTCTCGGTCAGTCCCTCCTCACTCACCAGGCTCGGACACCCTGAGGAGAGATCACGTTGAGGGAACTAATGCACATGCAGCTACACATAAAGATGAGGTGTGTTAAAATGCAATCTCATTAAAATCAGACCTTAGCTCTCGCTACCGCTAAGCAAAGATCTGAAGACATCCCATTAGGGGTCACGTCAGAACGACCTTTCATCCGACCAATCAGTGCGTCGCTTACCAGATTATGAAAGTGACAGTCGGAATGTGATTTCTAGTCATGCAATCTCGAAAACTTTAACATGGTGTATTCTGAACGGTTTACGGGTTTAACGATTGAATCCTTACAATCTAGACCATGTATTAGCCATTCCAGAATGTCCACAATTTGTAATCGAGAATTTGTCAAAATATGTTTCGAAGCGTAGTCGCCAATTTGAAATTTGTGCCGTAAAGCACGAGAAAGCTGCCTTCTGATTGGTCATTCCATAGGTCGGTCAAAGTTCGCGCAAGGTCGGTCTGACATGACTCGTAATGGGATGTCCTCAGATCTTTGTTTAGCGGTAGCGAGAACAAAGATCTGATTTTAATGAGATTGGGTAAAATGGGGTTTGACATCACGTTCAAGATTATTTTGTGTGGGTGTGTCTGTTCATGTGTGTGTGTTCATGTGCGTGTGTTCATGTCTGCGGCTGCTTATACTACCGGTAGTCCAAAATATTGCTGGTTTTATAGTGCTAGCCCACTGAGATACCATGCCGCAGTTTGACATGAAATGGGTTGGGTCAAATGTAGTTATGAACAAAGGTTCAGTGTATCATCTGACACATCCAGAATCACAATCAAGAAAATCTAAGATTCGAACTCACGATCATGGGACTGGCATCACTATTGGACAGACTGCTGCAGATGACACCTGAGCTCCACAGTTGTACAAGGACTCCGTAATGGACTCACCACAGCACCCTGGACCACCGTTATCAACTTTACATAGGTTTCCAAACTTATCCCCGATCTACCTACCATGAGTGTTGTGTGTTTCATCCGAATCCTGACTGTCTCCGATGTCGTCAACCTCATCAAAATCCATGTCCTCTGCGTCACCTCCAGCCGAACGAGACACGTCTTCAAAATCCAGATCCATTTCATCAATGTCATTATACCGTGACCGCCCTCTGTCGCTGGTGCCCGGCCTCCTCTCGAAGCTTGACCGTCTCCGCAGACTGCCCAGCTGTGTGCTGCTGTTGTTGGAGTTGCTGTTGGAGCGTTGCAGCTGAAACGTTAGATGCCCTTTGAGTCAGCAGAGTGTTTCTACCTTACTCCTGAGAAGTTCACATACCTCTGGCAGTGAATTCATGCAAAATATATCAAAATAAATTACAGATATATTCTTTTATCATATACTGAGTAGGTTTTCCCGGCAGGATAAAGCCAACAGATAAAAACGATATCCCTTGGGGTCATATGCGGATAGAGATGCAAATATCAAAGGTCAAGTAGGGACTACTTTCAGTGTTCACAAACAAACATGGCGTCGCCCTCGTCATTCGGCGATCGAGTCAGAATTAACTATAGGAAATCTGGATAAACTAAAGTGATAATTGCTATCATTATCAAAAGAACAGTCTAATATACTGAAAATCTGTGTCTAACTGTGATGTAGCTAAGGCCAAGGCTCGCTAAATACAATGTTTATTCATATCACCACTATGAAACTTTCAAAAGTCCGGGCCCTGTTCCAAGATCTCCTTGGACACAACATGTTTGGACATGCTCCAGACACATTGCGAATTCGTCATATTTTATACAGATGCAGATAAGACATTTTACACCAAGAACAAGTACAAGAATAAAAAACCTTATCAGTGCAGTATAAGTTCTTGAGGATATTTCCACACAGCAAACGCAATCACAAGCCAATTTAGGTACACAAATTTATAACTCACCTTACTAAATGCAATTTCAAACATGAGATCAAAGAAGCTCTCAGGAAGCAGAGATCGGAGCAGCTCCGAAACCATGTAACATCCTTGAGTGTTCTGCTCAGTTCGGGGGAAGAGGGTCTGCAGCATCTGAATGATCGGCAGCATCTGGCCACTCCCGCCTTTCTTCACATAGTCCGACAAGAAGGAGGCCATCCTCCTCAAAAGAGTCTTCAGGCAGGCCTCGAGACCTGTGTCGGCTAGCATGGCAGGGGAGGCAACTCCTGTGTCAAGGACGAGGTGGATGCATTTCGTAAGCACTGATGAACAGGTAATGATGTGATCCAGAGTTTGTTGCTGAAACAAAAGATCATTAATCTCTCATTTTGTATTTGTCAAAAGGTGGTGAAAATTTGCACAGAAAGCACACAGTTTTTTGTGTTTCCATAAACTAAAAAACATATTGAAGTCCATCCTTATTAATAAATAATAACTTCACAGACTGCTTATTTATTCATTAACACACAACAAGCTGTAGACAACAATAAAACATCAGCGACCTCATTCAGAGCAAAAATGCAACACAAGCCCCGCCCATTCTATGAATATTATCAAACAATAAAAAGAAATAGTTGTCTGTTAGTGGGCATGGCCTTATTTTTCGGGGTTTATGGAAACATAAATACAAAAAATATTTGTTTGGTTTGACAATCAAATGTAAGAAAATCCCTTTACATGCTTATGGTTTAACATTTTTCATCCAAACCAAAGAGGAGTGTATGAACCGTCTACAGGCAAGAAATACCAGAAAGAATATGAAAACATTGGGGCAATAGTTGCTGTATAACTGTCATTTGTTGGCAGTGGAAATGAGAAAAAACATATGCAGCATGCAGACAACTGAATTTAACACCCTTTTATCAATTTACATCATGAAATTTTGTAGAATTTTCCTATTCGGAATATTCTATAAGTAATACGTTACCACTGTTATACCGAGGCTGTTGTCTCCCACAACTGCTGCTATAGCGAAATCTACCACAGAGATCTCAATTACCTCATGCAGCACGTGCGTAGCCACCTAGCTGCCATGTGACACCCTTCACTCTTGTCTCCTGCGTGAGCAAGTGCTCGGGGGACGGACGGGCGGGCAGCAGCCCAGTGGTAACGTATTACTTATAGAATATTCCGAATAGGAAAATTCTACAAATTACATTAAGTAATACGTTACCACTGTTATACCGAGGCTGACTACCACAGTAGGCGGTGGGGAGCACCTACAACCCGAATCCTGACTGCTAGCGTTCCTTCCGACCAGCGGAAGTAAACACCAAGGCGGAAGCACTCGATGCGCATGCACCTAGCTAGGCCTTACCCTATAGGAATACCAAAGCACTGTCAAGCGCATACCGTAAGGCTCAATCGTCAATTCCAAAACGATTGGTGACTCCAAACGGCCCCACTGGATAGGTATTTCATCGCCGCAGCGGATGAGAACACTGTATCCGCGTGAGCTAAATCTTAGATCAGGTTAAACAGTCGAAAAGAGGGAAATTAATTTCCTTCAGACCGTATATCCCAGAGCAAGCCTACTTAAAGTATGCATTAGGCGCGTGACCTAATTCCAGTATTCGTAAGCATGTATCGCAAGGTTGGAATACACGACAGACAATTAAATGCATAATTGTCAAAATACAAATAAGGACAAAACACACAAAAAGCCGCCTCACCTGTGGTGTGAGTGCGCTGGTTTGCAGGACCCCCACTCCTGTACCCACGGCGTGGGAACATTGGAGACGACCCAGATTGACCACCGTGCAAGGACTGACGACTGCGGAGTTTGGAATTGCGCTGGACACACCCCCTAGATGACCGCTTGTGCCGCGATCAGCGGCCCAAGACAGTGCACCCCCTCCACGTCTTCATCAGAAACCTTTCTGAGGAAATGATTGGCAAAAACCGAGTCAGAACGCCAGTAACAACCTCGTAATATTCTGTGAACAGAGATATTCGAGTGTAGGGCAAATGTTGCCGCTAGCGCCCTGATCTCGTGCGGGTTTGACCCCGCTACTGGTAACCCCCGAGACCGGTACGCCAGATTGATGACAGAACGAAGCCACAACGCAATCGAGTTGCGAGTTATGTCAACCGTGCGATTAGGGTTACACGATATGAACAGACGGTCACGCCCTTGTCTACGTTCATTCGAAGCCTTAAGATAATACTTAAGGGCCCTAACCGGACACAGCGCTCTGTCCTCAGTATCAGCAGGATGTAAGATTTCTTTGAGGGATCTTACAGTGAATTCTCTCTCCGTTTGCCCGACTCTCTGATTCTTGGCGACGAAGCCCATGAGCAGGCCCAGGCGGACCGCTCCTTCATCACCCCTATCGAATCGTACCTTGGCGACATCGAGTGCATGAATTTCGGATACACGTGCCGCCGTGGCAAAGGAGAGGAGAAATGCTGTTTTCCAAGTCACATGCCGGAACGAAGCACTATGCAAGGGTTCATACGGAGCTTCCGTAAGTGATTGCAACACTAGGGAAAGATCCCAGGCCGGTGCCCGAAGGCGGCCCTTCTTAAGATCGTGCTTTTTGAAACCCTTGATAATACCCCGTATCACCGGCTCTTTGGAGAGACTGGTACCCATAGCAACGTCCCGTACCGTAGCAACGGACGAGACATAGTTGGCAATGGAACCCCCGGAGAGTTTCCGGGTCTCTCGCAAGTGAGACATGAAACGAGCAATATCCTGCACAGATACCTTATCTGGCGAATGAATGTGATGTTTACAACACCACTTCGTGAAAATAACCCAACGTGCATTATACACCTTCTGGGTAGAATCACGATGCATACTAACGTATGCCCGAGACACCCGGCGAGAAAAACCTTTACTCCTCAGACGCTCGGTGACAACATCCACGCGTGCAGATTGAACTGCCCTGCGTTTGGATGAAGCTGACGGGTGTGAGGGTGGATCAAGAGATCCGGTCTCACAGGCAGTGGGAGTGGCGACTGCGTGACCTGGGTCAGCAAGTCGGGGTACCACGATCTGTTCGGCCACATGGGCGCGATCAGTAACATTCGACAGCGAACTCCTCGAAGCCGGCTTAGAATGTGTGGTATCAACGCTGTCGGCGGGTAAGCATAAGCGTCCAAGCCCGTCCAGTCTAACGCGAGAGCATCGTGATCGATGGCCCTTGGGTCCGGGACTGGTGATACAAACAACGGGAGTTGATTGTTGAACCGTGTTGCGAACAGGTCGACCATCGGACGACCCAAACGTTCGCACAGCCACTGAAACACTACTGGGTTCAGCATCCACTCTGTGGGGCTCGGATCCTGAGGCCTCGATAGAGCATCGGCCAGTACGTTCCGCACACCTGGGATGTGACGGGCGCGTATCTGGCACGGGACACTGTCCACCAGAGCGTAAAACTCGAACGTGAGATCGAGTAGCGAGTGACTGTGGGTTCCCCCCAGTTTGTTCACATAGGACACTACCGTCGTGTTGTCGGTCGCCAGCATGAGCCGGGCGTCGACGAGACGATGCTTCCAGTGATTGACTGCGTTGATCACTGCCTTGAACTCGAGACAATTGATGTGAAGACCTAGTTCGTCTACGCACCACAGCCCCGAACTCACCTCCCCCTCTAGATGGGCGCCCCAGCCCACTAGAGAGGCGTCTGTATACAGGTTCAACATGGCCCGGTAGGGCCGCATAGAGACTCCTGATAAGACATTGTAAGGGAGCGTCCACCACTCCAGATGCGGTCGGAGCCGATCCGGGAGGGCGACGGTCGCACTGTTCACCTCCGTTGCTAACAACTGGATTAAAAACCGTTGCAGCGGGCGGAGTTGGAGACGACCCCGTTGGGTGCAGTCCTGGGCTGATACAAGTAGCCCTAACAGCTGTTCCCAAAAGTGAACAGTCTGTTGCACCGCTAAGACTTTGGCAATCATCGCCTGAATTTTGTGCCACCGGTCTCGGGGGGACAAATAGGCGATGGGACACCGTGTTGAACCGACCTCCGAGGAACTGCAAGTTCTGAGAAGGGGTTAACTCGCTCTTGGGGAGATTGACAATCCACCCCAATTGCTCCAAGAGCCGACGTGCGAAAACGAGATGGCGTGACAGGGTGTCCGTCATTCGATTTGCTACTAGCGAGTCGTCCAGGTACGCGAAGTACCGGACACCCCTCCGGTGGAGGAACCCCACTATGGGGGTGGTTAACCGGGTGAACAGCCAGGGAGCGGATGAAAGACCGAATGGGAGTACAACCCACTCGTAGTGCCTGCCTTGAAAGACAAACCTGAGATACTTGTGATGATCCGAGTGAATCGGAACATGCAGATAAGCATCCTTCAGGTCGATCGAAGCTAGCCAGTCGGCCGGCATGATCAGTGCTTTCAGGTCCGTCAAGCTCAACATTCTGAACTTGGGCGGTTTGCGCAGGTAGAACTCGTTGAACGATTTCAAGTTGTGAATCATTCTGAGTTCGGCACTGTCCTTCTTGGGAACGAGAAATATCCTGGAGTAAAACCCCGGTGTTATTTCTGGTAGAGCTAACTCCCGAACTGCCCTCTTCTCCACCAACCTGCCGATGGCATCGGCGAGGAAGGGAAGATCGGTTTCCGAATAGAAACCTGCCGACGGGGCAACGGTGAGCGGCGGATTCGCTTTGAGATCGAGCCGATAGCCGTACCGAATCGTGTTGACCACCCACGGGTCGTCGAACACTTGTTCCCAATTCTCCCAGTAAGTCTGGAGTCTGGCTCCGACTGGGGAAAGAGAGGGGGGCCGGACGGGCTGCGGCAGGCGCAACTGTCCAGGGCCAAGTGACTCGGGTTCGCCTACGGGCCAACTGAAGTTGGCGCTGTCGGCATACGAACCCCTCCAATGAGAGTCACCTGGAGGGGCCCTTGCCGTCCTTAGACGACTTGGGCTTCCCCCAGTTCCCCTTCTTCCCGCGAAAGGGCTGCTGAGAACCCTTACCGGAGCCCTCAGAGCGGGGCTTCTTCCCGGAGGAAGAAAGACCCGACCCCTTAGGCCTGCCGGACGCAGCATCCTGGGGCGCGCTCCGCTTCGGAGCGGCACCCAGGCGCCTATGCAAGGACCCCACAAGATCCAGTGTGTGTTGAGAGGCCTCGGCAGACACAGCGGCCTGTTGTTCCTTCAGAACCCCAGGGATCTTGTTATTAAACAGGGTCCGAGCAGACCAAGGCTGCAAAAGGAGCACCTCCTGATTAGCAGCGTCCAACCCTGAAGCAACCAGATACGACTGGCGCCGAAGAAAATGGCACGTGCCGGAAACAAAGGCCGAAGCCCCGGCAACGTACTCCAGGGAAGCATTCAAACCGAGCAAGCAGTTGTAAATGCGCTGGTCTCGGTCCGTTGGAGAACCTTCGACCAGACTGGCCGCTGCAGCCAGGTATGTGTCTCCGTGAGACATTGCCAGCATGGAGTGTCGAGCGAGGGTGTCCAGCTGTTGCAAGGTACCTTGTGGTACCGTGGCAACCGGTGGGGCACGGACCCCCAAACGCTCCACATGGGCTTCCGCAGAAGGACCAGCCTCGGGAAAGGCAAGGTCATGTACTGGGAAAGACCCTTTTCTCCACGACGGGGGAGGTAACGGGAGACCCCGACCGGAGGCGGCCGTGAAGGCCTTCTCCAAAGAAGGCTTAATCCCGCGCAGCAAGGTTGATGCCGGGAAAGCCTTGTCGGACGTCTCGTCGTATACCTCGGAGGAACCCACGGAACCGTGGATTCCCCGCGGTATCGGCAGGGGCTTTGGCATGCCCTCGAAGAGGTCATACACCATGGCAACGCGGTCCTTAACCGATAGCGGAAGCAACGGTTCGGGGGAAGGACCGGTAACCACGGCAGCCGCCGCCGTACCGGTGGACCCCGCGTCCGAACCCGCGGCCACCGAAGAGGCCGGGGACGGAACAGCCAGCGGCCTATCTTGCGATAAGGCCGCCAGCTTGGAGTCCACAAGTTTCGACAACAATGCGGCGACGGAATCCCCAGACAGCCCGAGGGCCGCAAGGGGATCCGCCGCAGCCGAGGAGGTGGTACCCGCACGGGGACCCCGACCGGACGAACCGGCAACCACAGGGGTGGAGACGGACTGTACGTACAGCCGGTACCGCTCAAACTCCGCAGGCCCCAGACCTTCGCACAGGGTGCACCGGGTGTCCCCGCAAGGAACCCTGCACCGCGGGCAACGATCGTGGGGATCCCGGGACGACAAAAACTTTCTGCACACCCCACAACTCCGAGGAGCAGGGGTAGAGGGGGTGGATACTGGGGACATATCCATGTCAGACATTGATTGTTTGCTATAAACAAAGAACAAAACATGGTTACAACGCACGCACCACAATGATTCACAAACGAGCATTTTCACAAGAAAATAAACGAGCAATGTGAACATATAACATACACATATAACTTTTATTAAAGAAATAAGTTATGTTAACCCCCAAAACATACAAGAACAGGGGAAACGTAAAACACAACGTGCATACGCGAACCCCTCAAGTATATAGAAAAAAGGGCGGGAAAAATTTTCTGTTTGGCGGGAAAATTATAACCAAGCGTAGCTACCGCAACGCCCCATAAAAGCACAGTTTATTAGAGAATAAACTATAATAAATATCACCAAATCTTCAAGGAACGCTTCAGCAGGAGAAAACACGTCTTGCTAAGCAGACAAAGGAGACAAGAGTGAAGGGTGTCACATGGCAGCTAGGTGGCTACGCACGTGCTGCATGAGGTAATTGAGATCTCTGTGGTAGATTTCGCTATAGCAGCAGTTGTGGGAGACAACAGCCTCGGTATAACAGTGGTAACGCATTACTAAATGTAAATTCATGTGAACAAAATTGTGACTTTTAACTAGTCTTGGACAACATTGGATACAATGGCTGCATATTTAATTTGCCAGTAAAACCTTAGTCTTTCGATTCAAATGTAAAACCTAGGTCTTACGATTCAAATGTAAAACCTAGGTCTTACAATTCAAACGTGAAACCTAGGTCTTACAATTCAAATGTGAAACCTAGGTCCTACGATTCAAATGTAAAAACTAGGTCTTACGATTCAAATGTAAAACCTCTGAGCAAGTTTCACTTGAAAGTAGTACCTCTCATAAGGTAACTATGAGATAGCAAGATACCAACAACACTATAGGTAAAACTGGCAGTAGGTTGAATAACTTTGCACTGCACCTCTTCTATACGAGTGGAAACTGTTCCCTAAATTTGAAAAGAATCCATGAAGTAGATTTCTAGTTTTAGGTCGCACAAATGTTTCAGTAAAACAATTCTAAGTGAAAAATGGTTGTATTTTTTTTCTGAAAATTCAAAAATTGAAAACAAACTTCACACTGCACCTCTCCTATTGGTACAGAAACTGTACCTCCAATTGGGAAAAATCTATGCAGTGTTTTTCCAAGTTATAAGGCACACAAAGAAATGTCCTTGGAAGGACGGATGGAAGGATGGACGGTAGGACGGACAGACAGAATTCCCTTGTATAACTACATACCACCGCCCTTTTAGGTCGGGAGCATAATTATCGAGTCATACCAACGGCTAAGCATGAGCAATGATGAGAGATGAAATGTAGTAAGTCACTGTCTGACCACACAAACCAACTTCGTTGCCTCCAATGACCAGCAATGGGGTACCAAAACCTTTTCTAAGCTGGATCCCAACACTGGTATGAATCACCCTGTCCACGTATTGTGACCATCTGATCTTACTTAGCCATCTTGGATGATGCATTGTGACTCATTTTGCATGGGAATCGCCACAAGGGCCACAACTTTTAGTTAACACCTTCAGCTAACTTACCTGTGGCTCCAAGACAGTCTGAAAGTGGGACGCTTCTCTTGTGAAGACTTGTTTCAATGTCTCCAACAAACTTGGAACAACTGCCACTTCATCTTTCACGCCCTTCTCTCCTGACGCCCGAAACACTTTTTCTATCCTCATTTCACAGTCGAAGGATGTCTCTAGATAAATCCTCTCCAACTCTGTCCAATGCCGGACGCCGGATGCCGACTCAACAGGTATAACTGACCCAGGATTTCGGACAGTCAAAGCAACTAGCACCTGACTCATCACTACTGGATCAATCTTACAAACTTTGGGCACATCAGAAACGTCTCTTTTTGGAATCAGCCAATCAAAGAGATGCTTTCTCAAGGTGTAGGAGCCCTTGACAGCGGTGAAGTTTGAACCAAGAATACTGGGCTGATGGTTTTCGGGCAGGTCATGAAGACTGAGACAGACGGACAGGAAGTGGATGGAAGCCATGTTTGGGGAGGAGACATTGGGCAGGAAGAGGTTCCAAACGTCTTTCTCAGGACAGACAAACTCCTGGTGAACGATGGCAGCGAGGAGGTTGAACCCCGGCTGTTGGTAGCCCTCTGCTTCAGCCTGGTGGGAGCTCATGGACCTGGCATGGAGTGAGATGGGATATAACACCTGTCAGCTAAATGTGTGAGTGAGATGGGATATAACATCTTATATGCCTTAGGCGGTCTTCAGTTATATTATGGTGTCAGCTAAACCTTGGGCAGTATTTTAGCTATACAATGGTGTCCGCTAAATGTGTGAGTGAGATAAGATATAACATTGCCTTGGACAGTATGTTAGTTATATCATTGTGTCAGCTAAGTGTGTGAGTGAGATGGGATATAACATTGCCTTGGACAGTATTTAAGCTATATCATGGTGTCAGCTAAATCTGTGAGTGAGATAGGATATAACATTCCCTTGGAGAGTATTTTAGCTATATCATGGTGTCAGCTAAATCTGTGAGTGAGATGGGATATAACACTGCCTTGGACAGTATTTTAGTTATATCATGGTGTCAGCTAAATGTGTGAGTGAGATGGGATATAACATTGCTGGTCATAGAAATTTACCACATGTGAGAAACCCACAAGCATGGGTTTAGTGTTGACAGACGAAGGATCACAATGAAGGCAAATTCATTATTGAACAATCATACAGAACAGTTATCACAGTTCTGACTCACATTAGGTTCAAATGTTCTAATTTATTAAAATGATCCTATATTCCAGACACCATTTAAATCCTGCAGTAATAAGATATGTTTTCTTGATTTTTTACTTCTTTTCACACCATTCACCAAGCACTAGTGGACAAATATCAACATTGTAAGACGCAATGCATAACACTGTTGCTACGAAATTAAATCAAATTTCAAACCTCTTTTGCTTGTCCCTTTTCAGAAAATTATCTTGCAAGGTTAAGTTTAACAACCAGGTGAGCTAAGGATTTCTCTGTGTCAAATTCAAGCTACAAACATAGATCATGGTTGTCACAACAATTACCTGAGTGTTGACGACCATATTGTCTGCCAGATGTCCCTTGTTGAGTTGACTGTTGCCATGGTGATGTGTGTGAAGGATGTGTAGCTGCTCACCAATACAATCAGACACTGGAAAATGTGCCTGAGTATCTCACTCCTAGAACACAGGCAAATGGATCATCTAACACTGAACTGGCGTCACTTTCTCAAATTTGAAATGCAAGTGGAGTTAGTGTTTGTTGTTTAACGCAGCACTCAGCAATATTCCAGCTATATGATGTCGGCCTGCACATAATCAAGTCTGGACCAGACAATCATCTGATCTAGGCTGTCGCGGTATGAGGACATGCTCTCACCCAAATCCCCGCGCCAGACCACCTGGTCGTCCTTTACGACCATAATAGTTTGCTGAGAACCAATTCTAACACCGGGTGTAAATGAGTACAGTTAACTCACTAGCAAGGTTCTATACTTCATGTACAAGGTAAAGAAAGAAATGTAAAAAAATATTTTCTAAAAGAGAATGGGGTTTAACACCGCTTTACACAGTGTTCTAGTTATATCATAGCCTGTAAGGTTTATGTGGGAGGAGAGCTCGAAGTGAAGCAGGTCTCAGATATTGACTATTGGGCAAACTGGCAATCAGACACTTAATCATAGGCTTCTTGTGTGCCCATTCTGCACATCAAATTTTGGTACCTTAGACTACTGGGCCACCCGTGTCCCCTACTTTCAAACAGTATACCAAGCGACCCTAAGCTGAACATAATCAAGTTACTCCACATATTTTGGTATATCATTCTGTTATATCTTTGAGACTGAAGAATGCTCCTAAACGAGGGACAATGCTCCAAGCTATGGTTCACGTTTTCAGGACAAGATCCCGTAAATAGTGCCTTTTGTTTGTGTGTTTCTTTGTTGTTTAACGCCGCACTTAGCAATATTCAAGCTATATGACGGCAGTACGTAAATAATGGAGTCTGGGCCAGACAATCCAGTGATTGACATCATGAGCATCGACCCACACAATAGGGATACAATGACATGCATCAACCAAGTCAGCAAGCCTGACCACCGGATCCTGTTAGTCGCCTTGTGCGACACTATGACAGGTGTGATTTTAAACATTACCCATTAGGATTGATTGACCTACATTCTAGAACTTACATCAGTATACAAGCTTGCATGTACAGTCATTTCGCCTGGTCTCTCTTTACATGACAAGTATCAGTTTTAATGTGTCATATAAGCTGCTATATATCCTGACATGTATTGTATCTTCACAACTGACCAGTTGCTGATCTATATGTTACTACATGTATGCGTCCTCACTAGGGCTGGGACGGGTAACTCGGGTACTTGGGTCGGGTGGGTCCAGAGTAGGACCCGGGTACCTACAGGACTACCCGGACCCGCGGTTAGTCACGTGATATATTGTTTAATGACAAAAATTATCTAAAATTTCATGGTTACACTATAAGTCACTTATGTTCCCATTTCTTTCTGACAATGCACCCATTCCTTCTGACTTTTATATGTTTGAATGAAGATAAAACTTCATGCAGTAAACTTCAGTGTACGCATGACCGGATCCTTTTACACGTGTATCTAAGTACAATTTACCAGGGCTACAGTCAAACGTTTCCAAATCGGACATTTTGTACCTGTCTCTAAATATCTACAGCGGGTACCCGGGTAGGGTCGGGTAATAGGGTGGTGGGTACCCGTGTAGTACATTTGGACTCGTCCCAGCCCTAGTCCTCACCTTCTGCAGTCATTCAGCAGCTTGTGGAGACATTGAAGCAAGGGAAGTAACTCATCCTCTGGGACACTGGAAGGGTACTTCTCAACAAGACGTGTTACCAGCTGCAACCTAAACAAACCAACATCTAGTGTAAGTGAGTGAGTTGGGATTTACACTGAATAATGCAATATTCCAGTCACATCGATCACAGCTGGGGACACCAAGAATTGGCTTCATACAAAGTACACATGTATAAAAGACAATTTGTATTCGTTGTGACGAGCTGAAGGTTTACTCACTTGGCTAGCCTACCACCCCTCAACATCTTGACAACAGGTAACATTCAGAATACAACAGTATACAAGCCAACTGATCAGTCTTAATCTTGAGTGCACAAGCCGCTTAAATTCTAAAGTGACACGACACCAGCAAAATCACCCTACATAAAGATATTTTGTTGTAAAGAAATTGCAAGTGTTGTTTGTTTGTTTAACGCTGCATTCAGCAATATTCCTGCTATACGACAACAGCCTGTAAATAATCCAGTCTGGACCAGACAGTGATTGACATCATGAGCATCGATCCACGCAATTTGGATCGAGTCAGCGAGCCTGACCCCCTGATCCTGTAAGTCGCCTCTTACGACAAGGATGGGTTGCTGAAGACCTATTCTAACCTGGATCTTCATGGATCTAAATTGCAAGTGATTCTGTGGCATTCAACAAAGCAATCTTGAAGGACCTGAAGAAAAAAACAGGCCACACCCACTTACAGACAACCGTTCCTGATTGGATGATAAAAAAATGGGCGGGACTGGTGTTGTATTATTGCACATTTGTAACTAATTTTGTACAGTTGTTTACAGTTTCTTGTGTTAATGTTTAAATAAACCTTCTGTGAGGTTATTACTGTTGACGTATTTATTCATAAGAACTGACTTCAATATGTACTTGCATTTATGGAAACAATCTAAAAAGAATTGTGCGCTGATTGACACAGTGTGCACACCATTTTGTTACGTGTATACTTCCATAAATGAATATTTCAATATTTGATTAAAAAATCTTTCTTGTTTGACCATATTGAGCATGCTGAGAGTGTATGTGTAATGTTTTCCAAATCGTTCTCATATTTGGAACAACAGTAGAACGAACACAAATAGAGCAAACAAACGGATACAACGAACTGTTACAAAATCCCTGATTTATCTCCTATATATTATCATATAAAAATTACGTACATATAAAAATCTCTTCAGCAAACTAACGTATATAATAGTGAACTGATAACCGATCACAGACAAGCCCAAATACCACTACCTTATTTAGTGACATGTTTAGCGAACTGAGAAATCTCATTCACTGTCAAGTGTCACTGAGAATTGGGTATATGCAATCAGAATCAACACAATCGCGCCGAATCAACACAATCAGCTGTGACGATTCAACCTTGTTACAACTTGCTTTATGTTAATCTTACCAGTACAAAGTAACTGGACTAATCCTGTCAGTAAAACAAACATTAAACCTACGCATTTTCATGGATGCAGTCAGCAAAACAAGGCCTGAGCAAAACCACCAACTACACATCTCCCCGTATGTAAATCGTGAAAACAATCTTGTAAAAATATTATGAATTTAATGTTATTGAATGAATGTTACTAAATGTTATTAGTTGAATGATATGATCAGTGCTAATACAAGTAAATGCTGCAATAATGTGTATTGGGTTTTGTTTTATCCACGATAGAGGACGTTTCCAAGTGGAAACGTATATAACGAACAACGTATATAACAAACTGATTTCTCCGGTGCCTGGTAGTTTGTTACATCCATGTTCTACTCTACTCTGTATCTAGCCTACAACCACAATCGCTAGGGGATACAGATGATCGTGAGTTTATTCTTATCATGGCCGCAGTATATGTGGTCAGTTATGACATCATCAGCTACGTCATAGCGCAAGCTAGCTGGTACTATTTACTATAGCACTAATCACACTACACTACGCACCATGGTATGACTTGGTGAGAGCAGCCAGTGTTGTACATGGTGTCTCGGACGACGGTCCAGCCACTCTCCAGCCTCCTCTTCTTCCTGGGCGTGTCCCCGTCCCCCAGCATGGACATCTGAGTCACCTCGATGGTCTGGGAGGACTCTGTGAACAGCTGACGAGGGGAACACAACAAAGGTGAGAGGAGCGAGGAGTACTCCAGCAAAACCATGGCGGGTTAGCCAGGAATGAGATTAACAGGGATTTTAAATAATTTGTTCAAAATAATGATCAAAAATAAGAAATTCTTTAATTCAGAGGTATTTTAACATTGCTTACAATGCAATAATGCAAAACTATGCATGAAAGCCTCTCGCTCACTATCAGTCAAGTTATCAGTCAAGTTATCAGTCAAGTTATCAGTGCAATACAATTCACCTTTGAAAATATGTAACATCAGGCTAAAAAAATAAATAGTCTTGGTTCTCAAGGCATTGCCAACATCATCATACAGTGCACTGCACATTTCGTTTTTATTTCCATCTCTTTCCCCCCTCCCCCTGCGTCTCAAACAAATATAGATATAGCGTGCAGTTACTTCCCTTTACATGCGCACGACATTCCTGTGCTATAATGTTATGGTCATGGTGGCAATAGGAGTTTGTGTGCTTGTTTTGATGTTTGCAAATTTAACCAATGAAAACATTTCTGACAAAACATCACAAAACATGATGATTTACAAATTCCATGGTATTTGTTAACTGTATGCCGGACAATGTTTCAACGCAGAGATTAAGACTGCATGTATATTTTCTCGTAAAATAAGCTGGAAATAGCTAATAATAGCTATTTTCTCCCCTATCTATGGGTCATTTAGTTTAGAAAATACTTAATGTCATGGCCAATATCATAACTGAAAAGAAATTTCCATACAGTGATAGGAAGACCGAAGACTATGTATCTCAAACAACTAATGTTAATTTCAAGGCGAGTTCACGGTGAGTTGATGTGATTTGCCGATCTGTTCATACACAATTGGGCCGAAATTAATGTAGACAAAATCTTGTCCTTTATCCAAAATCTTGGATAAAAGTAAAATAATGGATTACAAACATAAGTCCAGAAACTCAAAGAACAGGACTAACCTGCGTACCACATACTGGTAGTCCAACGTACAGTGGTCAAATATTGTATTAAAGTAATATACTCATCAAGGAATACATTTATGTAGGGAGGCCCTTTCCCAGGTTGATTGTACACAACTGTTTATTTCGTTACATAATACTTTGAACAACCAAGAAAAAAACGCCCGCCCAAACTATATTTTCAAAAGCCGTTGCTTGAGAACCAATTCCTATATTTTCTTAAGCCTCTGTAATTACTGTAGGGGCTTGAATTTTTCCTGACATTTTGTTGCAGAGATGGGGTCGACTATCAGCCTTGATACTTGGGCTTTTCAATATGTTCAACGGCTGGTCTATTATTTGCCGTGCACTTCAAATTCAGAGTATTTTCTTGTCACATGAATCGTTTTACTATCATGATGGCAGTATACCTGGTTGCAGACATCAGCAGCCAGATCCACATACGCTGCCTTCAACACGGCTTCCCTTGTTCTGGAACACAACGTAATTCCACATGACACACATAAATTGTTTCTATTCTTTAAATCTGGAACTATATTCGAACCCACAAACACAAGATCCTGGGACATCTACGGAAAGCAACAATGAATAGCTCCACCTCAGACACCTGAGCTACTCTCGGCCCTCAACACAAGGATGGTAGTGGTCAGTGTGAAGTTCAACAAACATGTATTAAATTCAGAGGTAGTTCAACATAGTATTTTAACACTCAATAATGTAAAAAAAACTAGGCATTAAAATTTCTCTCTTCATTGGTCATGTTAACAGTAAAATACCATTATTCCATAACCAGAGTATTATGTTTATTTTATATACTTGTCCTACATTACATATTGCACATTTTATTTACTACCGAAATGCTAACTGGAAATAATTGACAATCTATCAGTAACTCTTTTGCCCAACATGACTTCCATGACACTCGTGCCATCTGGTGTCGGAAGACAGGCCCTCTATATGTCATAATTGTCCTCGAACGTCCCTCAGGGCTGCTGGTACAGTAGGGAGGACGACATCAGTCAAGGGAGGGCAGGGTAATGCAGGATAAGTATATAAAATAAACATAATATTATATAATATATGATTATGGAATATTTTAACTTATCTTACATTACATATTGCACTTTACCCGACGGTAGTGGTGCTGTGGAAGTTCAGTTCAGTACTAGGCTAGCTGTCACATGTCATGGCATCTCGTAAAGTGGTCCAGAAGGCTGGGTTTGCCTGAGATGGTTAGTCTCCACTACTCCCGGAAAGCCTGCAACAGTAGCAAACGTGAACAACAAGACAACTTTCGGTGCTCGAAGGAGACCCAAGGTCAATCGCTGGGTAACAGAAATCCGAAATCACGCTGTCATGGCAACCCAGTAAATAGGGTAAAAACCTTGGAGCAGTCTGACCAAGGGGGTATGGGGGTAGGCTGCATTGCAATTTACCAGCGTTTCTTGGCGTTGGTGATCTACTGGGCGATCACCAACATCCCAAAACTATGTACGTCATCCACATCTTCTACGGACACATCCTGGAGGTAATGGCTCGTGAAGACAGTGGAAGAGCTCCAAAAGCACCCTGCATGATGGTCTGGATTGAACAGATTCTGTGGAGAGCCATAGCTGTGGCCAGGCCCCAGCTCTCATGCATGTGACCCAGGCATGAACTGTTCTGGGGACGGATGCAGGCGGTGGCTGTGAGGGTCGCTTTGAACTTCTAAGGCCTTCGATGGGATCAGCCACCTGTCGAGGTGTTGACATAGGTGGTCTGAGAATGTGATCATGGTCCAGTCTTGCTTGCTCTGTAAGTAAGGTGCCGGACACAGTTGTAGAAGTCTAATGTTGTGTCTCCCCCTGACTGTGAGGTCCTGTGCTGCTGTGAGGAGGCCAAGTAGCACTTGCCACTGATGAACAGACTGAGGACAGGCTAATGCCATCTGGACATATGTGACAATCTTGGAGTTGGAGTGGTTTTGGGGGTGGGGGTGGGGTTACTAAAAAGGGTAGATGCAGTCCAAGGTTGGTTAACCAAACATGCCTTGATGCAAGGATCTGTCTCCTGAAGAGGGTCAGTGAGGCCAAAGTATGGAGAAGGTGGTCACTCAGATAACCAATTTGGCTGAGATGCCAGGACAACACTGACTGTAGCTGTTGTTTCTCATCAGATGGACTTCTAGGCATGCGTCCATAGACGTATGGGATGATGTCAGCACACAAACAAATGGGGAAGAGTCCTCAATTCAGAGTCCAGGGATGACAGTCAGAAATATTGCAAGAGCAACCATATGGTGCCCCAGGGGAGGTGTAACAAACAGTTGCCTCTAGACTGATGTGCCTAGATGGTGACGATCGATGGGATCCCAATGAGTGCCTGACAGGAACGGCTGCACCTGGTGGATGAGTGGCTGCTCCTGGTCGGTGAGTGGCTGTGCCTGGTCGGTGAGTGGCTGCGCCTGGTCAGTGAGTGGCTGCACCTGGTCAGTGAGTGGCTGCACCTGGTCAGTGAGTGGCTGCACCTGGTCAGTGAGTGGCTGTGCCTAGTCAGTAAGTGGCTGTGCCTGGCCGATGAGTGGCTGCGCCTGGTCAGTGAGTGGCTGTGCCTGGCCGATGAGTGGCTGTGCCTGGCCGATGAGTGGCTGTGCCTGGCCGATGAGTGGCTGCACCTTGTCAGTGAGTGGCTGTGCCTGGCCCATGAGTGGCTGTGCCTGGCCGATGAGTGGCTGTGCCTGGCCGATGAGTGGCTGCACCTGGTCAGTGAGTGGCTGCACCTGGTCAGTGAGTGGCTGTGCCTGGCCGATGAGTGGCTGTGCCTGGCCGATGAGTGGCTGCGCCTGGTCAGTGAGTGGCTGCACCTGGTCAGTAAGTGGCTGCACCTGGTCAGTGAGTGGCTGCGCCTGGTCAGTGAGTGGCTGCACCTGGTCAGTGAGTGGCTGCACCTGGTCAGTGAGTGGCTGCACCTGGTCAGTGAGTGGCTGTGCCTGGCCGATGAGTGGCTGTGCCTGGCCGATGAGTGGCTGCACCTGGTCAGTGAGTGGCTGCGCCTGGTCAGTGAGTGGCTGCACCTGGTCAGTGAGTGGCTGCACCTGGTCAGTGAGTGGCTGCACCTGGTCAGTGAGTGGCTGTGCCTGGCCGATGAGTGGCTGTGCCTGGCCGATGAGTGGCTGCGCCTTGTCAGTGAGCGGCTGCACCTGGTCAGTGAGTGGCTGCACCTGGTCAGTGAGTGGCTGCACCTGGTCAGTGAGTGGCTGTGCCTGGTCAGTGAGTGGCTGTGCCTGGTCGGTGAGTGGCTGTGCCTGGCCGATGAGTGGCTGCACCTGGTCGGTGAGTGGCTGCACCTGGTCGGTGAGTGGCTGCACCTGGTCGGTGAGTGGCTGCACCTAGTCAGTGAGTGGCTGCACCTGGTCGGTGAGTGGCTGCACCTGGTCGGTGAGTGGCTGTGCCTGGCCGATGAGTGGCTGCACCTGGTCGGTGAGTGGCTGCACCTGGTCGGTGAGTGGCTGCACCTAGTCAGTGAGTGGCTGTGCCTGGTCGGTGAGTGGCTGCACCTAGTCAGTGAGTGGCTGTGCCTGGCCGATGAGTGGCTGCACCTGGTCGGTGAGTGGCTGCACCTAGTCAGTGAGTGGCTGTGCCTGGTCGGTGAGTGGCTGCACCTGCTCCGTGAGTGGCTGCACCTGGTCGGTGAGTGGCTGCGCCTGGTCGGTGAGTGGCTGCACCTGGTCGGTGAGTGGCTGCGCCTGGTCGGTGAGTGGCTGCGCCTGGTCGGTGAGTGGCTGCACCTGGTCGGTGAGTGGCTGCACCTGGTCGGTGAGTGGCTGCGCCTGGTGAGTGGCTGCGCCTGGTCGGTGAGTGGCTGCGCCTGGTCGGTGAGTGGCTGCGCCTGGTCGGTGAGTGGCTGCGCCTGGTCGGTGAGTGGCTGCGCCTGGTCGGTGAGTGGCTGCACCTGGTCAGTGAGTGGCTGCACCTGGTCGGTGAGTGGCTGCACCTGGTCGGTGAGTGGCTGCACCTGGTCAGTGAGTGGCTGCACCTAGTCAGTGAGTGGCTGCACCTGGTCGGTGAGTGGCTGCGCCTGGTCAGTGAGTGGCTGTGCATGGCCGATGAGTGGCTGCACCTGGTCGGTGAGTGGCTGTGCCTGGTCGGTGAGTGGCTGCACCTGGTCAGTGAGTGGCTGCACCTGGTCAGTGAGTGGCTGTGCATGGCCGATGAGTGGCTGCTCCTAACTGGCAAGTGGCTGAACCTGTCCGGTGAGTTGTACGTCGTTGTAACTACTGCCACCTCAGCAGACAGTGTTTGGAGTTGTCCAATCAGGCACAGCATCTTGGAGACTTGGTCGATGTTTTAAGCCTGGGCTTGGTTGTCAGTCGAGGTGATGAGGCGGAGGAGTGACCTGAAAGTTTTCAAAATGCCTGTTGTCATTTCCTCTGGGCACGACCCTGATATAGGTCAGGAAGTCTGTATAACAGAGGGACGCACATCCGGGAAAAAGAGGATGGATAACATGCCAACTGCACAACTGAAATTCAAGAATAGAATCTTACAAAAAAACCAGGTAAGATATATGTCCTGCTAAGTCAGCAAAGAAGAGAATAATGACATAGATATAGGGGGCGTGTCTTCCGACACCAGATGTCACAAGAGTCATGGAGGTCATGTTGGGCAAAAGAGTTACTGAAGACACTGATAGATTGTCATTCATTTCATGACTTCATTAGTAAGAGCACCATGCAACATGTAATGCAATTTAAGTAAAAAATAAATATCATAATTAATAAATATTGAAAGTCAAACACCATTGTGTTGAAGTTGAAGGGAACTACTTAAATACTTCGAGTTATCCGAGGCTTGACAGGAATATGCAGGGAACAAGTTTTTACTTCGAGACAACGATAAGTTTGACACATCAAAGTTCAACACAAGGGCGTTTGTAACTGTTGAATGCGAGTAGCTCTTCACACAAGGAGAAGGATGTGGTCAGTGTGAGGCTGCTTCTCACCCAGTTGTGAACCTGTTCCGTCCTCCCATCTCCTGCAGGTCCGTGTACATCACTTCATACAACTTCCGTAGGTGGCTCTGAAAACATACAGTGGTTGAGTGGTCAGTGACAGTGGCTGAGTGATCAGTGACAGTGGTTGAGTGATCAGCAACAGTGGCTGAGTGGTCAGTGACAGTGGTTGAGAGGTCAGCGAACTGGGATTCGAACCCACAATCATAGGTTTCTGGTGTGCCTAAGGGACGCATCTCTGCACAGTGAATCGCGGCGCCTTAGACGACTGGGCTACCTGTGCCCCCAGTCTGTCAATCATCAATCTAGGCCCGGCACTATCAGGAGAGGAACTAACCAGTTATAATACACTGTACTATTATTATCAGTTTGGGTTGGTGTCTCAGCACAAAATAGTTAACTCTTCACTGTTCATGTAAAGATAAATTGATTCTCTTTAATATACTACTCAACAATTGCTTAGGACCAAATATCCATCTTTAGTCAAAGGTGTGGACCTTAGCAAATGTTGAGTAGTGTATAAAAGAGAATCGCAGATGTCAGTGCTATATTTAGTGTCAGCATTCAGCATGTTAATCACAGTTATCTAACACAGTAAATATTATTAAAACAGTAAGAAACATACTTTGTCAATGTCAGAATGATGAGATCTGACTGGTTCACATGATCTTGATAAAGTACTATGTAGCCCACCTAGGAGTTTCATAAATTTCTCAGTGGAAGAATAAATCCCTTACAGCCAGTGACAAACCAGACAGGCTATGCATGGATTTCTGAGGAGAGTAAATCCCTGATACTCTGCTTCGAAGTAAAAAGCCGCACGCTTTTTCTGAGTCAATGAAAGTCACGTGACATAGCAAAAGTTAACGTCGGCTCAATCGCTGTTTTCTATCAATTTTGAATTGTTTTAATTCATTTACAATGTCAAATTAAAACATGTCAGTAAGATAAATTTGTTGTTGCAGTATCACGAGGGGTACATGTGGTTTTCGCATCTACCTCGTGATATCAAGTCTCACGCAGGACGCATAAACCACATGTACCCCTCGTGATACTCCTAGAACTCATAATGTTGATATGTAAAATCTGGAGCTTGCAACTGAGGTTATCTCTTGGTCTTCCCACTCACCCTCCACAGCTCCTTGTCCAGGGTGAACTCCCCAGTCTCGGGCGTCTTCACTCCCCCTGGGTGATGGGCCTGCATCTGTAGCCTCAGGAACTCCACAATCTCATCCTGAGGAACACACACCAGTTACTCATAAAAGTCCAAGAACTCCACAATCTCATCCTGAGGAACACACAGCAGTGACTCATAAAACTCCAAACACTCCACAATCTCATCCTGAGGAACACACACCAGTTACTCATAAAACTCAAGAACTCCACAATCTCATCCTGAGGAACACACACCAGTTACTCATAAAACTCAAGAACTCTCCACAATCTCATCCTGAGGAACACACACCAGTTACTCATAAAACTCCAAACACTCCACAATCTCATCCTGAGGAACACACACCAGTGACTCATAAAACTCAAGAACTCCACAATCTCATACTGAGGAACACACACCAGTGACTCATAAAACTCAAGAACTCCACAATCTCATCCTGAGGAACACACACCAGTTACTCATAAAACTCCAAGAACTCCACAATCTCATCCTGATGGTGAGACAAATAGTGATGCTGAAAGAGTGATTGTCGTGTAGGGTACTACAGAATGTATCCCCGGTCCCCTGGATGAAATTACAATTCAGAAAGGTTCCCTAGACGAACACAAATAGAGTAAAAGGAAGAGTGAAAGAAGCATCTAAAACTATGTATATTCTAGAGATAGTTTTAAGTTGAACATAATATATGTTTCCGTACTTTTGTCAGAAGTGATGCTCAAACTATGTAATAAATTGGAAAGATAACAAGAGCTTACTTTTCCAGATTGGAGGATAACTTACTCATGACCATTCTCTCCGCGGCCAAAACAAAACAGTTTCACTAACGCCTCTGAGGTCCAACAATAAAACTGTAGGTAATACCTACATAACAACGCAGGGCTCGATTAAAGGAACTTGATTTAATTTGCACCAAGTACAAGTTGACATGAAAACCAGGTTGCACCAGACAAAAACCAGGTTGCACCCTGTTTCTCATACATTTATCACAGTTAAAACATTGGCCGGCCTGCTGTAAAATGTAACAGGAAAATTTTCATATGATCTTGACTTACCAACACGTCAAGCCTGAGAAAGCATGACAAATCCCACACTGCAGGGAGAAGTGATAGAGTATGGTCAATAAACTTTAGAAAAGTATTGAGTGTGTTCAAAGATAGATTTTGTGTGGATTGTGTTAACATATACTTGGTGCAAGTAGACATAAATGTTACCGGTAGGTTGCATTTTTCAATAATAGGTTGCACTTGTGCATGTTTTATATAGGCAAATCAAGTCCTGGAATGTGAATACCACGAACCATGCCTACTTACAAAACACACACATCTAGTACAATCAAATCACACATACACTAAAAATTATCTTTTTTATGTAAAGCTTAGAAAATATAGAATTTCCTGAGCACAATTTTGATGTAGTTCCCACAAACAATAACGACGGAAGTGGTAAGACATAGAAGGATACAATGATATTAATGCGCCTCCAAATAAATGCAACAAACTGGAAGGCAGACGACAAGTAAAAAGGTGTAGATCTGAGTATAAGTGTGATGAAGAATATCCATACATGCTGGGTCATTTCGACCTTTGATGAAACACTGTGTTCCGTGGGTGGCCTGTCTTGACTGGACTGTCTGGAGTTCTCACTGATGCCTAGTTTGACACGAGTGAGTAGAAGTCCTCACCCCAGCAATGATAACTCAATGGATGTCCATTATGTCATTTCTAGTGTTTGAATGACATATTGTTCTCAAGATACCGTGATGTGGAAATATATAGTTATCTGTTTCTATATTCAAGTTGGTATTTCCGCTATTTAAAGTGTGCAGTGAGGCCATTTCATCAATTAATCAAGTTGAATTTATGCGAGCAAAGTCCACTCACATTTATTTGATTGTTTTGGTGAGATGAATCAGTGAGTGACTTGAGTTTAATGTTGCTAGTAGTGATATAGCAGCCACAGCACAGCAGGTGACCATAGGAATGGGCTCCTCACTATTAGTGAGTGAGTGATTATGGTTTTACGTCAGTTCTAGCAATATTCCAGCAGGGGATACCAGAAATAGGCTTTACACATTGTACCTATGTGGGGAACCCGGGTCTTCGGCATGATGAGCGACCGCTTAAACCGCTAGGCTACCCGACATGCCTCGGAGATGAATCATTATGATGTACCTTGATGAGGTCGGTGGGCCTGTTGTTCCACAGATACAGGAGGTTGATGAAGATGGTCTCTCCCAGTTTACAGATCTGGATCCTGCAGCTTGGTGCTATCTTCCTGACGAACACATTCAGTGCTGACAACAGATGCTCCAGCACTTGGGTCCGAGGTTCCTGTCTGGGAAACACACAAACAATAACACAAGTGACACCGCTGGTATCACCTACATATATAATCCATGCTGGACCTACTGAAGGTTTAACCAATCAATGTCAGTCAACAACCATTACTCATGACAATACCCGTGAAGGTCTTCAGCAACCCATGCTTATCGCAAGAGGCGACTATGCTCGTTGTAAGATGCAAGAAAGGTGACCAGGTGGTAGGGCTCGCTGACTTGGTTGATGCATGTCATCATGTCCTAAATGCGTAGATCAATGCTCATGATGTCAATGACTGGATTGTCTGACCCGATTATTTACAAACTGCCATCATATAGCTTGAATAGTGCTGAGTGTTGTGTTAAACAACAAACAAACCAATCTCATTAAAATCAGATCTAAGTTCTTGATGCCGCTAAACAAAGATCTGAGAACATCCAATTACGAGTCATGTCAGAGCAACGTTTCACTAACTTTAACCGACTACTGAAACGACTAACAAGAAGTCGACATCAGCCAATTAGAAAACAGCTTTACGGCACTCGTTTCAACCTGGCAACTTCCATTTTAGGTTACGCTTGAAAAATATGTTGACACAGTTCTCGATTAAAATATTGAAAAACTGAACAAAAGAACATTCTGGAATGTCTAACATATGGTTGCAATTGTATGGCAGTGCTTTCCACATACTCCTCCATTCAAATGTTTATCCCACGGAAGCGAGAGAGAGAGACGATAATTTTCACGGAATCAGTCGTAAGGGCTGTAACTGTCGATCGGAATACCCGGTGTTAATGTGTCCAAGGTTAGAAAACACATTCCGATTGTCACTTTCATGATCGGGTAAGCGATGCTTTGATTGGTCGTATGAAAGGTCGCTCTGACGTAAGCCGTAATGGGATGTCCTCAGATCTTTGTTTAGCGATAGCAAGAACTCAGATCTGATTTTAATGAGATTGCAAACAAACAAACAAACAAACCAATGACATCATTCACTCATTCATATAGCATGCTTTCTTCCTTAACCAGGTTAACGTGAAAAAATCACAATCTGTAAGCTTTTGAATCCTATCCAAGATGGTAGCAAAGATCCATGACATGTAGAAATGACACACAATCGGCTAGGTTGCACCTTGTCACCACCCAACCCTCAGTCCTTACAACATGGAAACTATGAGCATATAATAGCACAGGTGTACACAGGTAACAACTACATACCACTCACAGGCACAGTATCAAGTGTATACGGTTCTTACATTCTTGAAGGCCACCCTACCTTATGTTCTTGAGGGCAGCCCTATCTTATGTTCTTGAAGGTCGCCCTATCTTATGTTCTTGAGGGCAGCCCTATCTTAAGTTCTTGAAGGCAGCCCTACCTTATGTTCTTGAAGGCTGTCCTACCTTATGTTCTTGAGGGCAGCCCTACCTTATGTTCTTGAAGGCAGCCCTACCTTATGTTCTTGAAGGCCGTCCTACCTTATGTTCTTGAAGGCAGCCCTACCTTATGTTCTTGAAGGCCGTCCTACCTTATGTTCTTGAAGGCCGTCCTACCTTATGTTCTCGAGGGTCGCCCTCTCTTACATTCTTTAAAGTCGCCCTACCTTATATTCTTGAGAGCAGCCCTACCTTATGTTCTTGAGGGCAGCCCTATCTTATGTTCTTGAAGGTCTCCCTATCTTATGTTCTTGAGGGCAGCCCTATCTTAAGTTCTTGAAGGCAGCCCTACCTTATGTTCTTGAGGGCAGCCCTATCTTATGTTCTTGAAGGCAGCCCTACCTTATGTTCTTAAGGGCAGCCCCACTTTATGTTCTCGAGGGCCGCCCTATTCTATATTCTTTAAAGCTGCCCTACCTTATGTCCTTGAGGGCAGCCCTACCTTATGTTCTTGAGGGCAGCCCTACCTTATGTTCTTGAAGACTTCAGTAAAGAAGCCCAGCATGTTTCTGTGCAGCAGATCACACTGTCTTGCCACTCCGCTGATGATGGTACGGACAAGTCTGACGAGGACCACTCGGTCGATGCTGCAGTCGGGGTCCAGGTACAGACGACAGTACCGCAGAAGCAAGTCTGGTGGGGATGAAAAAGCTGGTCAATATTGCTGATTATGATGACATTTTGGCCACACTTAATACATTTGGTAACAATACTTGATAAAACATCAAAGAAGCATACCCTACCTCAGGATTCTGACCTCCAACCTCAATGTGCTCTTGTCAGGATTCTGACATCTCACCTCAAGCAGCTCTGCTTGCCAGTAAACTGGCCTCCCACCTCAAGGTGCTTTACTTGTCAGGATTCTGACCTCTCACCTCAAGCAGCTCTGCTTGCCAGTAAACTGGCCTCCCACCTCAAGGTGCTTTACTTGTCAGGATTCTGACCTCTCACCTCAAGCAGCTCAGCTTAAAAGTAAACTGGCCGCCCGCCTCAAGGTGCTTTCCTGGTCAGGATTCTGACCTCCAACCTCAGGGAGATCTCCTTGTCAGGAATCCTACCTCCAACATCAAGGAGCTCTCCTTGCCATGATTCTCACTTTCAATGTCAAGGTACTCACCTTGCCATTATTCAGAAATCCCAACTCAGGGAGCCCTCAAGGTCTCCAGGAATCTGATTCACAACATAAAGAGGCTATAAGGAACTCACCATGCCAGGATCTTGACTTGATGTCGACCCAATACTTGCGGACAGGCAGGACATTCTTCAGCAGGATGGTGCTGTAATCCAACCCATAGGCAGCGCAGGTGTAGTCGTCTTCCAGGATCTCGTTGATGTGACTCAGGACATTGGAACACTTCAGGCGAGGCCCACCTGCATCAGTCATTTACATCAGCGGTGACATGGACTTCATTCCATCATCGAGCACAGATGAATCCAGCAATAAAGATCCACACAAGAAAATGTCATGAACCTCCGAAAACTATGGATGATGTCAGTTTCTTTTTTGGTTGTTTGGTTTGTTGTTTAATTCCGCACTCATTAATATTCCAGCTATATGACAGCGGTCTGTAAATAATCGAGTCTGGACCAGGCAATCCAGTGATTGACAACATGAGCATCGATCCACGAAATTGGGATCGATGGCATGCATCAACCAAGTCAGCGAGACTGACCACCTGATCCTGTTTGTCGCCTTTTACAGCAAGCATGGGTTGCTGAAGATCTATTCTACCCCAGATCTTCACTGGTCTCACACTTTCTAAATATGTACAAGTATGTATGCATATATAGACTTTTGACAGGTCAACTGGGTAAATGGCTTTTAAATAACAGCAAGTCCTCTGCTGGTACATGGTATTAGTGGAATAATACACCGATTATTTACTTCTAGATACAAGTATCTATCAGAGTCGCATGCAAAGAAAATATTCTTTAATATATGTTGACCAAACACTAATTACTAGCAAAATGAGTAGTGAAAAAGATGGCTTACGCACCACACATAAAAGCACATGCAAGTATCATCATATGTATCGGATCGTGAGCAAGGTATCGTGATACATATCGGATTTCACAGTTAGTGTATCATCCCAGCCCTCACCCATGGCCAAAGGACCAGCAGCTAAGTCAACCCCTGTACCAGGAAACTCACGTTTATCAGCCACTCTGACAAAGAACTTGAAGAATCCACTAATCTCTTGCTTCTTCTTCTCCTTATTGAGCTTGGCTGCTGCACTGACACTCTCTTTGGCCTTCTGAAGAGCTGCAGTTTCCAGACGGATGTACAACACCACGCCCTGCAGACACACATACCATCTCGGTATACTGGCTCATATGGGGTTAGCAGTTCTGCTCTCTGATTTGTCAAACTCACTTTGAGGCATAATAAGGTGTGTTGTACTCAGTGTGTGAGCCTCACGGCTCAGGGTACATAGACTCACACACAGGGTACATCACACCGTATGCCCCAAGGGATCAGTTGACAACAAATTTATCTCAACGACATTCATTCATGTGTCCATGGTGTCTGTAGTTTAAACCGAGTTAGTAAAAATCATAGCAAAAGAACTGAGTTACTTCCCTTTACCCAATGCATTCAGATAAACATCATTCATATCAACAATACTTATGTGAACACTGAATTCCTGCCAACTTCCAACACTATTATACACAATGAGACAATCCTGTTTCAAGACTTTCGGCAGTGATAAAATTTTGGACATTCATGAGTGCACTTTCAGAATTGGTTCTCAGGCAATGTTTTTTAAAAATATAGTGTGGGCAGGCAGTGTATTTTCAGGCAATGGTTTTTGAAAAAATAGTGCGGGCAGGCGACATATTTTTGTTGTTGCTGCTGTTGTTGTTGTTGCTCAAACTAGTACGTAACCAAATAAGTAGTTGTGTAACCATAAAACAAATGAGTACAATCAACCTGGGAAAGGGCCTCCCTACATAAATGTATTCATTGACGAGTAAATACTGGAATACAGCATTTGACTACCGTTGGACTTGGAATATTTAAGGATGTTTTAAAAATATTTTTAAATGAAAATAAAAACGAAACATGTGGCAAACTTTATGATGATGCTGGCGGTGCCTGAGACCCAAGACTATTATTTTTCTAGCTTTATTCTTGTGTGGTCATTCACAGATTTCATAGTTTAAATCTGTACAAACCGATTTCGGGGTTAACCATTGCACATAACCTCATCACCTCATAACACAGGAATTAATTTACAGAGTGCTGTGGAACTTTACTAATTTCACATTTCACAAATACGGATAGTTATCTCGTAAATATGTTCATATTTCATAGAGACAAGGATTAATTCATTTCTACTTATCAATTTGATAGTGACTTAAACCTAATATTAGCAAGTTTATGATTTTGCATGTATAAAGTATCTCATTTTATTATAATCTTTTTATTTGACGTTTACAGGATAAACAGCTCTTCCATTGGACGAGAGGTGGGTCACATTACCGCAATATTGACGTTCATAAGTGTATGAATGACACAATTTGACGTTCATACGTTTTCACGAGAATGTGTTCTTGAAATGATGTAAACACTAACGGACTACTTCCACAAAAGCGTTCCTTCTGATCATTTAGAACCTTCAATCTTGGTCTCAGTGTTTCAGTATGCATTGAGAAAAGTCAGAGAGCTTGACTGCATGATTGTTGACAAATATCCTCGCTACGGCCCATCCTAATGAACAAACGAAGAAATGCACATCCAAACTATCGTCAGTATCGACTCGATCCGTGTCTAGGCTGACAGTGACCGTCTCCAGCAATCTACGAATTTACCTTAGCGTCTGTTTGACGCATCAATAATCACCTTTCAATGATCGGTCAGTTGATCAATGATGACTAACACATGTAACCGCCACAGGTTCATTAACAACTTCGGAAATCTCTCCCGTAATGTTCATTGTGTCGGCCATTTTGACTGACTTACTGAGGTAGTTCTTTACAGACCTTTCTCATCTAATGGTGATATTTGAACACATGTGTTGTGTACATGGTGTAAGATGTTTCTGAAGAGCAAGTTGTGCATCCATACGCTCATGTCACCTCTCTTTTTTAGGAACTATTTTATTCCGCGATATACCTGGTTGTTGTATAGCTGTCAGTGTAAACATGAAGTCACGCGTACTAAACAAAATTGTGTTTAGATCTTGGCCTACATCCTTTGAGGTAAGAAATTGTGAAAAAAAATCATAAGAATTGACTGTCACTTTGTGCGAGTTCATTGGAGTATGAACCTTCATAGAGTGATGGCCCAACATTGTATGAACGTTGTCGCAAGTTCCGACGTTCATACAGTTTGGCCCTCACTCTATGAAGGTTCATACTCCAATGAACTCACACAAAGTGAAGGTCAATTCTTAAGCAACATATAAACTTGGCGACAACTTGTCAGATGGATCATCCTGGGCGTCAGAAGACAATCATGGGTGTTTCTTGATATATTTAGGCAACTGTCCCCCAAATCTACTGCTTAATATTTCGGTTTTCAACATAAAAAACGATAACAAAAATAATAACAATTCACGAGAGAAAAAAAAAGACATTTCACAGCAAACATGTAATTTATTTTCAAATTCACATTAACAGACTGTTCAGATATGATGTATCACAGCTTATTCATAACGTGAAATATCGATTCATGGCAATCTATAAGAGCCAGTAACGTTTACCCAATGTATATGGTTATCTCACATACCTTCATGAAGACATCATCCCATGTTATGAGGCGATTATTGTTCCTGGCACATTTTTCATCTGTGTTCCGGTCCAAACTCTTGATCACAGAATTTTTATCGAGCAACTGTCTCAGCTTCTCAACACTTTTCTGAAATGAAAGAAAAGGATATATTTACCAATACTGCCTACAAATCACTATCCTGATCACCCAATGGTCAATTGTTATACGCACAGGGGAATCTGGAGCAGAACAGGTCTCCAGTACGTACCCCATGCTTGTCATAAGGTACAGTGAGAGAGTAAGTGGGTATGGTTTTATGTAACTTCCTGCAACATTCCACCGACATTCCAGCAATATTCCTGTGGGGAAAAACAGAAGTGGGCTTCACACTGTAGCAATGTTGGGAATCGAATCCGTGTCTTTGGCGTTACGAGTGAACACTTAACTACTTGGTCGCCCGACACCCCTCGTGAGAGAGAACTAATGCAGATCTGGGTATGACAATGTTTGCCCACGCTGAATGTCACTGTGATGTGATAGTGTGTATCATTGCTCGTGCTATCAATGCAAGTTTGCCTGGCCCTGATTTAATTATGGACAGTGTGGGCTAGGCTTTGTTAGTTTGTTTTTGTTGTTCAAAACCTGCAATCATCAATATTCCAGCTATATGACACCGGCCTATAATGCCCGAGTCTGGACCAGACAATCGTGTGATCAATATTGTGAGAAGACCTCACTGCCCATGGCTAACATAACTCGCAATCAACCAAGTCACTGATTCTGACGATCCGATCAATTTAACACCTCTTACGACCAACTTAGGTTTCTGGGGACCTATTCTAACCCAGAATCCTGATATGGCCTGTTGCACCAGAAGGGTGCCATCATACAATCCACATCATAGGTCATCCACATTTATCACCCCATGTTCATTGAGATAAGCTCTTGCAACTAGCATAGTGACTAGCATGGGGTAACTGGGACCCGTCTGCCCTGGAAACCATACAAGAAAATTGAAAATATGAGCACATGTTGCAGATATGTTTGTTGTTTAATGCCACACTCAGCAATATTCCAGCTATATGACGGCGGTCTGTAAATAATCGAGTCTGGACCAGACAATCCAGTGATTGACATCATGAGCATCGATCCACACAATTGGGATACGATGACATGCATCAACACAGCCTGACCACCCATTATCCACCTCTTACGAAAAGCATAGTGGCCAGTTACGGCAAGCATGGGTTGCTGAAGAAATGTTCTACCCCGGATCTTCACGGGTCTAATGATTGGTTGAGGAATCCTTTTGTCCACCTACTTTCCTTTCTGTAACCTTGTCCGTGTCCAGGCCGCGACAGCAGCTCATCAGATCTGACAGGTTGTCCATCATGGACGGTCAGCAGCTGATCTGAATATTGAATTTGACATGTTGGTGAAAGGTGAAAAAAGAAAACGAAAAGAACTGATGGGTAAAACAATCTGCATACCAAACAGAAAGTCTGTCCTGACCTAAAGCATAAGTAAGGTACATTCCTTAAGCAACTACTGATTAGAAGGATCAGTTAGAAAGCTAGTTGTTTATAGAAAAAAATCTTGTTTTTACTCAAACCTTATGTTGCTTATAACGTCTTTGGAACACTGTTTACAGATGATCATGTGATGTAACATTTATTCATGTTATTCAAAAGAAAGGATAATAGTTTTCAATGATTTGTTTGTTTGTTTGTTGTTTAACACCGCACTCAGCAATATTCCAGCTTTATGAAGGCAGTCTGTAAATAATCGAGTCTGGACCAGACAATCCAGTGATTGACATCATGAGCATCAATCCATAGAATAGGGATATAATGACATGCATTAGCGATCCTGACCACCCGATCCCATTAATGCCTCTTACGACAAGCACAGTCACCATTTATGGCAAGTTTATGGTATATGTTGCTGAAGACCTATTCTAACCGGATCTTCACGGGCTAGTTTTCAATGAAGTGTCTGCCAAAACAAAGTGTATGATGTGTACAGGATTGTCACTATACCAACATCTTACTGTAGCAAGTGAAAACGATGAACTGAATAACTTTGTTCATGTTCATGAGAAGGTGGGCTCATATTTCCAAAATCTAAACCATGGTAACTTGCAAAACTGATTCTTGCTGGAACATTCTCATTAAGCACATGGCGGAAATAAAACACAGACAAGGAATATCACATGTCCTGTCTTTTCATTTCTCACTCTCCTATATTTCATAAACAACAACAGTTATCTCCTTTATCATCTTGTCAGTATGACTATTTTGTACTTTTATATTTCTGTTACTTTGTTATTGCTGTGCACTAATGTAGCAGAAGTGTATGCCAAAAAAATAAAATGGATATGGACAATTTTGTTTTCTGTGAATGGAGGTTTGATATACAACATTTATTGTCATTTATTACAGCACTGTTTCTCCAATATGAACCGATATGCATAACCTGTAAAGATTATGACACTATAGTGAATGATAGGCATAATGGAGAGTCAATTCTGGTGAATCTTGGTTTGTGAAACATACTTATTCATTAATGTTAATAAATAACAACAATGTGATGACAGAGTTCATCATGTTTATGAAAAATGTCAAGGTTAAGAGGCTTAACTAGGTTAGAGTTATAGACAATGGGGACGCTCTGTTTCCACTGTTCTTACATTCACTCCCAGCGAGGTAAAAATCAAACAAACATTTTCCATACACTGAAATGAGGGTATTTACTCCTTGTCTCAAAAGAATCGAACTTAGTACTACAGCTGATATTATTTTTATTATTATACTTCTTTTATACTTTGATATTTCATAAATATAACACAAGAAAATGACAATAAGTGGTCAGTGGCCAGAAATGATAGACTGTCTGCCCAAGGCAAGGGAGTTAACTGACTGTTGAAGTCCAGTTTCCACCCTTGCCATACACGGTTGGAATTTCTGGATAGTGGCTATTACGAGTTATGTCCCTTTCATGTCACTCCCATTGACTAATCAGATTCATTGCATTTGATTCAAACAAAATGGCGGCACCCAACAGATTGATACTCAAGATCTGTATTGCAATAAAACAGGTCTTACTTCGCTAAGTGAATCAAATCAAATTAACCGATATCTGCAAAGCAGTTTACGAACCGGATGTTGATTTTGTCACAACAGTCTGATTGGACTATCAATAGATTCATTGGACCAGCCAAAATATAACTCCAATACTCCAGGTTAGTTCAGCAAGGGTGGAAACTTGACTTTTGTAGTCAGTTAACTCCCTTGCCTCGGGAAGAGTGAGTGAGTTGGGTTTTAACGTCATTTTTAACAGTATTGCAGGTATATCGGGGCGTGTCAGCTGAATGTGGGAGGAAAGCCTGAAGTGATGCAGGTCTCAGACGTTTGCCACATCGGTGATACCCACGAGCACGGGTATGGTGCTGACAAACCTAGAAACATAATCAGGGCGAACCGGGAATCCAATCCACAATCATAGGTTTTGGGTGTGCCCAAGTGATGCAACTCCGCACAGCGAATCATGGCGCCTTAGTCGACTGGGCCACCCTTGCATCAGCGCCCAAATTTATACTTTCATGTGTATGCACAGTGGCCATTTTCTCTGTGAAACTCAAAATTAAATAAAAATTGGGGGCACAAATTGTACAGATTTTCCTTTAATTACATTGGATTAATTTGATAAAAGAGATTGACATCCCTTACCCTAATTGAGACCTAACCCTATTAAGGATCGTAAAGGTATGCCTAGCCCTAAGAATTGTGAAGAGGTGTTTGATCAGAAAGGGGATCCAAGGGCTAAGGATAGAGTTGGGGGTAACCTACCACACCACAACACAACTAACCCTAAGGATCAAAGAAGCAAGCAATATCTGCGAAGCGAGAGCCACAGTCAGGCTTTAGAAATTGGCACTAGTCCTGTAGTCGTGGCCAAACTTCCCAATAGTTAAGGTATCATAAGGACTAGTAGAAATTTACCATTTTGAAGGTTTTGCTATAGATCTATATATGTAATCATCACAAGGACTAGTGGACTAATAATGTTAAATTTCGCACTAGTAAGATGCGCCAGAAAAACGACATTGTAACCTAAAGCTATAAAGATGATAGGAATATACCTACATATACATTGATCATTTGTTGATACACTGATTTCCCAGTTGCATTATCAGTTTATCTGTCAACACAAGATGGGTCAAGTTAGACTTATTGTCATGAAACAAGAGAAAAGATTATACCCAAGAGAAAAATGATATGCGACCGTCTGCCCTTCAGATGTTGACACATCCTAGCATCAGGTAGGAGGGTGCCACATCAATATCTGTCAGATCCATTTTCGTTTTTGACAAGCTCTTGTAAACAATCCCACATGTTCAAATATGGCGGTAAATTTACGGTTATCTCCCTTTGTAAAATGTAACATTAAAAACATTCACATTTTTATCGTGATGTTATACAAAACATATTTCAATGATCTTATAATATGTTTTATATGACAAAATACAAAATAAGCATAATCATATTTTTATCACAAAAAACCTTCAAGTTCCGGTCATGCGCATTATCGCTGTAGCAACCTGAAAGTTGTTGAAAATCTTTCGCCGTCGCTAATATCTATCACATTTCTTCAGGACTCCGTTCCATCACAATGACCACCTACAGGGTAAGTTTGTATTTGTACACGATATAATCATTTACAGTTTCTTGAAAAGAGATATAGATTCGAAAGCTATTCTCTGGTAATTTAACTGCAAGTTTCGTGACCACCATCTAAATATTTTTACAGCTCTAGGTTAGGCTACCACGTTTTTATTCTAAAACACATTTTCGACCAAATGAGTAATGTTGGAGTTCATGCTCTTCCACTACTGTAGTTGTAGCTGTTAACGTACAAGCTGTTTTATAGTTTGGTTAATATTAACCATAAGAAGAACCGACAACGTAATGGTAACTAATGGGCCTCTGCAGTATACCAGTAGGCTAACTGTTGCATGTCAAATATATCTTGGTGAACTATGAGGTATATCGGGTTTTTTCTTCAAATTTACAGATGTTACTGTTATACAGTATTTTATGTCTGGAAATTCAATTTGTGACTGACAGGAAAAGGTGCTTCAGACAACAGAAATATGAGATGTGTAGACGGTGTACTTCTGCATACATATAAGCATGATATATGACATGACAACTGAAGCACCTGTTTGAGAGAATACAAACTGTGATCTCTCCTCGCATTTTAGACAGTAAATACATTGCTTTAAGCTGTATGATGAATATATTATTGCTAATGAATTGCTAAAAGACTGTAAGTGACGCATCTCCCAAATGTGTTAGATCTAATTGCAAATCTAATTAACAACAACAAATAAATATTAAACGAGTAGAGTATTCATGTGTGTGTGTGTGTGAGAATATTTAGTAAGCTCACCCTGCCTTAGTGATCATGGTGGTAGAGATGAATTATGGTAACCATTACTACAAATACTAAGCTCACAATAACCAGAAGTATTTGGTTGCCAGGCAGCTGATTCCAAGAGAGAGGAGTTCAGGAAATACCTGGAAAAGGCAGGTGTCTTGGACGCTCTCACAAAAGGTAAGCATTAATGCTTATATGGGAGCATGTGCTGTGATGCTATGGGTACTGTAGACATGACAGATACGTGGCAGTATAGTCATGTTACTTCAAGTGTCATTTTACTATCATACTATCAATTCTGCATGTTCTAACAATGTCAAAGGAATTGAATATTGTGTTGGTCATGACACATACTGTATCCATGTAAAATATGATTGTTTAGAGTTTGTAGTGGGTCTTCTGTGTGATCAGATTTAGTGGCAATGTTTAAACTTTATCATGGTCACCATAGCAAATGAACAATTCATTGTTCATTTGATTATTTTTTTCATACTTGCTCTTATTTACAAACATGTTCTTTTTTTCACAGTTCTTGTTGGACTTTATGAAGAGCCAGAGAAACCAAACAATGCTCTTGAGTATCCTTTCTCATCAGAGGAACTGTTTATACCAGTTAACATTGCTAATATGGAATAGTGAAATTTGATTTTGAAGTAACCAGGGTCAAGGGTTGAATGGAATATATTTGTAAATAGCATCCTTTTATTGGTGAAAAACGGCCCAGTCGTCTAAGGCGCCGTGCATCACTGTGCAGAGTTTCGATCCTTGGGTACGCCAGAAACGTATGATTGTGTGTTCGAATCCCGGTTCGCAGATTATGTTTCTAGGTTTATCCGCACCATACCTGTGCTCGTGGGTTTCACCAGAGTGAGTGAGTTTTGGTTTAACGCTGCTTTTAACAGTATTTCAGTTATATCACAGCGTGTCAGCTTGATGTGGGAGGAAAGCCCGAAGTGATGCGGGCCTCAGACATTTACCACTTCGGTGAAACCCACGAGCACGGGTATGGTGCTGACAAACCTAGAAACATAAACGAGGCGAACCAGGATTCGAACCCACAATCATAGGTTTCTGGCGTGCACAAGGGACGCAACCCTGCACAGCAAATCACGGCGCCTTAGACGACTGGGCCACCTGTGCCCCCTTCACCGAAGTGGTAGACATCTGAGATCTGCATCACTTCGGGCTTTCCTCCCACATTAAGCTGACACACCGTGATATAACTGGAATACTGTTAAAGGCGGTGTTATACCCAACTTACTCACTCCTTTCTTTTGGTTATAGATTGTCCACCCAGAATATGGGTTGCCATGGTTACACAAATTCTTTCAAGTTCAGTTCATCATCAGTCACACATTTTTCTCCAAATTTGACTGTTTATTATGTTTATATGAATTTTCATGTCATTCAATAACTATTATAATGATCAATAACTGTTGTTGATTATTATTTTCATAAATAACACTTGTAGGGATGTTTTTGTGCCACATACAGAATTCCATGGACCATTGACAGAAATCTGTGGTCCTCTCTCAGATGGTCACTTGTACGATTAACAGGACCCTTCTTGCATACGTGTTATGTTCTCTTCTGATCATAACTTGTTTCCATTACAAATGGATCTAATTTGACAGATATTTGTCACATAAGCAAGCATGCTTGTGAACCTTTATATGCCACTCAAAAGAAGTTAAGGCCCACCGGCTTCTTATTTTCTTTTGAGTAGCATACATTGAATGGGTCACCGCTGGGGTAGACAAACTTTGGGGGCTAAACTGGTCTTGGAGTCATTGTACCTTGATAATGTTGACCAGTGTCAACCCTTTGTTTTGTCTGAGATTCCATTATGTAGCTGGAATAGAGGCCATGGTACAGGTGCCCCTTGTGCCCACTCCCCCACTGCAACATGTGGTTATGGTCCTTGACAGTACAGCTTCTTGCGTCAGCATATCGGAGCAGCTGGTCCAGATACAGCTGATGTAGAAGCCCTCAAGCTCGAGGTGTCTGAACTGAGGACTAAGTGTGAGCAGCTCCAGGAAGAGAACAATGAACTCAAATCTAAGGTGGGTAGGGAGCCGTGCGTGGATAATGGTAGACTTGTGTTCAGAATTAAGGCTTAATATGAAAAATTACAAGGATCAATAGCTGTTAGTCCTGAAAGTAGACTCAAATTCTACAATCTCTTTCTCTGGCATAAACAGAACTGCACTGTCATTACAATTACAATTATGGACCCGTGAAGATTCAGGGGTAGAATAGGTCTTCAGCAACCCATGCTTGCCGTAGAAGGTGACTATGCTTGTCATAAAAGGCGACTAACGGGATCGGGTGGTCAGGCTCGCTGACTTGGTTGATTCATGTCATCGATCCCAAATGCGTGGATCGTTGCTCATGATATTAATCACTGAATTGCCTTGTCCAGACTCTATTATTTACAGACCGCCGTCATATAGCAAGTATGACTGTTGAAATGAATCTGAGCAGGTCTTGTGAGTCTCAGTGCTTGCTGGAGATAGGCTTGGGTTACTTATGGAGCTATGGTTTACATTCAGAATGACCTGCTTGAATCACATGCTGAATCAAGTTTGGTACTGAAGTTATTATTGGTAAATAGTCTCATTGACATTTGAGAACTCAACAGAGTGGATTTTAGCAGCTGACTGCATGTTTCATGCATTGAAACAGCCTAGATAAGGATATACTGGACATTTATACTATTCATCGTACTGACACCTTACCACTATATTCTGTGTTAGAATTGGTCCCCAGCAATCTATGCTTGTTATTAGATGCAACTTGGCAACAGGTTGTTATGCTCTGAAACTTGGTTGATTGCATGTTATCTGTCCTGAAGACGCGAATCTTTGCTCGTGTCTATTACTAGATTGTCTGGTCCAGACTCAAACATTTACAGGACACTGTCATATAGCTGGAATGTGTAATATTAACAGGAGTAGGGCCTAAGCAAGCTATCCTGGTCTTAAGAGGCCACCAAATGGATCAGGTGGCCAGGCATTTGACTTAGTAAGATAGCGTATCCTCGTACCCCGATGGCATGGACCGTTACTCACAATATCGATGACTCGATTATTTACAGGCCACTGTCATATAGCTGAAATATTGCCGAGTAAATAGCCTTATAAACAAAAAAACAAACCCATTCTCTCAGAAAAATATCAGTGTAAAAATGTTTATTTTACAGATGCAGCAATATGAGCCACAAGCAGAGCAGGAGGCGCCGGAAAACTAGCCAGTCCATCCATCCTTCCATCTGTCCATCCAGATTATATATATATGTGTACAGTGAACAATGTACATAGATGTATATAACATTAAATCATTCCATCTGCAGTCGCCACTGTTCCAGCATCTTGATACGGCTACATGACTGCTTCCATCATGCTCCTCATGACAGTCTGTTGACACAAGTGGAAATATGCTGTATCTTCTATTCAACAGTAATAGCATTTTCAACCGAATGGTTGTAATAAGTACTAAATGGCAATATATTCTCTCTTTGAGCTCTGTTTGGCTAGGATGAACAAGATGTTTGTGTTTCATGGTTGTTTACATTGCTTTGGTCTCATGGTTTGAGCAGGCAAAGGTAAATAAATTTGGTTAAGTTTGAGAAGTAAAGTATCTATGGTCAATATTTCTTTGTGATATCTGAAATGTCTCTGAGATTCCATTTTTATTTGTGGTACATATTTTGTGTGAACAAATGCATATTTTCTTTGGAAGATTGTTAAGGTATATTTTCTTTTCTTTTTATATTCTGTAGGGAAGGATGTCAGGGCCACAATAAATGATTATTTGTTCCTTTGATCTTTTTTCACAATGTGGCTTGGTAGCCTAGTGGTTAAGGCATTTGCTCTTGGCACAAAAAACCTGGTTTCGATTCCCCGAATGGGTACAATGTGATGAGCCAATTTCTGTTGTCCCCTGCCAGATAGTATAATTTTATTGCTGGAATATTGCTAATACTGGCTGAAACACTACTCACTCTTTTTTCATGAAGTGGTGATTTACAGTTTCTGTTTAAATGGCAACAAATTCTTTTTTTCAAAAGCTAAAAAAAATGTCATCTATCCTAAGCAGAGTATTTCATAGGTCCATTTATTATCCTCAATTTTGGGTTCATTGAAGAAGTACTTGAATGCAGTTGCTTTGTCATAATCAAACAATAACTGGCAAGAAAACACATTCCAAAGAACAAATAGTTAATTTGTTGTGGCCTAAATTATTTAATGTCTCAAAGTGAACACCCCCTTATTATGAAAGAGATTCAATTTCTGTTTACGATTGTGTTCCATCAAAATGTGTTTTTATCTTATGTTACCATGGTTACCTGTTGAAAAGGTTGGTCTCTTGAAAATGGCGAGGCACTCAGAATGCTAATGTTGTGCATTGAATACTGAGGTGGTTTCTTTCTTACCAGCTAATTATTTAACTGTTCAAGTGTTACAGTGGTAGTAGTAGGCGCTGGTTAGCCATTGTTAGTAACTTATGCTGTTTATGTACATTGTCAACAAGTTTGTTCCATTAAAGAATACTTCAGACTCATTGTTCTTTTTACTTTAACATAGGGGCGGTCGGGTAGCCTAGTGGTTAAAGCGTTCGCTCGTCACGCCGAAGACCTAGGTTCGATTCCCGACATGGGTACAATGTGTGAAGCCCATTTCAGGTGTCCCCCGCCGTGATATTGCTGGAATATTGCTAAAAGCGGAGTGAAACCAAACTCACTCACTACTTTAACATAACTTGGAACATGAGGTGTTTGCTTATCCCAACTTGGATGTTTCCAACAAATTGTGGGATCTTGTCATGCCCAAGGCTTGGGTTTGATTATCCACATGGGTGCAATGTGTGAAGCTCATTTATGGTGTCCCTTGTGGTGAAGTTGCTGGAATAAAAGCTTTATAAAACTGTACTCATAGACTCACACCAACCAATTATGAACCATGTGACATGTGATACCAAAAAGTCATGAGGTGAGACCAGAAATCAACAAAAAGCAGTTGTCATTGAGTAGAGATTCATCACCAACTGGGTGCACAAATGGTGGACTTAATTTTCTTCTAAAAGGATTTTTGTATCAGTTGGCATCTGGGTTTTCAGATCACCTTGTCATTGTCAGTGTGAGCTTATGTGATGGATTTTCCCTCTCTGATGGCACTTAAACTTGTTGGTATAAATTTCACAGTGTTTTTTTAACAGTTGACGAACCCCCACGGTTACTTGTCAGAGTTGGCATTTTCTTAAGCCAATGTATGTATTTGAAGGTGATTTTTGTGGCAAATGATTTCTTGATATTGAAGGTCAAGGTCGCTGCTTTGAAATAAGCATTCAAAGTACTTATAACACCAACAGCCAACAGTTAAATAAGCTTTGGTTGATGTTTGTGACATTTTAAAGTCCCCATAGTTCAGAAAGACAAAATAGCCAAAGAATTGAACATCTGTATATATAAGACAATTTATGAAAGCTATCATAATCCCAGAATCACCTTTGATTTGTATGAAATATAGCATGCCTGATCCCTGTTATTCCATGCTAGTAATCTTGGACCAATGGCTAGCAGTCACCATCAATTCATTATACACTAAGGATCAGGGTGGTGAATTGGTCTTCAGCAATTATGCTTGTTCTAGGAAGCCACACGGGATCGTGTGGCCAGGCTCACTGACTTGGTTGATGCACGTCATCGTATCCCAACTGTGTGGATCGATACGCATGATGTCAATCACTGGGGTGTCTGGTCCAGACTTGTTTATTCAGAGACCCCGTCATGTTGCTGGAATATTGCTGAGTGCAGTGTTAAACAACAAACAAACAGAAAAACAAAAACCGATGCTCTGGAGTAAATGTTTCTTTCATCTTTTAGGAGCATAGGCCCAGTTGTGTAAGTGCCTTCGCTGAGTATGCTTGTCGTTAAAGGCGACTAACGGGATCGGGTGGTCGGGCTCGCTGACTTGGTTGATGCATGTCATCGATCCCAATTACGTGGATCCATGCTCGTGAAATTAATCACTGGATTGCCTGGTTCAGACTCGATTATTTACAGACCGCCGTCATATAGCTTTAATATTGCTGAATGCGGCGTTAAACAACAAACCAACCAACCAAACAACCAACCCTTCGCTGAGTTGCGTCCCTTAGACACACCAGAAACCTGTGATCGTAAGTTCAAATCCTGATATGCCCAGATTATGTTTCTAGGTCTGTCGGCACCATACCCATGCTCCTGGGTTTCACCAAAGTGGTAAACGTCTGAGACCTGCATCACTTTGAACTTTCCTCCCACCTTATGCTGGTCAACACGCCCTGATATAACTGGAAAACGGTTCAAAGCAGCTTTTAACCGAACTCGATCACTGTTCATCTTTTCCCTGTAAATATTTATTCTCGTGCTAAAGGAGGTAACAGTCTCACCTCACCTCCTGTTATATACAGCCGAACCTCGTTATCTCAAGACTGTCTCCGTGGTCTAGTGTTAGTGCGTCCGCCCGGAGAGCGAAGGTCCGCGTCATAACAAAAGACGTTATAAGATAGTACTCGTCATTAAGGGCTAAATCAAGGACTGGTGGACTCGGGGTCAGTGTGTTGTGTCTGACTGGGGTATCCATGTTAAACTGCGGGATAGTATCTCAGTGAGCCATCACTATAAATCGGCATCAGTCCGGACTAGTACAAGCAGACACACACACGTGCATGCACGTCGCTATATAAGTGCAATAATCTTGGACGCTACGTTAAATCCTATTTCACATCACGTTATTTCAAACACCATTATTTTTAAAAGCATATAATCAATTCAGGAAATATATGTAGACCACTTATCATAATCTTGCATTAACATGTTACTCAACTGATTTGTTATAAGTCAGTTTGACTTGTCAATAAACAATTACAGAAGAAAGAAGAAAAATTGTTTATTTTTGTCTCACCCATGGTCACAAAAATACATTACGCCACAAGATAAAACATGGCCACCCATTCAGGGTTATGGGAGACATTTAACATATAAACAAATTATAAATTAAATCACATGAAACATTACAGATGTGATAACACTTCAACTGACAAAAAATACAAAATTGTGTTATTTGGAAGGAACATTTATTGTCATTTAATTAAGATATATGTATTTGAGCATAAGACAACTGAAAATAACACCTTAATTCTATTGCACATTGTAGGAAGGTAACAGCTGGCTGGAGATAGCAAGTTATGTAACCGTTCTTATTAAAAATTAGCCTATTTTACGCCCCTTTTTCTCTAAACATTGAATACGATTTTTGTTTGAAGCTGTATTCAACAATGGTCCATGCGACGGCTGCCAATAAATATTCGAGCACGCTGCAGGGACCCGTGAAGATTCCGGAGTAGAGCAGGTCTTCAGCAACCCATGCTTGTCGTAAGAGGCGACTAACGGGATCGAGTGGTCAGGCTCACTGACTTGGTTGATGCATGTCACTCGATTATCTACAGGCCGCTGTCATATACCTGGAATATTGCTGAGTGCGGCGTTAAACAACACACACACACGCGCGCGCGCGCGATGAGATATATCAACCAAGTCGCCAAGTCTGACCATCCGATCCCTTTATCGTCACCTCTTACGACAAGCACGGGTTGCTGAAGACATTCTTCCCCGGATCTCCCAGGACGTTAATATACCCACGCATGCCTCCTCACATCACACAACATACAACGTGAATGATGTGTAGCCTGCTCTGAACATTATCTTATTTACTATTACTTTCCCCGCTTTAAACGTGGAGGAAAAGGAATCGCGACCGTGTGAGTTCGGCACACACATTGTACAGACATGAACAACGGCGTTGAACGAGACGAAGGCTTCAAGAGTTAGCTCCCTTAAAACGGCTCACAACTTCAGAAATGGTCGCCGCATGTTAATATCAGTGAAACAAGCTATGAAATCCAACTTTAACATTTCTTCCTTATGAGATGTTACTAGCTTCAGATTATCAACACTTTCAGCACAAGAATAACTGTTTTGAAATTGCTAAATACTGAACTCGTGTCTTACGACGTACGCATGTTGTCGTTACCTGCTCGTGTGATGAACACCCCGTGATGTGAGAGAGATCGATTGTCTATTGTGATGATTACTGTTTACGTAGCGGGGTATAACTGTTCACGTCGCCACAGGCCTTGTGATCAACCCTATCTCTCAGACCAAGAAGTAGAGCATATGGATATCGCCGACTATATTGTTTTCTAAAAAAGAGCATAACTATCTCAGTCAGGATGATATTGATTGTTGTTTAGTTGCGTATTTAGACTTATATCAGAATGGGTAGACAGACATTGCAAGGTCACTATAGTCTGTATTCACTTCTATCGGCAACTCTTGTAGTTGTTGATAAACAAGTTGCTGATAAGCCAAAAACATTTGTATAAAAACATTTGTACACACACACACATACAGTATGTGAAGACGCTCCCGACAGTAATGGTCTGACAGGTTTGGTTTCCTGATTAAATTGGTACAGGTAAGATGGGGTTTGAGTGTAAACCTGCTTTCAACAGCGTTAAGTTATTCATGGTATGATCATGAGACTATTATTACCTCCAACTTATTGCAGTCTGTGCCCTTCATATATTATCTCTTTATTGCCTGTGTTCAAAGCGGCGCTCCACTCAACTGACTTCTTTCAGCTTGTGTCCTGTATTACCATCCCCCAGTCCGCGCTGACGTAAGCGCTGAATGTGTGAACATGACGAACAGGGAATTTGTCATTCGATATCAATGCTGGTAGTTTACGCAGGTGAATAGGCAGATACTAAAAACAGCTACGAGTTGTTGTCATACTACCTGACAAGAGAGAGGATGTGCGCGTTCTTGGTCAGGACTTAAATTAAGGTGAGTGGCTGAGTGAGTTAGTTGGGTTTAACGTCGCCTTGAACAGTATTGTTCCGTTATATCACGGTTGACAGCTACCCGTGGTAGTGTGGAAAGCAGAAGCGGAGCTACAATTACATTATTATCAAATAGAGTCTCGTACACTGACAAAACTCAATTATTATTCAAAGCGGCGTTAAGTCCAATTACTCACTTGTACAGTGCACCATGATTCCACTGTGAGAACTTAAACCCTACTAGAACATCACGACTGTTGCTGATACTAAGAGTAAATTCTTTAGGTCAATTAATGGCTGGACTTTTTCGTGACCGACTGCCTTTTCTTTCATTGCTGACATACATCTTTATGAAAAGGAGCGAAACAATTTTTGGGGCACCAAAAACATATTTTTATGTATATCCAGCGTGTATTATTTTCTATACATTCAGGACAAAATAGATTTTTTTTTCCAGTATCAAACAGACTATCAAAAAAGCAATCAAACCGCCGACACCTAACATACCAGGCACAATGGCATAAGTCAAATCATGGTTTGTGTTCCAAGTCAGTGTTACAATGATTCACAATGACTGGCAATATTCGCGACAAAGATCAATCACCGATATTGTTTGTTTGCTCTGTTTGTATGCTGTTCAGCGGCGCAGTTAACAATATTCCAGATACATGGTCGCCTCTTACGACCATCTTGGGTTAGTTGGGACCAATTCTAGCCCAGAATTTCAACAGGTTTCAAACATAGAGATAAACACCGACGGTGAAACGTTACAACCGACGGTCAAACATAACACCGACGGTCAAATAAAACACCGCCGGTCAAATATAACACCGATCAAGAACGTGATGACTAATAAAGGCATTGTAAGGCGTGTAAAAGAGTTAAAGTGAAAATCAATGCAATGATCAGATACTGAACACCGAGTACAAAAAGTACATTCATGTCAACAGAACGAGTTGACATCGACTTAAGCAAAACTCCAAATAAACAGTACATAACACCGAACATACAACCACTGAATTAAACAGAAAACCGATTTCAAAGAACAGAATTAAACACAGAATCGATTTAAACAGAACATCAATTAAAAAGCCGAACATCATTAAACAGAACACTGAAAAAAACATAACATCAAGTTAAAAAGAGTGAGTGACTGAATTGGGTTTAACGCCGCTTTTAACAGTATTCCAGTTACATCACGGCGTGTCAGCTTAATGTTGGAGGAAAGCCCGAAGTGATGCAGGTCTCAGACTTTTACCACTTCGATGAAACACACTAGCAAGGGTATGGTGCTGACAAACCTAGAAACATAAACGGGGCGAACCGGGATTCGAACCCACAATCATAGGTTTCTGGCGTGCCAAGGGACACAAGTCTGCACAGCGAATCGCGGCGCCTTAGACGACTGGGCCACCTCTGCCCTCAGTTAAAAATGAACACCGAATTACACGTATTTCACGGTATCAACCTGACCACATTTCCCGCTTGAATGACGGTGTACCACTGACAATATAAAACCCAGTCAATGTTATTTACTGGAGCGCCTGTTCACATAAAACCCTTCTCCTATTGTCCAAATATGATTCGACACCACTTGCTGATCAAGAAGGGATAAAACGTTTCTTTATTTCAATAGAGCCCCAGGCCAGTCTATCCCGTTGCGTTACATACTGCCTGTCTGGAATGTGAACTGTTTACTTATTTATAACTTTGTGTCAACTGTAACTTGATTGCACAACGTATTTCTGTACAACAACGTAAGTCGACCGTGCAACACCCACAGAGTTCGACTGTGAAACCTACACTTCTCAGTGTTCCCCCTTATAATCGTCACAGTACACACACAACAGGAGCCGACAGAGGAAGTGCCCCAGCACAGCTCCACTCGCAAGGTAAACCCGCGTTACATGGACATGAGAGGTCTTTGTGCAACAGCTTGATAAGTTGTTTATGGATGATATGGATGAAGTACCGATGAACATACCTTGTACTTTGGAGGTCAGTTGCTACCGTTATTCTTTTCGTCACTCATTACTCTCCGTCTGTGTCTCTGCACACACACGCGCGCACACACACACACACACACACACACACACACACACACACACACACTGTGTATAGATAGTAATGTTCGCATTGAGGCGAGATGTAAATATAATACCGTAATTCTTCTAATAAGCGCTGAATAACAAATATGGCTTGCTGGTGTTACACACGCACACACAATCTCACAAGCCACAAGTCTCCGTTGTAAAGCTAAAAATGTACACACAAACATACAATCAACTACAGACATTTGAGATACTAGGAGGAGTGAATTGAGCCCGGGGAGTGATTTGGGCCTCGGCCCAAGTCACTCTAGTGTGATCACATCCTAGGTCCAAGCCACTCTAGTGTGATCTCAGCCTGGGCCCATGTCACTCTAGTGTGATCTCAGCATGGGTCCAAGTCAGTGCAGAGAGATCTCAGCCTGGGCCCATGTCACACTAGTGTGATCTCAGCGTGGGTCCAAGTCAGTGCAGAGAGATCTCAGCCTCGGCCCATGTCACTCTAGTGTGATCTCAGCATGGGTCCAAGTCAGTGCAGAGTGATCTCGCCCTGGGCCCATGTCACTCTAGTTTGAGCTCAGCCTCGGCCCATGTCACTCTAGTTAAAGCTCAGCCTCGGCCCATGTCATCCTAGTGTGATCTAAAACTAGGTCCAAGTCATTGCAGAGTGATCTCAGCCTGGGCCCATGTCACTCTAGTGTGATCTCAGCATGGGTCCAAGTCAGTGCAGAGTGATCTCGCCCTGGGCCCATGTCACTCTAGTTTGAGCTCAGCCTCGGCCCATGTCACTCTAGTTTGAGCTCAGCCTCGGCCCATGTCATCCTAGTGTGATCTAAAACTAGGTCCAAGTCATTGCAGAGTGATCTCAGCCTGGGCCCATGTCACCCAAGAGTGATCTCAGCCTTGCCCCGGGTATGCTTTATTTAAGTTACTTCTCCCTAGAATATATAATAGTCATATCAAATAAATAAATTATTTTATTTGTGTCACGTTTACATACATCAATAAACATTACATTTATTTCCCACCTGGTCACTTAGGTCAATAAAATATACATATACAATTAAATACATTCATCATTAGTCTCATTGTTACACATACCTTCCTAATACATTCTATCACACACCCCTTAAGACATAGTTAAATTGATGATGTAAAATTTAATTGTTTGTTAATTTTTTTAGTGACTCCAGCTGCAACACCGTAGTTGAAATTTTAAGCGCCGGGCCTCTAATCACCGCCGGGCCTCCATTACCCGCCAAGGTTGCAAGCTTGTTCACAGAATAAATCATACCGGCGCGCTTATTAGAGGATATACGATATGTCTATCTTTCTTTAGAAATGTTTCATAAACAACCACAGGTGGAATCCAGTGCTGATAATATCAGTGAAACAGAAAAGATTCCCATGCTAAGAATATCATCACGTCCGAGAGCATGGTGTGACGTGTACAGGTGTGTGTGTGTTCAGCCGCTGACTGTGCCAGTGAAGGGGGACACAGGTCACGTGCATAGAACATGCCACGTTGCAGTAACAAACAACATAATGTGTCGTCATACATACCTCGCTTCTCTGCAGCTATCAGTGAAGAGGGGACACGTATAGGAATGGCAGAGTTTCAATAACAGGCACACTGATGGTCTTCTTTCCGAAAGTAAATACGGAAAAACCCAGATACTATATATAATCATATCCGGGAGTTCCCCAAGAGAGCGCGTTTCCAGGAACTGTGCGTGATTGGCTGAGCGACAGCAGATATAGATCATCGGCTCTGGTCGAGACGAATTTGTTGTGTCTCTATTTGGGGAACTTTGACCTCAATTAGGTAGGTGAAAATGATATTATACATGCCTAGTAGTAGTATTAGGGTTGTGTGTATCGTTTCAAAGTTTCAACTGTCTAACGTTCTGGCACGAATGCACGGCGTAGTAAATCTTTAGTCAAGCGGAGGCCATCAGACAACCATATTATTTATGCATGCATGGATGTGACGCTTGTTGTGATTATTACACCCGTTTTCATCAGTGCAATATTGAATTGAAGTAATTTTACTTCGACCTGAGAACTTGTGTTCTCGTTGAGTATATAGGTCGCATATTGTTGGAGCTATGAGACGCGTCATACTTGAACACTCCCATTCTCCTTTTACAAGCCATTGTTTAGGAAACGCATGCAGAGGGGACATTCTCGCTGTTGACACATGGTACTGCCAGAACACAATTACTGTCTATAGATACGAGCTCGAATCAGGAAGCTCGGATCATTTCAAATATACCAAATCTGCCTTGCAATATCCTGTTTATAGAGGCGGATCTAGTAGGATTTTGGAAGTGGGTGGAGGGGCGTGCGGGGGCCTCATGCATAGTTATGGCATCCCCCCACATCCTCTTGATCCTCCAAAGGTTTTAGTTATTTAGCAAGTGGGCGTTGTGTGTTGTTACCGGCGCCTGTGAGTGATCGAGTTGGGGAACGATGACACATAAATAAAAAAAGCACCCGAGCCTGTACACTGATCCATTTGGTCGCCCCACGTTACCAGCATAGGTTGCTGCATGGGGACCTACTTTTAGCATGTCTGTGGTCCTCGCGGCCCATGTTTGTTTGTTTGTTTGTTCCTTCATGCCGCCGTAAATTGGACGTAGTTTTTTTGTTATTTTGTCTTGTCTCATCTTGTTCAGGACTCTGTCAATCAGCCTGAAGCGACAGAAGATATACAGCTTCAATGCATTCAAAGTCATGGAGAAAGCATCTACATGTATTACAAAAGCATAAGGGTGTGGTTGCCAGGCAACATAGCATTGAACCTGATGTTTTAACCTTGATGCAAATAATTCATTGTAGGTTCAAGAAATGTACTCTTAATCTGAAATCATATCCTTTCAACATCCACTCTGGATCATCATGTCTGTGTCTTCTTACAAAGCATCAGCTTCTAGACACCAGGAATGTGAATAGTAGACAACCCCATCTCATTGTCGTGTGTATGTGTGTGTTTTGTTTACGCCGCATTTAGCACTATTCCAGCTATATGTCTGTAAATAATTGAGTCATTCCAGTGATTGACATCACGAGCATCGATCCACGCAGTTGGGATACTTTGACATGCATCAACCAGGTCAGCAAACCTTACCACACGATCCGCTAAATTAAACCTTTTCACACAGAAACTGTGTGTGTGAATACTTCACTAGCCTGGATATCGATCCATTAAAAATGTCAGAACTGCAAACATTCATTATCGGAACATTATCATAAGTTTTTGGCGATGATTTATGTCTTCTAGGCCTTAACCCTGATCGGTGTGAATTGGAGATGACAACACTTGACGACATTGCATAGCGTTTGCATACAACTGATAACGTTTATAAAACAAAACAATAGCAAAGTGTTAAAACAACCCTTTATTTATGACACCTTTTCGTGACCGATATGCATGACCATACATCAACCATGATGTTGCAGGACCAAGAGTTTGTTTGTGGGAACGATGTCTTTTATTAGATTTCTTTATTTATTTAATTGAACGATTATCTTTTTAAATGTGGGTTGAACGTAGCGACTCACTACGAGCCTATTTCGGAGGGGGATTTGGTAGATGTATGATTCAGTAGATGTTTCAGAGGCAGGTTTGGTTTTGAGGCGGGGGGTTGGAAGTACACAAGATCACCCGCAATTCAGTCCGCGGCGATGTCGACAACATTTTATGGACGTTAGCACTCGCAGTGAGGTGACAAAATACCAGACGTCGAACCAGACGAAACCAATCATATATCCAAATTGAAAATAACAGGACCAGTATCGAATCTACAGTGATACGACCCCAAATCTCGAAACACAGCAGGTTATATCCCAATACTAGCATGACACTGAAGCATCGGTGACTCTGACGGGTCTACTCTGCTGTCTAACTTCATGGTTATTTATTTCTTATTTCCCCCAGATCCGGATTGTCCTCTGGGGTCATGCAAATTTGTAAATATCACTGTCACTGTGAACAATTATGACTGTGAAGGGTAGCGGAAGTAAGTCCAAGAATGTCGTAGTTTCGGGGTGAAGAGAAAGTCATTCTGACTGTATTACTGTTCTGTTACTGGGGAGTTATTTCAAACCTACCGATACACGAGTACAACTTAAAAATTACTAATATAATCCTTTTATGAAATCAAGTTTGTGTAGAAATAGATAAGTTCAGCACTTTGTATCCTTATTTCTACAAGATGTCACCCCTCCATTGGGAGAGTTCATATTGATTTCCAAGAAATGACTTGGTTGAGTCCACTATTTGCAACAGGTTGCGGAGAACTTTATTTATATATCTGTGGAGGGTTATTTGATAACCATAATACAAGTAATTAATCAATCAATCTTTATTCAAGTACTCAAGAGGCCCAAGGCCTATAGTACATGTGACAGAGATGTTGCACACAATTTTAACTATTATTTACAGATTTGGTTCCATATAACAGTGCGTGGAATATGTACATGGCTAAGTTTTGCATTATTAATTTATCTAGACTGTTTAACAATATTTAAATCATTAAAGTAGTATACAGGAATATATCTTTTTCTCACAGTGGAGTACTATGGACATACAAGTATAAAGTGATATTCATCCTCTATATCTTGCCTATTACACATTTTACCTAATCTTTCTGACCTTGGAGTTTTTGTGTATCTCCCACTCTCGATGCATAAATCATGGGATGAATATCGGAATCTTGCCAATGAATAGGGTACTTTTTTATATTTACATAAAACATATACTGTTCAGTGTATATATGAATTTTCAACATTCTATAATATAAAACAATATATTCGATAATGTCAACGAAAATGACCACGATTGCAGATAAATATCTTTTAACACTTTCGGATTGTACAAATTGATCATACCAAACATTTCCCAAACCACTATTGAATAACATTTTTTTCGTCTAAATTACCCAATTAGTATTTCCATTCGTATCGTATAATATCATCACATTGTAACATTTCTTAGGGTATCTCGATGAATTCATTTTAAGGAGTTTCCGCCAGTAACTGAAGTAATTAATCGTGAACAAGAGTAATACTTGTCACGTGTTTCACTACGTGTGACGTCTTTTCGGAATGTTCTAAGATTTATACTATTTACCCGTGTGTGATTAGCATTACGAGAGTGCTGCCTTCGAAGTGTTCTTCTTGTCATGGTGTCCGTATTCCACGAGAGTGTACTTGAAGAATGTTGCATTTTTTACGATGTAGTTCACACAGGAAATGTTCGGTTGTTAAGTAGTTAATAGTGCAACTCATCTCTCGTATGATGTGTTGATATTTATTTTAGGAGTAAATGATGGATGTTGTTTACTCGGGACTAACAAATATTTCATCTGTATCAGGTAATTATCGAGTCTGGGTCAGACAAACCAAACCAGACAAACGAGTGTTGGAATGAGCAACGATCATAGGGAGGATGACACACGATTTGCCATGTCGCACAAAGTTAAACCTCCAGGGCCCCGTTCCACAAAGCGATTGCAGCGCTACGACGGTCGTAAGTCTATGTTAAAGTATGGGAGTTACGATCATCTTAGCGCTACGATCGCTTTGTGGAACAGGGTCCAGATCTTCTTTAGTTTGGACACAGGAATACCTGTGGACCTGTTCTACCCTCGCGGAAGATGTGCACATTGTTAAGCGTCGTTTCTGTTACTTGTATTTGAATCCATTACTGAACTAGATAGCCAAGGTAAGTACGGTATTGCTCTCGTCGTTTGAGCTCCTTGTAAAACCGAACGCTTTCAATATTTCCATTGGGAAACGTTTAAGATTACACCACATTGGATTAAGACAGCATTCATTAAATTATAATATGAAATCGCCACATGAATACACCCCATACGTCATGACAAATATGTTCCTAGAATCTCTTGCACAGACGCACCCACGAGGAATACAACAGCGGGAAAGATATGGTATTTTCTCTTATGGACGGGTACAGCTAAATCAAAAATGAATTAACCCCGTTTAGAAACCATATATGTTACTCAGAAGAAGTAAAGGATCACCTGATTCTTTAATATTACTATCGCTAATCTGTCATGACATGACACCATCTGATTCTTTCATATTACTATAGTGAATCTGCCAGGACAGGAGATGACAGATGGTCTTTATGGTATGAAAGAATCGGACGGTCGTTAACTTCGTTGGAGTAGCCTAGTATATCTATAGTTTATGGACCAGTGAAGATGCCTGGTCCTTTTAAACTCCGGGAGAGGACGAAGCAATACTTAGAGGTTATTATATGACATTTTTCATATCATACCCCATATCAAGCCTCGACCCCCGTATGGCCCCTCTGGCCTTCGGCTTGACTCACATCTAGTCTCTGAAATGAACATATCGTACAGAAAAAAACAAAACAAAACAAAAACAATTGTTAAATTATCTTAATAAAAAAATATAATAGAAAGGAGCCCAGAGACTCTCTTCATTTTCAGATACTGCAGTAATCTAGACTTGCCAAACATTATAGACTTGCATGGGCTGTATTTGATATATTTGTATCAGGGTCTGTAGGACAGACTAGCCTTCGGCCCTCGGCCTGATGTGGGGGTCGAGGGTTGATATGGGATATGAAATGAAAACTGGCATATAATAACCTTTTATCATATACCATAATATCAAATTGTAAAATGTATCTATTTGCAACTAAATGCAATACATTTTCACCTTGTTCGGAAGACAGCGTCACGGGAAAGCTGGCCGAGCAGACGACGCACTAAGGGACGTAACTCCAATTTCTTACCGCCCGGGCTGATATCGATCGCCCATTGAAAAGCTATATCATCCATGTAGGGGGTGTGATACGGGTTATTAGACCCCCTGTGATATGACCGTCTCTATGTTGGCTGGTACATGATACAGTACGTTATCATCAAAAACTGGCTTCCACGGGAGATATGCTTGGGTGAGATCAAGAGCATATCCGGGGAGAAGAGTTGGAATAATGATCTTGGACGATGAACATAACCTCAACCTCGTTTCCTTGCCGAGGAGTTTTAAACATTTATCGATATCAAATATAGCGACACTCGTCGATAAAAGTTTCGGCTAGACTTAGAGTTTTAAACTTTTATCGATTTGTGTTGATATATTGGATATAAGTGTTGTATTTGATACAAGTGTTGATGTATTTGATATAAGTGTTGATGTATATGATATGAGTGTTAATGTATATGATATGAGTGTTAATGTATTTGATATAAGTGTTGATATATATGACATGAGTGTTGTTTTATATGATATGAGTGTTGATGTATTTGATATAAGTGTAAATGTATTTGATATAAGTGATGATGTATTTGATATGAGTGTTGTTTTATATGATAAGAGTGTAAATGTATTTGATATAAGTGTTAATGTATTTGATATAAGTGATGATGTATTTTATATAAGTGTTGATATAATGGATATGTGTTGATGTAGTTGATATAAGTATTGATATATTTGATATGAGTGTGGATATGTTCGATATCAAATACGCTCGGGCGAGATTACCTAAGGTCTGCATTTGGAACCAGAACTTATCAGATGTAATCTTTCTTATCTTCTCTAAGATGCATGTTGATCTCCGGTCGCGCATTCAATCAGCACTAATTACACAGGGTTGTATTGGCATGCGTTGTCAACTTTTCATGAACTATCATGAAGCAGGCAAATTTCATTGGCTCACGCAACCCATGTTTGCCGTAAAAGGCGACCATGCTTGTTCTAAGAGGCCACTAACGGGATCGGGTGGTCAGTCTCGCTGACTTGGCTGATGCGTGTCATCGCATCCCGGTTGCGTGGATCGATGCTCATGATGTCAATCACTGAATTGTCTCGATTATTTACAGACCGCCGTCATATAGCTGGAATATTGCTGAGTGCAGCGTTAAACAACACACACACACACACACACACACACACACACACACACACACACACACAATGAGATGCATCCACAAAGACTTAGCTGATGCGGGTCATCGTATGCCATCTGCGAAGATTGATGTACATGATGTCAATTACTGGATTACCGCCATACAGCTGGAATAGTGCTGAGTGTGACGTTAAACAACAAACAAACAAACTTGGCTGGTTGATATATCTTCCTCGCTCAATTTCCAGCTGATGGGCACTGAGTATATGTTTCACACTATTTTACAGGTCTAGATGGCTAGCAGCACTGACTGTGCCCAGGACAAAGAACAGAAAGGAACAAAAGAACAATCCAGTCAGACACACACAAGTTTAGAACAGAATCAGCCGTTACCCAATTTACGGGAGTTCAGCACTATATCAGACCCCCCAGTCCAGGTCCCCATCCCTACTGGTGATGGCACAGACGCCACAGTGCCCAAGGAAGTTGCTTCTGTTGGGTCGGGGCTGGACGCTGATGGGGAGTTGGCGGAAGTAGCAACTGAGCAAGGCCGGCTGGGAGCGGAAGGATATGGGGGCCTTGCGGACCGTCAGGGTGCACGGCCTGACGGGGTGTTCAGCGAGGTTGCACTACACAACCCGAACGCGTAAATATTCTACTTACCAGGGTCCGTTCCACAAAGCGTCAAAGTAATCGTTACCTTATAATTTTACGTAGATTTACGACAGTCGTAGTGTTAAGATACCAAGAAAAGCTGATCTTATCGAAAGTCTCTGTTACAGGGCCAACTTGCACAAAGCGGCTTCAGCACAAGGACTACCTAAGTCTATGTTAAAGTATAGGAGTTACAATCGCTGTAAGATCGCTTTGTGCAAGTTAACCCTAAACTCCAGTTTGGAGCTTTGAAGACAATCAAAGTGTGAGTGAGTGAGTGGGTGGGTGTGTTGGTGGTTGAGTGAGTGAGTGAGTGAGTGGTTGAGTGCGTGTGTGAGTATGATATTTTCAATGCATTTTTAAACTGTCTGAAGGCATTTCCTCTTCCTGACTACAAATTGATTAATTACCAGTGTGGTATACATCTAGTATGTACCGCTGTTACAGGGCCCAGGGTGGGAAGAGGACCCCTCTGCAGAGTTCCGACAGCACGGAGACGGAATACCTCCAACAGGCCGCCAGCGAGCTGTGTGTGATTGAGAGGCCCAGAAGCTGCAGCAGTTCCTTGAGTGTGTCATCATTGTCCTCCAGCCTGCCCAGATCATGTAAGCAGGGACTTCAAACGCTGTCATTGACATTTCGTTTATGTCATTAGGTCTTTATTTCTTTGTTGTTTAATGCCACACTCAGCAATATTCCCGTTATATGACAGCGGTCTGTAAATAACTGAGTATGGACCAGATCATGAGCATAGATCCAAAGTCAACATCAACAAAGTCAGTGAGCATGACCACCCGATCCCGTTAGTCGCCTTTTACGACAAGCATAGTCGCCTTTTACGGTAAACGTTGGTTGCTGAATACCTATTCTACCCCGGACCCAGCTCCTTTTAACGAGAGTGTTTGTTTATGAATGAATTACGGCTGCACGATCAGATCACTCACACTGAACATTACCGACACAGATTATTCTAAAACTCCGACAGCTCGAGACATGACAACGGATTCTCGCTAACGTCATCAAGCGTTTGACGTCATCGCAGCGGCGACGTATTGTGGCATGTATTGCTGGACACACTCAATATTAAACCGGTGATTTATGACTTTGCCGTGACTCACATGTTTGTTGCTACACATCTGTTTGACCTTGCCAATGTGAATAATCTCATTTGACCCCCTGTATCTTTGTGTCATTGTTAACGTTTCTGGTTATGTGGAGTGAAATGTTGTTCACATGATGCTCGAACGCCACTCTCATTAAATGTTTTGACTTCCAACATGTTTTCGCTTTGCTTCAATCGTCTCTCAACGTCTTGGTGTCGTTTCGTTTGGACGTCAGTTTATATGTAATATTAACACAATAACGTGCGTTATATAATACAGCATAATACGGGTATGTTACATATACAATCGACGTTATTGTGGAATCAGTCGATGACGTTAATTCTAAACGTTCTTACAGACTGATCTAAGTAGATTGCCTTGGGTTGAGTTTGGTTTGCGTTGGCCCTTTATCTATTCATTCCTATTTCTTCAAAACCAATTAAATCTGAATCTGTGTGATGTCCGCATAAATAATACGTAACTCAAGACGGAATTTGTGTTTTGATATTCTTATTAACAATGTTCTCCGATGAACCACTTTATAGTATCATATCAACTTTTTTTAAGGCGTGTGGCTGAACCGAGCTGTAACCACCCATAATGTCGCATCACTATAATGTGTGACACATACTGCTGTTAAGGTTATACCAACTGTCAAAGGTTTTGTAATGGTATGAGTCAGTGCTATCTTTGGTTTTGCAGTTCATGATGTTTGCATGGTTGTATTGAGTTCCTGTCAGTACAACAACCCCTACTCTGTTTTCCAGGTGACAAGTGTCGAGTTGTGGACAGGCTGTTTCTGTGCAGCGACAGCAGGGACTTCTGGTACACCATCAGAAGCGACACCTGTTGTGAAAGGGTATGTCATGTGGTTGTTGTGAAAGGGTATGTCATGTGGTTGTTGTGAAAGGGTATGTCATGTGGTTGTTGTGAAAGGGTATGTCATGTGGTTGTTGTGAAAGGGTATGTCATGTGGTTGTTGTGAAAGGGTATGTCATGTGGTTGTTGTGAAAGGGTATGTCATGTGGTTGTTGTGAAAGGGTATGTCATGTGGTTGCTGTGAAAGGGTATGTCATGTGGTTGTTGTGAAAGGGTATGCCATGTGGTTGTTGTGAAAGGGTATGTCATGTGGTTGTTGTGAAAGGGTATGTCATGTGGTTGTGAAAGGGTATGTCATATGGTTGTTGTGAAAGGGTATGTCATGTGGTTGTTGTGAAAGGGTATGTCATGTGGTTGTTGTGAAAGGGTATGTCATGTGGTTGTTGTGAAAGGGTATGTCATGTGGTTGTTGTGAAAGGGTATGTCATGTGGTTGCTGTGAAAGGGTATGTCAAGTGGTTGTTGTGAAAGGGTATGTCATGTGGTTGTTGTGAAAGGGTATGTCATGTGGTTGTTGTGAAAGGGTATGTCATGTGGTTGTTGTGAAAGGGTATGCCATGTGGTTGCTGTGAAAGGGTATGTCAAGTGGTTGCTGTGAAAGGGTATGTCATGTGGTTGCTGTGAAAGGGTATGTCAAGTGGTTGTTGTGAAAGGGTATGTCATGTGGTTGTTGTGAAAGGGTATGTCATGTGGTTGTTGTGAAAGGGTATGTCATGTGGTTGCTGTGAAAGGGTATGTCAAGTGGTTGTTGTGAAAGGGTATGTCATGTGGTTGTTGTGAAAGGGTATGTCATGTGGTTGTTGTGAAAGGGTATGTCATGTGGTTGTTGTGAAAGGGTATGTCATGTGGTTGTTGTGAAAGGGTATGTCATGTGGTTGTTGTGAAAGGGTATGTCATGTGGTTGCTGTGAAAGGGTATGTCATGTGGTTGTTGTGAAAGGGTATGTCATGTGGTTGTTGTGAAAGGGTATGTCATGTGGTTGTTGTGAAAGGGTATGCCATGTGGTTGCTGTGAAAGGGTATGTCAAGTGGTTGCTGTGAAAGGGTATGTCATGTGGTTGCTGTGAAAGGGTATGTCAAGTGGTTGTTGTGAAAGGGTATGTCATGTGGTTGTTGTGAAAGGGTATGTCATGTGGTTGTTGTGAAAGTGTATGTCAAGTGGTTGCTGTGAAAGGGTATGTCAAGTGGTTGTTGTGAAAGGGTATGTCATGTGGTTGTTGTGAAAGGGTATGTCATGTGGTTGCTGTGAAAGGGTCTGCTATGTGTTTGTTTTGAAAGGGTGTAATATGAGTTTGTTGTGAAAGGGTATGTCATGTGATTGCTGTGAAAGGGTATGTCATGTGGTTGTTGTGAAAGGGTATGTCATGTGGTTGTTGTGAAAGGGTCTGCTATGTGTTTGTTTTGAAAGGGTGTATTATGAGTTTGCTGTGAAAGGGTGTGTTGTGTGGTTGTTGTGAAAGGCTCTGCTATGTGCTTGCTGTGAAAGGGTATGTTATGTGTTTGTTGTGAAAGGCTCTGCTATGTTTTTGTTTTGAAAGGGTGTATTATGAGTTTGTGAGTCTGTGAAAGGCTCTGCTATGTGCTTCTGTGAAAGGGTGTGTTATGATTTTGGTGTGAAAGGGTGTGTTATGTGTTTGTTGAGAAGGGTGTGTTATGTGTTTGCTGTGAAAGGGTGTGTTGTGTGGTTGTTGTGAAAGGCTCTGCTATGTGCTTGCTGTGAAAGGGTATGTTATGTGTTTGTTGTGAAAGGCTCTGCTATGTGTTTGTTTTGAAAGGGTGTATTATGAGTTTGTGAGTCTGTGAAAGGCTCTGCTATGTGCTTCTGTGAAAGGGTATGTTATGTGTTTGTTGTGAAAGGCTCTGCTATGTGTTTGTTTTGAAAGGGTGTATTATGAGTTTGTGAGTCTGTGAAAGGGTGTGTTGTGTGGTTGCTGTGAAAGGGTGTGTTATGATTTTGGTGTGAAAGGGTGTGTTATGTGTTTGTTGTGAAGGGTGTGTTATGTGTTTGTTGTGAAAGGGTGTGTTCTGTGTTTGCTGTGAAAGGCTCTGCTATGTGTTTGTTTTGAAAGGGTGTATTATGAGTTTGCTGTGAAAGGGTGTCATGAGTTTGCTGTGAAAGGGTGTCATGAGTTTGCTGTGAAAAGGTGTGTTATGTATTTGTTTCGAAAGGGTGTATTATGAGTTTGCTGTGAAAGGGTGTGTGTGTGGTTGCTAAGAAAGGGTGTGTTATGATTTTGGTGTGAAAGGGTATGTTATGTTGTTGTTGAGAAATGGCATGTTATGTTGTTGTTGAGAAATGGCATGTTATGTGTATATTGTGAAAGGGTATTTCATGTGTTTGTTGTGACCCGGTATGTCATGTGTTTGTTGTGAACGAGCTAAATTGTTTCATTTTTTATTGGCGATACTAAAATTCCTCTCATTTCTTTTCAGTATTGTAAAGTTTCACCAATGGAAACAATATTTCTCGTTAATTTAATAATTTATACCCAAACGAGGGCAACGATTAACAGGCTTCCGTGAAACACTACCATACGTTTATTCGTTCATATCAGGTGATATCTCTTTCAGGTTTGGACAGACTTCAAAGAAAAACTGAAAGCAACATTTCCCCAAGACCCAGTGCTGAGAGGGGGAAAGGCCCGTGTTATGCCTTTCATGAAGTCTCTGTTGGGAGTGAGTGGTGAGTGAGTGAGTGAGTGAGTTGGGTTAAAAGCTGCTTTGAGCATTGTTCAGTTAAATTATAGACGTTTAACGTTTAACACTTCCTGCATCGGGTCAATTTGGAGTTCGATCCAAGACAAGCAGCCGGAAATCGCCTAAACCACTGGGCCTCCATAGTCAGTAGCCATGGTAGTAGCTGGTATCCCGATAAACGTGTGTGAAATGCTATCATTAACTTACGTGGTCTGACATTTCAGTCCCTCCTCACACGCCACAAGGCTCTAGATACTTCGACTGCTACGGCGGCATATATTTTCCAGTATATACGTGTTGATCACTGTGACATTTCATATGAAGAAATGTTTTGGACGAGCTCTTCCGTAGCTGGATTATGAACCATGCTATGATCTTTGTCGTAATACGTCAGTGAAGTGGTGATGCTGTATCTTCGATATCTCGTTAATTCGGAACCTGGAATTGTTTTGCGTATGACCAAAGACTTCATGCATGTGATTTAATCACAGAATGCCGATTTACTGTTTCGACATTGACGACATGTTGAAAATGTCCTTTGTGATTGTTATACCACATATAGTTTCATATTTATGTGCTGATCCTTTTCTATCTGTAATATTTTAATTTAGAATAAATGATAATTCAATTTGATCTTTAATAATAAAATAAAAGAAAATCAGGTGAGCCACAGAGCTACCTTATTCCTTGTGTAGATTTCGGGGCAGATGTGTTCCGCTACAGCATGTCTTCCCGTGGGGTTCTCAGTGCCCATGTATATCATCTCATGGGAATTCCAGGTCAGAATAGGTTCTCAGTACCCCATGTATGTCATCTCATGGGAATTCCAGGACTGAATAGGTTCTCAGTGCCCCATGTATGTCATCTCATGGGAATTCCAGGACTGAATAGGTTCTCAGTGCCAATGTATATCATCGCATGGGAATTCCAGAGCAGAATAGGTTCTCAGTGCCAATGTATATCATCTCATGGGAATTCCAGGTCAGAATAGGTTCTCATTGCCCAATGTATGTCAGTGCATGAGAATTCCAGAGCAGAATAGGTTCTCAGTGCCCCATGTGTGTCATCTCATGGGAATTCCAGGTCAGAATAGGTTCTCAGTGCCCCATGTATATCATCTGATGGGAATTCCAGGTCAGAATAGATTCTCAGTGCCCCATGTATGTCATCTGATGGGAATTCCAGAGCAGAATAGGTTCTCAGTGCCCCATGTATGTCATCTCATGGGAATTCCAGGACTGAATAGGTTCTCAGTGCCCCATGTATGTCATCTCATGGGAATTCCAGGACTGAATAGGTTCTCAGTGCCAATGTATATCATCGCATGGGAATTCCAGAGCAGAATAGGTTCTCAGTGCCAATGTATATCATCTCATGGGAATTCCAGGTCAGAATAGGTTCTCATTGCCCCATGTATGTCAGTGCATGAGAATTCCAGAGCAGAATAGGTTCTCAGTGCCCCATGTGTGTCATCTCATGGGAATTCCAGGTCAGAATAGGTTCTCAGTGCCCCATGTATATCATCTCATGGGAATTCCAGGTCAGAATAGGTTCTCAGTGCCAATGTATATCATCGCATTGGAATTCCAGAGCAGAATAGGATCTCAGTGCCAATGTATATCATCTCATGGGAATTCCAGGTCAGAAAAGGTTCTCAGTGCCCCATGTATGTCAGTGCATGAGAATTCCAGAGCAGAATAAGTTCTCAGTGCCCCATGTATATGTCATCTCTTGGGAATTCCAGAGCAGAATAGGTTCTCAGTGCCCATGTATGTCATCTCATGGGAATTTCAGGACTGAATAGGTTCTCAGTGCCCCATGTGTGTCATCTCAGGGGAATTCCAGGACTGAATAGGTTCTCAGTGCCCCATGTGTGTCATATCATGAGAATTCCAGGACTGAATAGGTTCTCAGTGCCCCGTGTGTGTCATATCATGAGAATTCCAGGACTGAATAGGTTCTCAGTGCCCCATGTGTGTCATCTCATGGGAATTCCAGGTCAGAATAGGTTCTCAGTGCCAATGTATATCATCGCATTGGAATTCCAGAGCAGAATAGGATCTCAGTGCCAATGTATATCATCTCATGGGAATTCCAGGTCAGAATAGTTTCTCAGTGCCCCATGTATGTCAGTGCATGAGAATTCCAGAGTAGAACAGGTTCTCAGTGCCCCATGTATGTCATTTCATCGGTATTCCAGAGCAGAACAGGTTCTCAGTGCCCCATGTGTGTCATCTCATGAGAATTCCAGAACTGAATAGGTTCTCAGTGCACCATGTGTGTCATCTCATGGGAATGCCAGGTCAGAATAGGTTCTCAGTGCCCATGTATGTCATCTCATGGGAATTTCAGGACTGAATAGGTTCTCAGTGCCCCATGTGTGTCATATCATGAGAATTCCAGGACTGAGTAGGTTCTCAGTGCCCCATGTGTGTCATCTCATGGGAATTCCAGGACTGAATAGGTTCTCAGTGCCCCATGTGTGTCATCTCATGGGAATTCCAGGACTGAATAGGTTCTCAGTGCGCCATGTATGTCATCTCATGGGAATTCCAGGACTGAATAGGTTCTCAGTGCCCCATGTGTGTCATATCATGGGAATTCCAGGTCTGAATAGGTTCTCAGTGCCCCATGTGTGTCATCTCATGGGAATTCCAGGACTGAATAGGTTCTCAGTGCCCCATGACTGTCATATCATGGGAATTCCAGGACTGAATAGGTTCCAAGTGCCCCATGTATGTCATCTCATGGGAATGCCAGGACTGAATAGGTTCTCAGTGCCCAATGTATGTCATCTCATGGGAATTCCAGAGCAGAATAGGTTCTCAGTGCCCCATGTGTGTCATCTCATGGGAATTCCAGAGCAGAATATGTTCTCAGTGCCCCATGTATGTCATCTCATGAGAATTCCAGGACTGAATAGGTTCTCAGTGCCCCATGTATGTCATCTCATGGGAATTCCAGGGCAGGATAGGTTCTCAGTGCCCCATGTATGTCATCTCATGGGAATTCCAGGGCAGAATAGGTTCTCAGTGCCCCATGTATGTCATCTCATGGGAATCCCAGGACTGAATAGGTTCTCAGTGTCCCTTGTATGTCATCTCATGGGAATTCCAGAGCAGAACAGGTTCTCAGTGCCCCATGTATGTCATCTCATGGGAATTCCAGAGCAGAAAAGGTTCTCAGTGCCCCATGTATGTCCTCTCATGGGAATTCCAGGGCAGAATAGGTTCTCAGTACCCCATGTATGTCATCTCATGGGAAATCCAGGGCAGAATAGTTTCTCAGTGCCCCATGTATGTCATCTCATGGGAATTTCAGGACTGAATAGGTTCTCAGTGCCCCATGTATGTCATCTCATAAGAATTCCAGAGCAGAAAAGGTTCTCAGTGCCCCATGTATGTCATCTCATGGGAATTCCAGGGCAGAATAGGTTCTCAGTGCCCCATGTATGTCATCTCATTGGAATTCCAGGACTGAATAGGTTCTAAGTACCCCATGTGTGTCATATCATGGGAATTCCAGAGCAGAACAGGTTCTCAGTGCCCCATGTATGTCATCTCATGGGAATTCCAGGGCAGAATAGGTTCTCAGTGCCCCATGTATGTCATCTCATGGGAATTCCAGAGCAGAACAGGTTCTCAGTGCCCCATGTATGTCATCTCATGGGAATTCCAGGGCAGAATAGGTTCTCAGTGCCCCATGTATGTCATCTCATGGGAATTCCAGGACTGAATAGGTTCTCATTGCCCCATGTATGTCATCTCATGGGAATTCCAGAGCAGAACAGGTTCTCAGTGCCCCATGTATGTCATCTCATGGGAATTCCAGTGCAGAATAGGTTCTCAGTGCCCCATGTATGTCATCTCATGGGAATTCCAGGGCAGAATAGGTTCTCAGTGCCCCATGTATATCATCGCATGGTAATTCCGGGGCAGAACAGGTTCTCAGTGCCCCATGTATGTCATCTCATGGGAATTTCAGGACTGAATAGGTTCTCAGTGCCCATGTATGTCATGTTATGGTAATTTCTAGGGCAGAATAGCTTCCCTGTGCCCCATGTATGTCATCTCATGGGAATTCCAGGACTGAATAGGTTCTCAGTGCCCAATGTATGTCATCTCATGGGAATTCCAGATCAGAATAGGTTCCCTGTGCCCCATGTATGTCATCTCATGGGAATTCCAGGACTGAATAAGTTCCCAGTGCCCCATGTATATCATCACATGAGAATTCCAGATCAGAATAGGTTTTCAGTGCCCCATGTATGTCATCGCATGAGAATTAATTCCAGAGTAGAACAGATTCTCAGTGCCCCATGCATGTCATCTCATGGGAATTCCAGATCAGAATAGGTTCCCTGTGCCCCATGTATGTCATCTCATGGGAATTCCAGGACTGAATAAGTTCCCAGTGCCGATGTATGTCATCGCATGGGAATTCCAGAGCAGAATAGGTTCTCAGTGCCCCATGTGTGTCATCTCATGAGAATTCCAGGACTGAATAGGTTCTCAGTGCCCCATGTATGTCATCTCATGAGAATTCCAGATCAGAATAGGTTCCCTGTGCCCCATGTATGTCATCTCATGGGAATTCCAGGACTGAATAAGTTCCCAGTGCAGATGTATGTCATCGCTAGGAATTCCAGAGCAGAATAGGTTCTCAGTGCCCCATGTGTGTCATCTCATGAGAATTCCAGGACTGAATAAGTTCCCAGTGCCCCATGTATGTCATCTAATGAGAATTCCAGGACTGAATAGGTTCTCAGTGCCCCATGTGTGTCATATCATGAGAATTCCAGGACTGAATAGGTTCTCAGTGCCCCATATGTGTCATATCATGAGAATTCCAGGACTGAATAGGTTCTCAGTGCCCGTGTGTGTCATATCATGAGAATTCCAGGACTGAATAGGTTCTCATTGCCCCATGTATGTCATCTCATGGGAATTCCAGGACTGAATAGGTTCTCAGTGCCCCATGTGTGTT